ACTGAGAGGAAATTACAGGCCATTATGTATAAGAAATAAGTAATATGTTCTTACATCAACCACCCGGTGTTATTGATAAACAGTTTGCTTCTGTTTAATTTTTCAAGTTTTTTTTTTTTTTTTAGCTTCTTTGTAAGAATATGTCATATCAATTGTGTTTAATTGTAGTATTTAAAAATGAATCGTCCATATTCACCTGTTTTCTCCCTGACCTTTTCTTTACAGTACAAGTGGAGAGGAAAAAAAAGATCCTACTCAGAAAACGAGTCCTTAGGCAGAGTGGTGGTTCTGAATTGCTTTTGAAAAGTTTAATGGTCAGGGTTAGAACAAATTATCCAAGCCCTTTTCCAGTCCTAAACGGCTTGTTTTAATTACTAACAGAACATAAAATTGACTTTACTTCGGAAAAAACAATTCCATGCTAGTAGCCTTTTTTTACAAAATAGCTATTTTGATTAATAGTTTATTACAAATTAATAAAGTTTTGTTCAACTTTTGTTACGTAGCTTTATGACACTCAGTGTAAATTATACAAAAATGTCAATGCCAACATTGTTTAAAGATAAAATATGAATCGGGGATCAATACAGAAGGTAAATGTCGTTTGTTTTCATGAAATACATTCAAGTTTATTTCATTCAAATTCGAGTGTTCAGTTATAGAACATAAAAGCAAAATAGTGTTTCTATTATAAAATAAACATTTAGATTTCAATAATGAAGGAAAAACAGATAAAAAAGACCATACAAAAGAAATTCAACTTTAGCCCAAAACTAGTGGAAAAAGGAATTGTGTTTTAGTACATAATTGGATAATTCTTTGTATGTAAGGTCTTGGTTGAAATGAAAAAGTTAATGTCACGAGCAGGATGACCTTCAGACCTTCGAATCCCGCTTGTGACACTAACTTTTTCATTTTACCAAGACCTTACACACAAAGAATAATTAATTGAAAGAAGTAATTTGGTCAATTGATGTCTAATTATGACTGTGATGATTATAAACTAATTATGGTAGACACTAGCAATAAAAATGTTATGGTAACAATAAAACATTAAATGATCAATTATGCTTGGTATAAAGGTAGGAAAGCGTCATTTCAAGTTGCCAAAAGCGTGGTGTGGTGGAGCAATGGTTTATAACAAATGCACATAAAATAGAAACAAGATAAAATTTGATTGTCCGGTTAGGATTCATACTACCCCAGAGTGCTCGATATTCCTCAGGATATTTGAGAATAAGCCCTCCATTCGTGCTAATAAAATAGATTCACTCACAACAATCCATTTACACTACCCCAGAGTACTTGATCCCTTGGAGTTATTTTTTCGAAAGATTTTGTAGTAAAACATGGGGTATAAATGGATGTATACAATGATTAGACCTCTGGCCACATGTGACTACCTAATGGTCTAGTATGGCTAGACATTAAAAAAGAAGACACAGGATTAATTTTCCTTATTTATATATATTTATTTAATATATATTTTTTACATATGCAAGTTTTTATGTTTTCTTTCATTCAACCTTCTATATAATAAACTGTTTATATTTGATGGATTATTCTTTTATACAAATGTCAACATTTTAATCCTCATCCAAACAATGTTTGTTTAAACTTGTAGCATTTCATTACTTGGGAGTTATTTTTCTAAGTTGTCTTATTTTTTTAACAAATTTTTTTAAAAGTTTAAACTTTTTAAAACGGTGCCCAAAGGCCAGAAATATTAATGAAGTCTGGGGCAATGGCAATGTGAGTGAGAGCACCAGTCAGAAATTGTTTACACAATTTTGAGAGGGAGACGTTAGCCTTGAAGACAAAGGTCATGGAAAGATTCTTCCATAGATGATGTTCTGCGAGTTTGGTTGAAGAAATCCCAGAACAATTGCAGAGAATCTTTCAGTTAGCATTGAATGAATGACCACCTTAATACAATTGAGAATAAGCCCTCCATTCATGCTAATAAAATAGATTAATAGGCTTATTCTAATTGTACAGAAGAAAAAAATTGAAAATTTGGTTCCTCATGGATTAAACGACTGCCAAAAATGTTTGCACAACGCTTCTTTGCCGAATATTATTTCTAATAATATTTCTGGATAGAATTATTTGTGATGAAAAGTGGTTTCTCTACAATAACAGCAGACGTTCGGGACATTGGCTCGACAAAGAAGCAACACTACATTTTCCAAAGCCCCCAACTCATCAAAAAAAGGTGTTGGTGACTCTTTATTGGGCTTCATTTGTTCTGATTTACTACAGCTTCCTGAATCCTGGAGAAACAATCGATACCAAAATGTATCGCTCTCAAATTGAAGCAATGCACCAGAAATTGGGATTATTGAAGCCGTCTCTGGTCAATCAAAAGGCCAATACTGTTACACGACAACGCACAAAACACGAAAACTGTTGGAACTTGGTTTTAAGGTTCTGCCTCACCCTCCTATTTTCCAGACCTCTCACCTACGACTACCATTTTTTTCAGACACCTGGACTTTTCCAACATAAAAAAATTTATTGATCAAGTCAAAAATGCATAGAAAATGTAGAGAAGTTGTCATCATGTTGGGAGAAGTGTAATGATTGTGATGGAGAGCATTTTAATTAACAAAAAACGTTTAATTGTTTAATTAGTGTCATTTAATTGTTATTTTATAAACATAAACCTGCATTATTTTCTGTACAACCCAATAAATATATATTTGTTTTGGTTCTTCTCCTAATATTTACTTTCTTCCATTGTAAAGTTTACAATAACCAAGGAATGGGGGCGACGGTGGCCGCAAGGTTTAGTCTTTGACACGGCGCTCATCACTGTAAGGTAAAGGTCCCGGGTTCGAATCCAGCAGCCCTGCATTCGAACCCGACATACTTACAAAAAAAAAAAAAAAAAAAAAAACAATGAATGTACTGTCAAAAGTTGATCGGAATTGGTTCAATATAAAAATGGCAAATGATTCAAAGCAAATACTTTGAAATTCAACACATAATACAAATACAAAATAAATTAGGCTGGGGGGCTATACAGCTGCCGAGTCTTTGATGATGACAGAAAGAAGGTGTCTGAGGTCTTTATTCACTACCATGTTTGTTAATCATTAGATACAACCTCAGCCTAAAGCCAGGAACACACTTACCCGATGCAATTCCAAAGTCCATTTTTCCATAAAATTGTACTACCCCCGTGCACATCTGCCCAATGCTATGCTATGCTACTCTACTCCACGCTCTGCGATCCCCACTGTCCAGATTTTCGTCGGGTTGCGTAGAGTACAGTCGAAGACAAAAGAACCGGACACTCATACTTTTATTCAAACTAAATGTATTATTGCCTTTATATTAATTACAACATACTTATTTTAATATAAACTAAATTAACCTTGATCAAAAATTCATGTTTTTATTTTTTTTTAATAATTTTAATGGTTTGGTAGAAAATTGATCAAAACACCAGAATACTATTTTTTTGATATGAATTTAACTAACTATTTATTACATGGTTTTGCTCATAAAATTTAACTAACAATTCATTTCATGGTTTTGCTCATAAAATTACACCATTTTCGTCGAGTAGCATCAGAACAGGACACCCATTTTTTGTAGTATATTTCAAACTATGCATATGTGATTTTGTCGTTATATTAATTTATTTTATTTTATTTTTATTTTAATATAACCCAAATTAAACGAGATCAAAAATTCTTGAGTTTTTACAAAAATTATTTAAATATGATGGTTAGGCAGAAAATTTATCAAAACACCGGAATAACTTTATTAAAACAATTAAATTATTATTAACAATTAAATTAACTAACAATTTATTACATGGTTGTACTCATAAAATTTAACTTACGATTTATTAGATGGTTTTGCTCAAAATAATGAATGAAGAACAAAAGAGGCATTGCGATTGTGATACACACGCTGTGTGACTGTACGTGGCAGGTGCTTGACGTCGCATAGATGTGCACACCCTACCAAAACATGGCAAGGCGTCGGGGAGCATCGGGTGTGTTCCCAGCTTAATAGATGCCATTTCACGTTACAGCTCCTTAATGGCCAACCGCGAGGACAAGATAACTTGTCACTAGGCCAAGGGAGCATGGAAGGACTAGAAAGATATCTCACCCTAGTATCAAAAAGGTTAAAGGGAGAATTTGGTCACCAGTGACCCTGAAGGGGAAAAAAAAGACCTCTGTGTTCAAGCATCTAGGCAGTTTCACTCTAGAAACAGTCTATTTGTATGGAACAGCGAGGCTACTGTAGGATGGGAAAAAATAATCGACCCAGAAAAGTGTCATTGTGACTCAAATAATTTTCACCATGCAAAAATTAATTAGAACAACTATAAAAATTGGAATAAATGGTAATTATGTTAATTTTAATAAAATATCAAAAACCCTCATTTTTTAAATATATTTTCATTTTATTTACATTTTTTTCACAAAGCAACAAAGACAATGTACACAATTTATCATATCTAATATGTTTTTATGTATGTAAAAAACCTAATTAATAAGTATAAATAATGAACACAACCCAATTTTTTTAACATTTTTTTCTTTTATACCAGAAAAGATCATTTGTCACTAATAAGGAAAACAAATTACTTCACAAAATTATACTATGCAATCTGGCAAGTAACATAAGTAAAACAAAGTTATGTTAATGCTAAAACATATTTTATTCAATAAGAAAAATATCAAGTTGCAAAGTGTTCTGAGTGATTTGTTTTCTCACTCAAATGTTAGTTCATATATAAATAATAATAAAATTCAAGTTTTTAATTGTTTTTTGTTTAAAGAAAACAAAGAGAAAGTGTTTTAAAGTTCATTATTAGTATGTGAACCAGGAGAAAAATTTAACTGAATCAGAAAAAAAAGTTGACGCAGGAAATTGGCTAAGAAAAGCCAAATTATTCATAAATTAATTACCAATTTAACTTAATTTGCAACAAAAACCATTAATCAGGTAAATGCACGAACAAAAAAAGAAAGGAATAAAACAAATTATATACAGTGTATAATATTGAACTGTTTTGGTAATAATATAACAATCTATATATAGTACATATATATATCGTGATTCTTTCACCTTTTTCACATTCTCCAATTGTTTTCTTATTTCAAAATAGTACCTAATAGTTTGTTGTTTTATATAACATAGCTGATGTTCTTGGACCCTGTTGCCCCACTTTTGGTTACAGCTTCTGGATGGACGCTGAATGTTAACTGTTTCCCATTGAGATTTAGCCTGTCTTTCAATATCCTCCTAGAAAAACAAGAAAAACAAATATTAAATAAAACTGTTAATAATGATAGACGTTGCGAATTAGGAATGACGAGACTCACCCTATCGCCATTGCAGTCGGTTTATCCGAATGTGCAGTCCATACGCTAATTCTATCTACTTTCGCCCTTATATTGACAGTGGCGCCACAAATTTCATCTGTATGCTCTTCGAAAGATTCGCCGATTAGACAGAGCATCTAAAAATCAAACAAGAATAATGTGATAAAAAAGGTAGAAATATGCATTTTTTTATGTTGACTGAAAGAGCTGAACATTTCAAAAGAAAGTGAGTTTTTGATACTGCAGAAAGACTTGCAATAAAAAATATTTTATCTAGACCATCTTATCTCCTTTTTATCCTTTGTAAAGACTCTTATTATCAAACACACAATTATCAATCAAAATAATACAGTTAACACAGAATAAATTACTCAAACACAACAGATCTTCCATTATTTACTAATTTATTGTACAATTTTCACTCAGAAATGAAAAGTTACTTGATCTTGAACAATTAAACAGTATTTATGAACACAGTGAAAAGAAATTAATTTTAAAAAAATGCTAAAAAGTAATAAAATAAAAATTACGGAATATGATCCAAGCGTTAGAAGAAGAAAAATCTGCTATATAACTCCCTTGTAAAATAAACTTAAAAGCCGAGTCTATGTATAAATTATATGAAGTATAAAAATTTAAATCTCAACTCACCACTTCAAGCCAGATACTATCTAATTCATAATCTCTCTGTTTTTTGTCTATGCTCATAACCCATCTGCCGCCATGCTCATTCGCTTTGTCTTCCCACGTTGGGCTTATGCCAGTTTTGAATAGATAATAATCATTGCTAATCTTCAGCTCACTCGCTGGCTTAATATGGTTATAAATGCTGTAAAAGAAAAAGAAAAATTTAATAAGATTAAAATCGCCCAGATATAAAAGTCTGGCTGTTAATTTGAACTGTCCCGCTAACCTCCAGAAGTCTTCAACCGTCGCAAAGCTGGTGATCTCTTTTAAATTTTCGAGCCAGGATTTTTTCCTGTCATTATCGTAGTACCAAAGGGACCAACTGTTCTGTAATGGGTGCTTTATGTGTTGGATTTCTTTGTCAGTGGTTTCTTTTGAAGTTTTTTCAGTATCCTGGAAAAAGAGATGTTAATTAAGCATACATATATTTAGTTTTAAGTTAAGATGAACAATCTAAAAGTAAGAATCAACACCCCTAACCATTTGGCCACCGTGGTCTCCCCTTTCTACAGGTCTAAAATAACGGACATGAAAGGGGCAAACTTCTATGATATCTAGCATTATATTATATGCCATTTTAAAGTATCATTGGCTATAAGAGATATAGTATACTACATGCTATAAGAAACATGAGCCCCATGTGTGACTAGCAAGGGTAGATCAGAAAGTATTACTACTGTAATAATAAAAGGGTTTTTCTTGATAAATTGATGGAAATAACATGGACTGTGCTGATCAGTACATCATGGTCCAATTTTGACAAGCTGAACAGAAACATAAAAACAAGCTTACTGCTCAGAATGATTTAAACAAATAAAGAAAAAGAAATTGGTTTTTCTTTTGGGAGAAAATAAGATTGAGTAGACAACTGAGTCAGACAGTACAATCTTGATTCATTTTGGACAGCGGAGCCATTCCAACAATACAAAATACACGTTACAGTTATTTAGTCAATTTAATGTAGGTATTTATGTATGCCACTTGCTTCATATTTGACATGACTGACTTAAAATTAGCATATATTATACGGGTTTTTCAAGATAAATTTATTGTAAGATGGAAATGACATGGACTGAGCTGAACAGCAGATCATGAATCCTGATTCATTTTGGACAGTGGAGCCATTCCAACAATACAAAATACAAATTACAGTTATTTAGTCAATTTAATGTAGGTTTTTATGTTAAAGGCAAGCTTTTTGCCTCCTATTTGACATGATTGACTTAAAATTAGCGTATATTATAAGGGTTTTTCTAGATAAATTTATTGTAAGATGGAAATGACATGTACTGAGCTGAACAGCAGATCATGAATCTTGATTCATTTGGGACAATAGAGCCTTTACAACAATACAAAACAGAAGTTAGTTATTTGGTCAATTTAGAAATTGGCCTCCTATTTAACTAGTGACTAAAAATTGGTTAAATTTTAAGTGTTTTTCTATATAAAGTGATTGCAAGATGATGAAATGACATGGTCTGAGCTGAGGAATCATGGTCCAATTTGGCAAGCTGAATTGAAACATAAGAACAAACTTCTTACTCACAATGATTTAAAAAAAATAATAAATTGATTTTTCTTTTGGGAGGAAATAAGATTGAGTAGCTTTAAAATTGTTTCTTTTTGTAAATAAATTAAAGGTAAGAACTACCAACGACTGAGCCGAACAGTGATATCCTGTTTCATTGTGAACAGTGGAGCCATTCCAACAATACAAAATACTAGTTACAATTATTTATTGCATTTGATTTGGATTTTTATGTTAAAGACAAGCCTTTTGCCTCTTATTTAACATGACTTAAAATTAGCTTATATTATAAGGGTTTTTCTAGATAATTAATTGTAAGATGGAAATGACACGGATTGAGATGAACAGCGGATCATGAATCCTGATTCATTTTGGAAAGTGGAGCCACAATACACAATACAAGTTACAGTTATTTCGTAAATTTGATGTGGATTTTTATGTCAAAGACAAGAAATTGGCCTCCTATTAACTAGAGTGACTAAATATTGGATAAATTTTAACTGTCTTTCTGTATAAATTGATTGCAAGATGATGAAATGACATGAACTGAGCTGATCAGATCATGGTCCACTTTGGACAAGCTGAATTGAAACTTAAAAACTGACAATGATTTAAACAAATAAAGAAAAAGAAATTAGTTTTTTATTAATTGAAAGCTTTTAAGAAAAAAATAAGATTGTGCAACTTTAAGATTCTGTGGTTTTTTGAGCCCTGAAACTTTAAAATAAATCAGGCAAACTGTTCCATGTTTCAGCGTTAGTCCCCACATGAATTTGAACAGTTTTCAAAATCAAATTTTACTTTTGGATACGGTTTATTAGAGAAACGTTTGAGATTTTCAGTAAACACATGTCAAACGTGGGTTAGCAATAGCTGAATAACAAGAGAAATTGGAATAAACGTCTAATCCGGCTAAATTGGAGGGATGTTAAAAGTTGAATACTTTCAAGATGTAGATTGAAAATCAATTTAAAGTTTAAATAAAAGTTGTTTCAGAGCTGTGTTTCTGTCTCCATATGTCAACGAAACCAGACCGAAGAGAAGTTTTAAGATTAGTAAATATTGATGAAAACCTCATACCTGATTTTCGAATTTGGACGAAGTCATTTTTGGTGTAGTGTATTTGTCGTTATACTTAGAATTTTGTACACAACGTAAAAACAAATGCTAAAAGCGGCCTGGGAGAGATGTTGAGAATAGTAAGTCCGGTGAAAAAGTAAACATGTGGGCGGATGGATCGGGGTCTTATTTATAAGCCGGCAGGTAGGTAAGACGTTAAAAAAGGGTCTCACCGACTAATCCACCTTTCACTCCATAGAAAAATAAAACCCTAAGCTAAAAATAATGGATTTAAAGGATTACCTCTTCAATTTTATTCCCTGCCATGTTTCCTTCGCTTTGTTCGTAAAAGGTCCGCCTTGAAATTAACCGATAAGACAGGGGGGAAAATGCCGGTGAACGAAAGGAAATTCCGGCCGCGATTTTGAAGACGCGATCCTGAAAAAACGGAAAAAAAGGGGAAGAAAAACGAAAAAAATTTCCTGACGAGTTCTCTCGACCCGGACGTACGTTTGGTGGTCGGGCTGAGCGATCAAAGTAGGCGAAGTCTACACAGTGCCTTCTTTAATAAGTCCGCAAGTACTTTCGAGTCGACGTTTTACAAAGTTTCAGACGGAACTTCGGAAAATCCATTTTTTTAAAAGGATTTTCAAATTCGATTTTATGAAAATGTCATATAAGCAAGTGGTTTTTCACTCATCTGGAGTTGAAAACCATGCAAAATTAGGGTTATAAAAATTGCGTCATCACGTCCGTTTTGGACGTAGCCACAGCGGGTTGATCAATATTGACCATAAAAGTGATGATTTCGCTCCAGACCGGTTGACCAAAACACATTTTGTAATATGTTTACAGAATAATAAAATATTTTTGACTAAAGAAATTCAAATTCTTTGAAATATAGCACGATCTAGTTGTATTATGTAATTCTGCTTTTTTTCACAATTAACAGGAACCGTAACGGCGTCACACGTCCTTTTGGATCGTAAAATTGATCAATATTGACCTTAAAACTGATTACTACGTGGTTCACAAAAACTGATGATTTGGCACCAATCCGGTTGCCCAAAACACGTTTCATTTTTGTTAATTAATGAAATATATTTCAATCATTTTATTCGATATTTACCGGGTTTTTTTGTCGCTTTGTTCTGTGTATTATACATAATTACGTTTTTCTACAATTAGGGATGGCGAAATGGTTTCAATGTCCAAAAAGGACATATTAACAGCAAAATTGATCAATATTGACCTTAAAACTGATGATTTGGCTTCAGGCCGGATGCCCAAAACACATTTCATTTTTATTGTTAATTAATGAAATATATTTCAATAAAGTAATTCATTATATTTTATATTTACGGTTTTTTTTCGCTTTGTTTTATGTGCAAAATACATAATTATGTTTTTCTACAATTAAGGATGGCTAAATGGGTTCGTTGTCCAAAAAGGACATACTAACAGAAAAATTGAACAATATTGACCTTAAAACTGATCACAAGGCGGTTCACAAAAACATGTTCCGCTATGATTAATAAAATATATTGATATAAAAATGCATATTCTTTGAAATATAAATATGTTAATATTTTTGTTCTTTTCGAATCTTTGTTCGTTTAGGACGTTGTCAAAGCAGATAGATTAATATTGACATAAAATTGATAATAATGGATCCAGGACGTCACATTTCATTATTATTGATGCTTAATCAGCAGTTTGGTCAATATTGACTAAAAAGTTGATGATTTAGCTCCAGGCCGGTGGGCCAAAATATTTTTTATTATTATCAAAACTTAATAAAATTATTTATTTGAATAAAGTAATATTTTATTTAAAATTTTGTTATTAGATTATATTACGTTTTTCAACAATTAAGGAATACTAGATGCTTCATTACGTCCGATTTGGACATTTACATAGCAAAATTGATCAATATTGTCTATATAACTTATGACTGTGGTTCACGGAGTTAACAAAAATATATTTTGTTATTAATAATTCTTAATAAAATATAATTACAAAAAAACTATTCTTTTAAATATACCTCGATATTTTTCATTCCTTTCTTATCTTTGTTCGTTTTAGCAGTAGTCACAGCAGATTGATCAATATTGACCATAAAAATGATGATTTCGCTCCAGGTGGGTTGGTCAAAACACATTTTATTATTATCAAAACAATAAAATATTGTTGACTAAGAAATTCAAATTCATTGAAATATAGCACGATTTAGTTTTATTATGTTATTATACTTTGTTGACAATTACAGTAACCGTAACGGCGTCACACGTCCGTTTTGGATCATAAAATAAAAATCAATATTGTCCTTAAAACTGATTACTACGCGGTTCACAAAAACATGTTTTGCTATGATTAATATTCAGTTACAGCAGATTGATCAATATTGACCATAAAAGTGATGACTTCGTTCCAGGCCGGTTGGCCAAAATATTTTTTATTATTATCAAAACTTAATAAAATATTTTTGACTAAAGAAATCCATATTCCTTGAATTATAGCACGATATAGGTTTATTATGTTCATTATCTTCGCTGTACTAATATAATTATGTTTTTTCCCAATCGCAATAACCGCAACGGCGTCGCACGTCAGTTTTTGACGTAGTCACCACAGCACATTGATTAATATTGACCATAAAACTTATAACGTTTTCAGGCAATTGTTAGCCAAAAATAATTTTTTATTGATACTTAATAAAATATATTTCAGTAAAGTAATTTATACTGTTTGAAATATACCACGTTAATTGTAATCCTCTTCGTCATTTTTGCTGTATTATTATAACTATGGTTTTTACACAATTGAGGATGGCTAAATGACCAAGTTCGTTTGGAACGAATTCGCAGCGGATTGATTAATTGATACTCAATAAAATATATTTGTTAAAAGTGTACACAGACTTTTTTAAATATGTTCATACAAAACATACTCTGTTTCAATGTTATTAAGTCACAGTTGATGTAAATAAAAGTCTTTAGCTGAAAAATGAAAATGAAGTTGTCTAAACATAATATTTTATTTTAAATATAGCTTTTTTATTTTTCGATTTTTAGAATTCATTTGTCCGAATTGTATATTACAAATACATCAGTGATTGACAGCACAATTGGAAAGGGCTTAGGTATAACAAAAGTGAAAGGAAGTCATAAACGGATAAGAGAACAAAAGAAAAAAGAAAGGAAAATGGTGAGTCGAAAAGAAAATATATAATAGGAATAAAAAGGAGATAGAGAGAGAAAGGACTGAAAAAAATGACACGTAGGAGAAAGAGAGAGAGAGAGAGAGAGCGAGAGAGAGAGAGAGAGAGAGAGAGAGAGAGAGAGAGAGAGACCAAGACAAAGGCATAAATGAGAAAGGAAAGACAATAAGAATGTATAAAGGATGAGTTTCTTCAAACATTCAAGCAAATTATTAATTCAACACTGCCAAACAATTTAAAGAAGTTGTTAGTGATTTTAAAAAAAGTATTGACTTGGTCTTCCATATTAAATTTGATTTAAGCAGTAAAACTAATAAAATACACATATATTTACAACAATTGAATCATTTATTTACGTTCAATTGGGAAAATAACAAAATATAATAGTATTACATAAGTTGAACTTCATATCTTGCAATTAATTGATTATGTTTATGGGTGTTTCGCTTTTATGTGTGTGTGTGATTTTGTATGTGTGTAGTTTTGTATGTGTTATGTTATGTTGCCTGCGTAGTATATTCAAATAAACAAAATTTTAACCCTCTTCAGCTTTTTGTTTGTAAACCAACCTCTAATAATAAATAAAACAGGCTTTTTGTTTATTAGGAGATTTGAATTTGAATTTTTCAAAAGCACAACTGGAAACGACCAGGGATCGATTGTCAACCCAAAAAATCGACCTCGTTCCCAACCAAATGGGAGAATACATTTAGATAGGTTTGTAAACATTCGGCCCTTTATGAATAATTACGTGTTTTTTAATTATATTTACAGAAATAAACAGAGTTAATATCTTTAATAGGCCGTAATGTTCATGTTGAGGAGGAGGTGAAGCACAACCAGCATGAGTGTCATCAAAGGGGCTTGAATTTTTTCCAATATAGGTGACTATTTCTTTTCTTCGATAAGTATCTCGGAATCAATTTAATTATACTGGTAAATGTAATTTTTCCCATTTTCATCCCAGTCGTTCAATTACACCCAAATTATTTATAGAACAGCGCTTTTTTTTTTGCGGTTTTGTCCAGTTGGTTTGTTAACATGTCATAGTTTTAAGTCTATTAAATAAAGGACTTATCTGTCGACGTTGAAACATAAAAAACCTCACAATTGTCTCTTTTATTTTCCAGATCAAAATTACTTCACTATCAGTTGTTTTTTCTAATCAAAAGCACACACTTTCTTGTAAAATCCAAGCTGTTGCCTGAAAAAAAACAACTAAATCATTAGCATGTTTGTTAAAATATAACTTTCCAACAATCATCAGTATACTAAGGTCTCAAGTTTACTTAAATCAACAGCTATGAGATACAAACCATAATCAGCATGTTGTTTGTTAAGTGTTAAAGTCTCAAATCGCACTTGAAACATAATTTCATACAATCATCTGTAAATGTTTGTATTATCTTCTGCCACAAAAATCTTCAAGTTGTTCTTGCCTGAAAAGGTATAAGTTTCATCAAACCTTCATCAGCATGTTGTTTGTTAAAGTATAACTTTCAAACAATCATCAGAATACTTGCTAAGGTCCGAAGTTGTACTTAAATTAAAAAAAAAAATACAAATCATCATCAGCACACTTTAAGAAACACAGATGTGTTAAGGTTTCTAACAAGTCTAAAGAATAAATGTTTTGTTATATTTAAGATTTGATTTGCATTGGTGTGTTAAGGAATAAAGTCATACTTGAATCAAAATTATTAGGTACGAACCATCATCAAAAGGTCTTATATCATTGTACTTACAACCTGTTAAGGATTTTGATCAAATCGTTCTTACCAAAAGAGATCATTATTCATCAGCATGGATTTTTTAAGTAAAAATCTTTGTTGTTCTTGCCCAAATAGTTATAATTTTATCATACCTTGATCAGCAAGTTGTTTGTTAAAGTATAACTTTCAAACAATCATCAAAATAATTGCTAAGGTCCAAGGTCGTACGTAAATCAAAAGGTACAAGTTACAAACCATCATCAGCACTAAAATTTAAAAAAAATTTTTTTTTTTAAGTGAAGGTTTTAAATATTTTAAATATAAATAATCTTAAAAGTAACAATATTGTATTTTTGCATATCAGAGGATATGATGGTTGGCTCAGGGATGCCTTCACCTGACAGTTCCAGTCAGCAATCACAGTCACAGGGTTCACAGTTGGGTGTCAACAACGCCGGTGATTACACCAGCGCCAACAGCAGTCATCCATGGTCGCAAGTTTCGTCGCAGAGGAGAGGAATGATAAGAGGCAACTACCCTCCACCAGTTCAGAGGAGGATGGACATGTACTACCCTCCACCGAGGTTTCCGATCAACCCGCAACAGTACTTTCAGATGAAGCAACGTCCACCATGGAGGATGCCACGACTCCCGAGATTCCCACCGAATGCCAACCATGAGAACTATATGAATTATCCACGATTCTGGAATTCAAATAACCAAGGGTCTACACAAGCCACTGCCACGCCTTCATCGACTGAAGAAGAAAATGTAAAAAAAATTGTTTATTGTTTGTGAATTTTATTTATTTATTTTTGCTTGTTTTTAGACTGAAGAGGCAGTTCCTAAGAAGAAAAGAAGATCAACCAATGGCACTTCAAGACCATGGGACAGAGAAGCAGCAGAAAAAGCGCTCGCTCTTGAAATGGAATGTCAGAAAAGCGCTGGCACAAATGCCATTGTCATTCGCTTCCCTGATCCGGAACTCTCTAAAGAAATTGTACAAAACTTTCACAGTTCAATTGAAAATGTGCATTTTCAAGCACCATGCGGTGCCAGGTATTTAAATTAATAATATAATTGATAAATTACTGACAGATAAATTTTTCGTGAGATTTCTCTGTATTGTCTGTGAGGTGATGAACCTGAAATTTGGTCGTTATGCTTTTACTCGCTGGGTTGGTCTATCGTACATGTTATTGCATTTTGCAATCTTCGGTTTCACTGTATCTGTATGATTTCTGTGAAGTCAAGTCTATTTGGTAGCTTATTATCATATGGGGCATTATTTTTGTTTTTCAGTGCCTTTGGTTGATTGAGTCTGAGTTTTTTTGATCTGACAGACCAACCTGGCGAGGACAAAATGATAGGTAACGACTGTGTAGCTACGAATGAAATAATCATAAATAAATATTTAAAGAGTTAATTTTATTGGTAATTTTGATTTTGTTCTTTCCTAGGTACTGTTTTGTGACATTAAAAGACGATGCAAATGTAGAAAAAGTTATGAAAGATATCAATAAAGTTAAATTTGGTGTCGGATATTTACAAGCGGAGAAAAAAGTACAGAAAGTTGAAGAGACAGTGGGCCCTGAGAATATCGATCCTTTTACGTATGTGTATTTATTATAAGCAGAAACATACAGTTTAAAACTAAACTTTTTCCTTGGTTTCCTTTAGATTATATGTTGGAAATTTGCCGACGAACATTAGCACATTGGAAGTGAAGGAAAAATTCCCGACAGCGACGAGAATCGATGTTGGTTATGCACAGAAAATGAAATACACAAGATATGCCTTTATACGTTATTCGACGGCAGAGGCTGCTTTCGAGGCTTATAAGACTTCTGTGAATTCGATCATAGCGTCGAGGTCAATCATCCTCCGGTTTAGAAGGCACAAGGCGCCAGTTGGGCCGCCGGGTCAGAAACCGAGCCCGAGTGTTCTAGAAGCAAAGGTACTAAACATACGACAAAATTTAACCTATTAAAAAAAAAATCATTTATTATTTTTCAGCCTGGTGAAAAATTAACAGTAGGTGCGAAATTAAAAGCGAAGAAAGAAAAAGCAAAGGCTGAAAAGGTGAAATTTCGAAGAAAAAAATCAAATTTGATCATTTTAAATAACCCTCATTTTTTTAACTCTTGAAAATTTTCTTGCAGCTTGCAAAAGAAAATGAACTTAAAAAACTTAAAAAATCCAAGAAAATAAAAACAGTGAGTAATGTTTTATTTTACTTATGTTTTACATTTTTTAAAACAATTTTTCTTTAAATTTGATAAAGGAGGATGCGTCATCGGACGAAGAGGAAGTAGAACTCGAAAAAGACGAATCGGAATTCGGCAGTGGCGAGGAGGATGACGACGACGACGATGATGATGATGACGATGATGATGACCCAGACGATGATGATGACGACGACGACGATGACCCTGATGATGACATGGTCCAATATGAAGACGATAATGTAGACGATGACGATGATGATGACGACCTGGACGATGACATCGAGGCGAATGTGAAAGTGGAAGATGACGACGATTATGCCAGTTACGGATACGTAAGTAATGAGTGTATATTTTAAATTTTACAAATTTTAACTTTTTTTTTTTTTTTTAGGCAGTGAATCTAGATCAGTTGACTGAAAACAAATAAAATTGATGAGGAAAAATCAAGCGTATTATTATTTTTATTTTTTTTCTAATGAGAATATCTGGTTTACTCAAGTCATTATTGATTCATATTGATATTTGTATGAATTGAAAGAAATCGTATCATTATTATTTTCACAATGGTTTTTAAATTCATAACTAAATTGATTTAATATCAATTTTTTTCTTCTTATTATTCAGAATTGAATGTTTAAGTAAAATTATGTAAATTTTAGCAGACTTTTTTTAATGAAAATCACAACAGGTGGACAAATAAAAATTGTTCTCCACTAAATTTCTCCTTATTGAACCCGACCAACAATCCAACTTTGTTTATATGTAAGTTTTTCTTTCTTTTTTTTTAATCTATCTTTGATATTCCATGACTCCAGCTCCATTGGTGTCTCTAAGATCCAAGTGGAATTGTTTATTGAAAAATGGCCAACTCCGACCTGAAATCTGATCAAGGAGTTCAACAATGAGTACAAGCCTTCGCATGCCCTCTGTTCAACATCAAGACTTGGTACAATTAACGGACATGAAAGAAATGAAAAAGACCGTCAGGAAATGACAAAAAAACAGCTTTGCCTAGAAAATATTAAGGAAATCTCTTTTAATACATGAAATGATAAAACAAAATCAATATTTTGGAATGACTTGTGTAAGGATCATGAACAAACTTATGATTTATTAATCCATACTTGTTTATTGACCATATTAATTATTCTTTCTAAGGTTTTGGTTGAGATGAAAAAATTATGATTTATTTTCAACAGTTTAGTTATGATCAACATTAAACATACATTAAAAATTGATTTAAATTCCTCTTGTTTGGATTGAGATATTAAATAAAACTTTTAATACATGAAATGATGAAACAGTCGACTTTTTGGAATGATTTGTGTAAGGACCATGAACGAACTTGTGATTTATTAATCCATACATGTTTAGGGGTCATAAATGACCATATTATCCCCATCTATATAATCCTGAAAAGATAATCAGGCTCTCCATTTTTTCCTATTGTTGGCCCTGTCAGCTCTTTTCACCTAAAAATGTCTATTCCCAACTTCCCTCCCCACCCCTTCAAAAGCCAATGTATATATACATAAAAACCAACATCTTACTGGCACTCTCAACATGACACACAAGAATGACACATCTGCACGGAAAACAAACTCTTTAAATGAGTACAAATACTTTGATTGAATCTAAAAAAATTTCTAGAATTGTATAAATTTTTTTTTAATCTAAAATTTTCTAGCATTGTATAAATTCATTTTTTTCACATCCTACATGTATTTGTAAAATTGAAACAGTGTCTATAAATCCCAGGCCCTGAAGAAGATCTCAATAAAGATTGAAACGTTGGCACGATAAAGAAAATGTTCTAAAACCTACATCACACCAGACCGCATCTCACAATCTTCGAATAATCAATGATCATATTAATTATTTCAATTAATTGTTCTTTCTTTCTAAGGTCTTGGTTGAGATGAAAAAATTATGATTTATTTTCAACAGTTTAGTCATGATTAACAATCAACACACATTACAAATCGAAAAATTGATTTAAATTCCTCTTGTTTGTATTGAAATATTAAAGAATCTCTTTTAATACATGAGATGATAAAACAGTCACCTTTTTGGAATGACTTGTGTAAGGACCATGAATGAACTTATGATTTATTAAGCCAAACATGTTTAGTGGTCATAAATGACTGTATTATTTATTTCAATTAATTATTTTTTTCTTTCTAAGGTCTTGGTTGAGATGAAAAAATTATTAACAATGATCAACATTAAAAATGAAAAAAATTAATTTAAATTCCTCTTGCTATTTAAAATTCTAACAAGACTATTTACTACTAGATGTCAGTTATAAATAATGAATTTTTTTGTGAAAGAACTTGCAGTTTATTAGTTACACATGGTTCTTTATGCAAATTATCTTGGTGAATAATTATAATAAAATAAATTATATATAAAAAGTGGACGAATCAACAGGTTGTATTTTTTATAGTTGTTTTTCTGAACATGATCAACTTTTCATGAGTTCGTACGTAGAAGTCATTTTGGCGCCTGGCGGTCATTGTTCCCAGGTGCGTATGCCTGGAATTCTCCCGCCTGTTGATCACTGTCAGTATGATTGAACCTACCTTATATTGATTATTTCATTTATCGCCAGCATTTTATTAATTTGTGACATCGTCGTACCAGAGTAAAACTCGGCTCAGGTTGTTTTTCTATTTGTTAGGAAATCAGTCAAAATTGAAAATATCCTCCGGAGTTTCATCATCGGGGGTTTTTACCGCCAAACCTCAACACCTGGCCCCGGTTCCCGCTTGCGGCCAAGCATAACTTGCCAGTGCGTCCGCCGTCCACCTCGTGCCGTTTCAGATTCCAGCTCCAGCTCCAGCCAGACCCGATTTCGACGAAATGTTTGAGGCACGACTTGTCCAGAGTTCCATCCTGAAGAAGGTTCTGGAGGCGATCAAGGACCTTCTGAACGAGGCGATGTTCGACTGTTCCGATTCCGGGATCCAACTCCAGGCCATGGACAATTCTCACGTCAGCCTCGTTTCTCTCAACCTGAGAAGCGATGGCTTCGACAAGTACAGATGCGATCGTAATCTTTCCATGGGCATCAACTTGGTCAGGTGCTGATTTCCTTCCGATTCCAACTCAATATATACTCTATATATATCTCAATATATACTCTTCCAACTCAATATATATATAAATTTTTTTGGAATTTTAACCAGATTTCTTAGTGGGAATCTCGAATGTTCTTCATATTTCAACCTGGCCGGTTAACCTGCAAAAACACAACTGATTCGTATTTAAACTTAGAAATTCAATCTTGTATAAAGCATGTTCATTAAGACCTTAAGCCTAGTATGCTCTGAGATTCTTTGAATCATGTTGCGGGGCAGAGTTGGGGCTGCGTAGATTCATTGTTGCGATGCAGCCCTGACTCTGCTCCACGACAAAGAACCCTGTCCAGACCAAGATTCAGTGCTTGCAAAAATGACGGAGGAACTAGCCCTCAGGAATTTCCCGTGCTCTTTTTTGCATTGCACCTCTTGGATCCAATTGGAGGTGCATTAAAAAACACCCAAAAAGATGGTGGGTTTGACAAATATTTCACGGCGGGAATCAGGGGAAAAATCTTTTGGACATGTTGAAATTAAATGATGGAACAGGGTTCAGAAATTTTTTGAGGATGTCTCCGACCGATTTTGAAACCATTTTAATGAATGTTGGCGGTCAAATTTCCAAGAAAGATACCAACTTTTGGGAATCTATCCCTCCGGCCAACAGATCAGCTGCCACTCTCCGGTTCCTAGCGAGTGGAAACTTGTATACAAGCCTCATGTACACCTTCTGGATATCAAAACAAACGGAATTGTCCTTTTAAAGTGAGTACTTTTTTCAATTTCGGCGATGGAAACACTGAAGTTTTGGGCTAAACTGTTCAATGTTTGGCTTTTCAATTCCCGATCTCTGTATTCCGTGAATGATACATCCCACAAACACCAATGGGAATGCATGTCTTCGATAAACTGTAATGTCAACTCGATACTCCACAACATAATTTTGTACAAGACTCAAAATCTTCAAGAAAACACTCACTGCAACGTAAACAAATGAAGCAAGAGTGCTTGTTCCGATACACATCCTCACTGGCAAATGTTGCGCAACATTGAGTCAAAGAATTCCACATCGGATGGGATTCAAAAGAGTCTGAAAATGCTAGCCCGCAACACACAGATTCATCGCAACAATGAGTTGGGGCAGCCCAGACTCCGGAGATTCAAAGAGTCGACTCAAAGAATCCCAGTGCGTACTAGGCCTTAAGCAATGAATACAGACTTCATTGGAACTTAATTTCGAACTGGGTTGTCCCACATGTACTCATAAGATGGATTGATAGATCTTGTCAGTCTTGTAGGCAATCTGAGTATATGGATCTGTTCGATACAATATCGAAGTATATCAAAGCAGTCTTCAGTCGTGTATTTGGGGCCGTTGGACCTGTAGCCTGGTTGTTTTAATTTTGGCCGCATAACCAAGCTGCTGGTATGAGGTATGTTCGCAGCAACACATTTTGTTGTATGCGGGTCTGCTTTCTGCAATGAATACTCAGATTAAATTATATAGGAGCCAGCCTCTTCATCTGTGACCAGTATTGGTCTATTGTGCATCTCCATTTTTTTAATAGAGCTCCTCATTAAGCTTAAGGCTTTTTACCAAGCCCCAAAGTTTTTTCAAGGGCTCTCATATTATCCTTCAGGCCCTGGCTTTTCCTCTCCCTGGAATAGCAATTTTAGTCTACATAGGCCTTCGCACCAACAGAGCTATTTCTTCTTATTCTTGGAAATATCTTCATAGGCTTGTTTCTGCCACTCCAAGTCTATACAGATGCCTCCAAAGTCTGCAGTGTCCAGTAGCAGTCCATATATTTCTGCAATGGTCCTTTGATACTTTTTCACATGCCTCTGTCCCGTGTTACATTCTCATTGAACGGAGAAATTATTATTAATCCATTGTCTAATGGAACATGTTTTTGGCAGTTTGGTAAGCCACAAGGTAAAATAGATGTCCTCGTTGAACTTTATTGGCCTCTTCATTGCTCCTCTGCTTTGTGTGCCATGGCACCCAGACAAGGGTAATTTTGTTATTTCCCCCAATGTCTGACAGGGCTCTAATGCAGTCCCAAACTACTGGACTTTACTGTCGACGTGGCAATTGCCTTTGTTGCCCTCTGGCTGTCCCAGTAGATAGCTATTCTTCTATTGACAATCCTCAGCCTTTTTATCTCCCTGGTACAGTGTTCAATAACCACAGTTTCCGCTTGGAAGATGGTAGTGTATTGTCCAAAGCTTCTATGAATTCTAGTCCTTGGTTTATTCTATATTAGGTTTTGGGGCCATCTGTAAACCAGATATGGTCGATATTAACTGGGACCCTTTCTCGTAGTCTGCTCTACAGGGTATTTTTAAATTTTTTTTGTCAAACCTGAATTTAGGGGTCAAGACATCTTCAGGCATCCCCTAAGTTCTGTCTAGCTGAAGCTAAGATTTAGTTGTTTCTTGTTGTTAGGCTATTGGAGCCTGTCCCTGCATTAGCCAATGAATTGTGGCTCTGGCCTCTTCCTGGATAAAGTTGGGTAGAGGAGGTAGATTCAGAAGGACTTCAGGGCAGTAATGAGGATCTGGAACACCCTTATGAATACCTAGGCTCACAATAAACTGAGATTTCCTCTTGAGACGATATTATTAAGCGTTCTGAGTCAAGTGGTTATGTACGATGCAACATCTAAGTTACCAACCCCAAAGTTGCCTTCTATTTCAGATATTACAAGCATTAAACTTAACTTGTACTCATTTTGACCTGCCTATTCGCAAATGATTTTACATGCAGGACAAAAATGATGAACAACAAGCATGTTCTCTTTACTGTGCCTTTTAACCGTGTTGATTTTGTCTAAGATAGCCTTACCAACAGATAGATCAGTTATGCCACTCAACATAGTATGATGTATTGCAGCTCTTTTTTCTGCAATGAATACCTAGGCTCAGATTGAACTTCGATTTCCTCTTGATATATTAAGTGATTTGAGATCTGTACTCCTGTATCATGCCATATTGTCAATTATCGACGCCAAGGTTGTCTTGTATTTGAGATCTTGGTGGTGCTGAATCTGTAACTTCTTGTTTTCTGTCATTTTGGCCTGCCTATCCACAAATGTTTTAAATTTTATAGTTACAGATATGACCAGCAGCATCTTTTAACTGAATTGAACAGGTCAAAGCTTACACTAATGAATCGGTTGACAGTAAGGCTGATCAGCTTTGATCGTTGAACCTTATAGAAGTGTTGTAGGTTGTGTGATATATGATCTGGTTGCTGCCTTGATGGACTAGTCTTGGCAGTATGAGAAAGGCATGTGTTCTGCAGCATCTATATTTACTGAGATGTCGATTCCTTGGGTTACTTCACATTTTTCAAATCTTATAGTTATAGTCTTTTCTGGAGATATTACAAGGTGCATTTAGCACCATTTCAATCTTGAGCTTTATTGTCTATTTATAATTAGGTTTCTCTGGTCAATGCCAAAACTAAATAATAAAAATCACATATTTTTTCTTTTTTTTGTTCACAGCATGGCCAAAATCATGAAGTGCGCAGGGAACGATGACATCCTGACGATCAAAGCTCAGGACAATGCTGATACGGTCATGTTCATGTTTGAATCTCAGAACCAAGAGAAAGTATCAGATTATGAAATGAAACTGATCCTTCTGGACCAAGAACATCTTGGAATTCCTGTAAGAATTTTTTTTTTTTTTTTAAGTAAAGAAATATTCTTAACAGTATAATTTCTAGGAGACAGATTATTCCTGCATTATAAAAATGCCGTCAGGCGAATTCGCCAGGATATGCAAGGACTTGAGTATGTTCGGCGAGTCAATTGTCATATCTTGTTCAAAAGAGGGTGTCAAATTCTCAGCGACTGGTGATGTCGGATCAGGTCTCTATCGCCAAATTTTGTGATAAAATACAGATAGTTTGTTTTTTAATAATTGATTTTTATATTTCAGCAAATGTGAAACTGGCCCAATCTTCAAATGTGGACAAAGAAGAGGAAGCAGTCACCATTGAAATGCAAGAGCCGGTGACTCTAACATTCGCATGCAGATATTTGAATTCGTTCACAAAAGCTACCCCGCTGTCGCAACAAGTATGCCCTTATTTTATTTTTTCCTTTTTCATTGTATTTTCTCCTACAAAAAAATATTTTTTAAATTTTAGGTTCAACTTTCTATGTCAGCTGATGTACCGCTTGTAGTCGAATACAAAATCGGAGACATCGGTCAAATAAGATACTACCTCGCTCCCAAAATTGACGAGGAAGAAGATAACTAAACTTTTTAAACAAATTAATATTAACACAAACATAAACAAAATCACTACAAATACATACACAAAATGTAAATATGTTCACAATTTTTGTTTTCAAATGTTTTCTTCCCTTAGTTAAAATTGTATATAATGATAATGCGATTGAATCTTGAATTTGAACAGAATATTTTTGGCCACCTGTTTTTTTTATTAATACAATGCGTTGAATTCTTTTAGTTGGTTGTTTTAATATCACTCCCCATATATTACCAACCATGATTTCACTATAATCATCTCTTTTACCCTACCATAAGAGTCTACCTTCCGACCTTAATAATCTTATGAGGTTTCCAGTGGTCTGCATGGTGATGTACCAATTTGATCCTTACTGATAATCATGGTCATGTCAGACCAATTCGGTGAGGATAACCAAGTCGCATCGATTTTAGAAAATGCTGATAACCAACCTTAATTTTTTACTACTATTGTTGACCTACTTGGTTTAACTTCCTAGCTACTCCCATTACTTCATTAAAAATTAAATGCCTTCTTAACTACTAATTTTTTTACCTATTTACCTAATTCTTAAAATAGTAGTAAGTTACCTACCAAGTTTATCTTATCTATCTTCCAACCTACGTAATAATTTTAACTACCAGTCTACTACCAACTACCTACTATTATTCACTACAAATTATCTACCTTCCAACCTACCTAATAATTTTAACTACCAGTCACTACCAACTACCTACCAGGTTTACGTTCCTAACCAGCCTCCCTTTTCCCACAAATTATCACTACCCTTCCATTTTTAAAACTCGAACAGCCTACCTATTTTCATTACAAAATATCTACCTCCCTACAAACTAATGTTGATGAACCTAATCTATTAAATTCTTTTCAATTAATTAAGGTTTTGGTTGAGATTTAAAAAAAAATTTGAATCTAATAATTTAACTGACTACTATTTTCATTACAAAATATCTACCTCCCTACAAACTAATGTTGATGAACCTAATCTATTAAATTCTTTTCAATTAATTAAGGTTTTGGTTGAGATTTAAAAAAAAATTTGAATCTAATAATTTAACTGACTACTATTTTCATTACAAAATATCTACCTCCCTACAAACTAATGTTGATGAACCTAATCTAATAAATTCTTTTCAATTAATTAAGGTTTTGGTTGAGATTTAAAAAAAAAAATTGAATCTAATAATTTAACTGACTACTTAACCTTCCAGGTTTACCTTCCTAACTTTTATCTTTTTACTAGTAATTATATACATGCTAACATTGATCAATCTATAATTTAACTACTAGTCAACTACTTAGCAGCTTTTCGTTCCTATTTGTCATTTTCACTAGAGATTATCTACTTCCAACCTCCTAAGTAGTTGATAAATCTACCAAGTCCACTACCAACAACATACTAGGTTTACCTAATTAGTCTCCATTTTCACGACAAATTCTCTACCACCCAACCTACTAGCTTGTTGATCAAACCTACCTAATAATTTTACTACTAATATCTACCTTCAAGGCCTAACTTCCTAATTCTTCTCCATTTTCATTAGAAATTATCTACCTTTCAATCTATTATAGGATGTTTTAATTATCATCATAAAATAATTCCATTATATAGTCATGCTTATTGTTCAATTACTCGTGTGTCCCAGTTGAGTGGTTCTAAACACTTTACAATGTTTGACAAAAATTTTTTCAATTAAAATTGCCAGGTTCGAACCCAGAACCACTAGCATGGGAAGTACAAGTCGGACGCCTTAATCATTTGGGCACTGTGGTCATCATAAACTATCTAACAACCTATCCTAATTATCTATTACTTTCTCTGTAAACTATCACCCCTTATTTTCCTCCTACTCTAGCCATTATCCATTCAATTTCTTACTCTTTCTCCAAACTATATACCAATTAACTATATTCATTTTAAAAAAATTCTCTTCACTCTGAAGTCAACCAAACTAAATCAGGGTGGTGGATAAACTAAGCAAAGCTTTATAAGAATAATAATTTAATTTTCAACAACGCTATTTACGTGGTTGACACCGTTTTCAACAGTGTTCAATTGGTAACATTGATTTTGTACTATTACAATTTTTTTTAACTTCACGTATTATTAATTTTATCTCTTTTTATCCCACTGTTGCCAGTATTCCTGGGTTTGCATTTCTGAAAGACGAGATACAGTCCTGTCAAAGGCAAAGAGCTCTTCATTGCCGGTGAATATATTCGAGCTAGCATTTTCCTGAAATGTTTAAAATAAGCATTACAATGTTAAACCTTGGTGGAAAATAACATTACATACAGAACCAGCCGTAATGTTGAGATCGTCCATGAGTGCTCTGTGCTCGTCCAACGTAACGCCATCCGCCTCCTTTAGGAAAAGCTGTTTATGCGAAACATCTGATGAAATCACAACTCTTACCTTAGAAAAATGTAAATGCACGTTTAAATAATTGATTAAAACAGTTTTTTAAATTAAAAATATACGAACTCTGTTATCATAAAGCGTATCGATCAAAGTGATAAATCTTCTAGTCTCAGATTTAAGCTTCAGACTTAACTGAGGAATATCTTTAATAAGGATTGTGTGAAAAGCTTGGGAAAGCTGCAGATAATCACTCGCTCCAAGGGGCTAGATTAGAATTAATACAACACACTGATAACTTTTTAAAAACTTTTTTTCCTATAACTTTTATTTATTTAAAAATACCCACTCTTGCGCAAAGTTCGTCAAAACTAGAAAACATAATCTGTCCGCAAGTTTTGTCAAAACTGACATTCCTTCCCATTATTGTCAACGTTCTCGGCCGGATTATATCATTTTCCATCGAGCATAGCAATTTGAATATTTTATTCATTTCCTCGTCTGCGTCGACTTCAGATTTTCTGAGAAATATATATTTTTTTTTTTTTTTTTTTTTTTTTTTTTTTTAAAGGACTGAATTTCCTTGAAGAAACTCACATAAAATACACTTTATCTTGCCCTTGTGCAGACTGCGTCCTATAGTCAATCCCAGACTCCAATGATACTATTTTACAGTGGTCTTTAAGTACTTGTATAAATGGGACAAAGTTTGAACGTTGAAGGCCGTTTTTATAAAGATCGTCAGGGTGTCTGTTGCTCGTCGCAATGACAACAACACCGTAATCGAACAATTCGGTAAAAAGCCTTTTCAAAATCATTGCATCTGCTATATCTGTTACCTACAAATGTTTTTATGCTTTATCATTTAAAAAAAAAAAAAAAAAAAAATTAACCTGAAATTCGTCGAAACAGATGAGCCAACATTGTTCACTGATGTCTTGAGCGATGGGTTTAATTACATCGAAAGGTTTTGGTTTTGTGCTAGTTAAGTCTCGAACTATTGTTTTTTTCAGTTCATGGATCCTCGAATGGACGTCAACCATGAAAGAATTGAAATGAACCCTTTTCTTCTTTTCTGTCTAAACCATAGCCGATAATAACTTCTTTTTTTTCTATAATTAATTTGATTTAATATACCTGACAGCAATTGTAAAACAGATCCATTAGCATGGTTTTTCCTCCTCCAACAGCACCATACAGGTAAATCCCATTCGGCGTTTTAACAGACTGTTTTTTTCCTATAAGTTTACTGAAAAAGCTGGCCTTTGGCGGCTCGTAAGTTTCAATCTGTTCAAAAACCTTTTGGAGCTCACCTACGACCATCTTCTGGTGTCTGTCCTCTTTCAGCTCGCCAGCTTGTATGTGGAGTTCGAGCGCTTCGATCGGCCCGCTCTCGAACGTCGGCAGGGCGTTGAGCTTCTGCAAAAGGCACGCGTGGACATACAACTGCCGTCTCTGGGCCAAAACCGAGCAACTCTGTTTATACACCAGTTGTAATACTGATCCAATTAAGTAAGACATCCTGAACAAAAAACAAAACAAAAAAAAACGAAAGAAATTTTGTTGGTATAAGGAAAAGCAGAGATCATATTTAATATGATACTACAAAGTCGCACTACTCTCTCACAAGAAAATCAAATAAAGAATCATTATTTGAAAGGAATGATCAAGGAAGTCCTGACAGGGCCCAATTGTTTCTTAGAGTTAGACTATCAAAGAAATTTTACAAGGGAATATAATGTGAGAAGAATTAACTAATGCAGGACACCGACAATCAAAAAATTCCCTTGCATATTTAAAAGAAATAATGGGGAAAGAAAGAAATTGATAATTTCAACAGGTTTATTGACTTTGCACTGGAGGATTAAACAGACATATTAAAAATATTGTCATACGCAGGATGTGTAGATTGTGCAAAGATCCTAACAAAATTACTAAAAGACTGAAGTTAGAAAATTGCTGCGCTGTTCAGGTCTGGGCAGCTGATCCTTCGCCCAGCCTACTCTCGCCTCTTGTACACACACTTTCGCCCTGTTTCCACCCAGTAGACGTTTATTTTAATTTCCTGAAAATAAAACAACTCCTGAATCAAGGAGCATTGCATTTGCAGGGTCCGATCGCAACCTTCCATAAGGCCGTATTAGGAATATGCTGATATATAACTCAGTATTCCCAAGAACTGCATAGGTTGTGGAAACTGTAAATCACGAGAAATGTCCTGGTCTGATAAAAATTCCTAAGTAAATCCTAAGTCCTACTACCACATACAGCCTGGGCATCTTTCCAATGGCTCTTGGTGAGGGGTGATAACGACTCCTCGTCTGCAGTGAATGGAATGTTGCTGTGTCACTGCTGGATACCCTGAGGTCAAAATGGATGGACCCCTCCCGGAAAAGCCCAGACCTGAAGAATATACACTGGAATTCTTGAAAAAGCTTTGGAATCTGGTAAAAACTCGAAGAGGAGCTCTAGACAACAATGGAGATGCACAGTAGAATACTGATCACGGTGAGCAGATCATGGAGACCAACTTCTCTAATCTAATTTAGCTCGGTTATTCGCTGAGCAACAATTCAGTGTTTGCCTTGCTAATTGTTAGTTTTCTTGTCCGTTTCAAAGTGCACAAATATTCATGAAGTAGCCAAACTCAAAGTATCCACACATTCAGGAATCAATGTAATCAATTGTAATCATCAATCAACTCGGCTATATGTTTTTCCATAATAAACGATTCCTAAGTAGTATATATATAAATTAAATAACATCATAGTGTTATTTCTGTTAGTTAGGAATGGATTGGCCCAGGATAACAGTCTTGGAGATCCTCGATCTGTACCAAGCTGAAACAATACTTTGGAACATTTCTCTTACAAATCAAAAAAATCAAAACGAGGTTTTCGACACATGGAAAATAAGATGAGGCAATTGTACTCCTATGATCGAGTTTGTAGCCACTACACAAAACAGTAACCACAGCTACAGAAATGACAATTTCACTGTTATCCATCAGGATTGGTAGTAAGTTAAGGAGTCACATAGCAATTAGCAAATACGTATTCGCTGTTTCCGCTGGTTGTACAAACCTCGCATGTGTGTAAAACATAGGCATGCTTTTTGGCGAATGCCAAGACGAGCATTTTGAGACTTGGCAAATGTTCAGCAGCATTGGCAAGTATGGAACCATGTTTACCCTGGAGATGATTGAAAAAGGAAGGCAGATGGGGAAAAATGACAGCTGCTGAAAGTTCTATGGACCAGAATACACTTCATAAATTATTACAAAGATTATATATTAGGCAGGGTGGACGACCAAGACCTGAGGGGTTAAAGGCCTAGGTAGATTCGTACCCCATCCCTAAAAGACCCAGGACTTGGTCGGCTCACCTGTCCTGCATAAATCTCTTGGACTTGTTCACAAATCCCAAGATTTTGGACCATTTAATCTCGAGGAGTGATTTGTGATGTCCGCTCCTTCAAAGATTTCAAATCTAGACCTAGCGTACCTATCACACTCTGCAAGGTAGTGCCTTGCCGTTTCTTCTTTTATTTTTCAAAAGCGGCAAAAGGGTATCTGGTAGAATACCCATTACGGAGAGGTGTCTTCTCAGTGGGCAGTGGCCCAAGATTATTGACCATGTAATATACTTGCACTAGACACAGGCAAAGATCATGAGAGAAAAATAGGTAATTTCAGAATGTTTAGGAGGAAGGAAGAAGAAAGTGAGAAATTTAACAGGGAACGATGTCGACAAATCCAATGAACACAGTACAAATCTAAACCAAATTATTGCCCTTGTAGCTAAATAACTTAACAAATTAAGTCCTTTTTAAGGATACATTATCCTTCTGGATTCAAAGTTTTAAACAAGTCTGAACAACCCAAGCCAAAGAAATGTCTTTAAATGCAAAAATAACAAATAATTTTTGGAACAAAACGAACCTTTGACTCAGTTTTTCAGGAATAATCATTATGTAACATTTTACAAGCACAATTAACAGATAACGTAACTATTAGCTTTTTATGTATAAAAAAAAAGAATTTATTTAAATATTTTTTTGTATAAATAAGCAAAAGAAATTATACTTTATTATAAAAAGAAAATGATGCAAAAATCAAAGAGAAATAAACATTGCATAACTTTAAAAAACTGGTTTGTAATTTTGTATGACTCACCTCATAAATATTATTATAATCACAGATGACTTTTCCCCTTTTTTTCCTATATAAAAAAATAAATAAAATAAAGAAGGACGAAAACGTACTATTTACATATTTGAACTTATACGGAGGGGATGTTAATTATTAATAATCTTTGGTGCAAGGACTGGTGAAAAAGGGGAAAAGTGAAGGTAACCCATGGTTTAAGTCTACTATATAAGTATTGACCCCACACGTTGGCCTACATACTACATAGTGCAACTAGCACACTAGCAGGGACGTCATGCTTATGATACTACTGATATCTGTTAACAACTAGATGAAAAATTATTTATCTTATCTGAAATAGTTGAACTTCCAAGTTCTGTTTATCTTCCTAAACTAATCTACTCAAAAATGAATAGATTAGAATAAAATTGCTAATTTTGTAGTTATTTTCCCTAGCATTTTATTTTATTTTTATTATAAATTGCATTAAAATTTATTAGAAATTGACGTTTTTTACTGATATCTGTTAACAACTAGATGAGAAACTATTTTCTTATCTGAAATAGTTGAAATTCCAAGTTATCTACCTAAACTAAACTGCTCAAAAATGAATAGGGATATTGCCAATTTTGTAGTATTTATATTCCCTAGAATTTGTTTTATTTCTATTATAAATTGCATTACAATTTATTAGAAATTGTCATTTTTTACTGATATCTGTTAACAACTGGATGAGAAACTATTTATCTTATCTGAAATGGTTGAACTTCCAAGTTCCGTTTCTCTCCCTATCCATCCCCAAACTAAACTTCTCAAAAATGAATAGGGATATTGCCAATTTTGTAGTATTTATTTTCCCTAGCATTTTATTTTGTTTTATTAGTTGTTGCATTCAAATTTATTGGAAATTGTCTTTTTTTTTTTTACTAAAGGAAAATTTAATTAAAGTATTTTGACAAATAACAAAATCGGTATATAATTTTGTTTATTGAAGAAAATACTTTTTTTGAAACAATTAATAGCCATGTATGATGTCCTCTTTTGGCTAAAACCCCTGTGCACCTGTTAGTCATACTGTTAATAAGGTCACTAATTTCATAAGAAATTGTGCTCCACAGATGTTGCGACGAAAAAAAGAAAAAAAAAGCTATTTGTAAGTAAGTATATTAGGTTTGAATGCTGGGACGCTGGATTCAAACCTGGGACATTTACAATGTGTCAACACCTACACCATTTCGGCCATCAATGCACCCTTTCCGACATACATTTAATGAAAATGGATTGATTATAAAAAAAAGTGTTTATATATGCTAATAATTTTGTAAAGATTTCATTATGAATGTAAATAAAAGTAAAAATTACAACCAGTAGAGTTTCAATGAGAGTTGTGCGTGCAAGATTTCTTTTTTTTTTGTTCAGAAATTTTTGAGGCTGCCGGAGCTTGCGGGGTAATAAACTGCAATGACCAAAATTGCAATTTAAAAAAAACAAAAAAAAAACAGATAAGGATGAGCTCATGCTGAGACTGTTGCTAGTCTGACTCCATTATTATTAGCCATACAAGCCTATGGGAAATGTTTAAATTATGGAATAAAAATTCTAATTTAAGAGAATTCTAATTGAAAAAATTAAATAAATAAATAAATTTTAAAAAATTTTTGTAGGTAATTTAAAATTTTTTTTGCATACTTTTGGCCTTCCAAATGAAGAATTTTAAAAGGATAAATTAAACCTTGGATGGCAATAAGATAAATTAGTTTACGAGTGAATGTTGGAGTCAGAGCTTTATAGCACTCAGAAGCCGTTAAAACGCCCTTAAAAACTAATAATAATAATAAATACAACCAGTAGAAAAAGGTTTATTTCATTTAATTAAAAATGAAAAAAAAATAATAGTGTCAGTTAAAAAAAAATCTGTAAATATTAAGTAAAATAAAATATACATTAAATAGAATAAAAAAAGCAATAAAATTGAAATATTTACAATTATTAATCATAAATGTGTGAAAAATAGTCCTGATATATTCCAATATAGGTTAGCTTTTCTTGCGGGGTCATTTCTGCAATCAGGGCGTCGTCAACGTCAGTGATCGGCACTGATTTGTCACCAACATGAACAACCGGTATCAAATCATCATCGTCAGAATCTACTATTTCAACTGGAAAAAAAAAAAATTATTTTGTTTATTGTAAATAAAGAACTTTTTTTGAAAAAATAATTACTGTCAGCAGGAGCAATCGAGTCAGCTTTAGACTGTTCGTCATCGCTTGAGTCTGAGTTATCTGGCATGGCGGCTTTCACCGCTGCGGCTGTCATCGCACCGTCACCTTTTTTCTCGTGTGCCAACAGAACTGACATAATGTCATCGCTGTTTTTAGGGTTTGAGACTGCCTTTTCAACTTCTGCACTTGCTCCAACAAGCGCTTCAGTCTAAAATGATAAAAATTATAAGAAGTTTAAAAAAAAATATATATATAATTAGTTTAAGCAAGTTTAAAAATATAAAAAATATTACCTGTGGATCATCTTGGGTGACGACTGTGCTTTCAACCATCCAAATGGGCTGTTCTTTCCTTGCATTTCCGCTTCCCTGTACTTCTGATTCTCCAATTGTGACATCAACCCTTGTCTCTTCGACGACGAACCCCTGGCTCCTTGTCGCTTCTCCTGACCACATACCTCCTTGTGTTTTTTTCGTGTCTAATCTGATAGAATTTTTTTTTTAATTAACAAAAACTTCAAAATATTCTACTATGCTTGATACCCACCCTCGTATTGTGTTTATATCGACAGGCTCAGGTTCCAGAACCTCAGGTGCTAATCGGATTCCTTCAACTTGCCTGAGAATGTCGTACAAAGGTTCGAGCTGAGAGTTGAACCTGGCGAGTTGCATTCTCGAATCCTTCTTCGGGAGAGCACTCAAATCTTCTTCTACTATCTCTCGGCAGAATGTACATCGGAATTCGCCAGTTATTACATCAAACAACTGATCAGCCTTGTAACGTAACAAATTTATTTTTGTTAATTTTTTTCTTTTGGGGTATGAAGGTGAAGAGCTTGCAGTTGGTCGATCATTTTGGTCTGGATATCCTTGCCGGTTTAGAAGGTTAGACACTTTATGGCTTTTCACTATGTACAGTGAGTGGCTTATCAGGGTTATAAGCATGGTGAGGCATTGAAGACTGTAAAAAGCTGTATGATAGACCATAAGAGCAAAGATATAAAACCAGAATGATTGGAAACAACCAAGCTACAAATTTATTAAAATAAAATTATTCCTATCATACAAAAGGGCTTAATGTCTAACTATTCAATTTGAACTCAGAACTGTGTGACAAATATGAGTCAGATTCCCTAACTAGTCAGCCACGAACGTTCCAAAATCTGCTTTTTCTTTTTACTGTTTGTCATCAACCTTATTACCACCTTTTATACAGTCTGATCATTATGTTTATGCTTTTCAACAACTATCGCTGAAGATGCAATACAAAACAAGTTTCAAAGAAAATTGCAGCATCTATAGCCATATTTGCAGCACTGGATTTCCACTTTAAAGTGTTAGTTTTTATTTTAGTGTCTAGGCAAACTCCTAAATAAACAAACAGCCCTCCAATAAATTTCCATTTTTCTGACTTTCTTCTCCTTGCCTCCATTTTGAGAAAAACACTTTTCAATTTACCCAAATTGACTTCTAACCCGCATTTTGAACAAAACTTTTCTATGGTGTTAATGTTTCTCTGGAGGCCACAGGGGTGATCAACGACTATAGCTAAGTCGTCTGCATACATGAGGATCTTTACTTTGACCCCACATTCCAATCGCCCGGACAAATCATTGATAAACAATGAAAAAAGCGAAGGGCTTAAAGGGCAGCCTTGCCTAAGCCCATTTGTGACTGGAAAGCCTGCCATATCATCTTTCACCCACATTGCAGATGCAGCACCATCATACAAAGCACAAAGAGAATTTACGCCTTTCTTTGTATTCCCAAAGCAAGTAATTACTGCGTTAAAAAATGTTTATATGATAATAAAGAAACAAAAAATAACAGGAATAGGAAATATAGATGAAAATGATCAAAATAAATTAGAAAGATTTGAGGTTATTGTAAAAATTTATAACATATACAGGTTTTTTTTTGTTCTTCCCAGAAAAAAAGCTGAAAGCTAATAATGCTTTATGTAAAAACATGATAAGAAACAAAAATTAATCAAAGTAGATATGGATAAATAGATTATATTCAAAATGACTTTCTAACCTGGGAATTTTCATCATGGCAGACAAGCCTTCAATAACTTATGATCGAAACTGTTAAGGCAACTGTTATAGTCTTAACATTCTTTTCTTCCTTCTTTCATACAATTAAAAATTTAAACAATTTTATAATTACACTTTGATCAGTTTTACCTCAAGGTCTGTGAAAGTTTTGGAACATTTAGGGCATTTGAAACTCGCTCTACTTGTCGCATCCCTTTCTTCTGTCTCCATCCTCTTTCGCATCAGATCCAATTTGTATTTAACAACATTAACGAAAGTCTGAAACAGAGAGCATGGTGAAATTGTCGAAAGGTTCAAGAACAACATCATACCTTGTAGTTGATGAAGTAGTAGTTGACTTTCTGTGCCTTGCCATCTTCACCGGTCTCCATGCGAAGGCGGACCTGGATGAATTTGTCGTTCTTCAATGTTGCTATCCTCGCTCTGAGCATCTTTTTCTCGAATTTGAGCAGTTCGCAGATGTCGTCCTCTTTCATGCACGGGTTCCTGACGAGCATGTCAATGATGAGGGTGTCCTCGATGGAGTAGAAGCCTCGGACGACGAGTCGAGCCAGCTGCTTCAAGCTGCTGGGCACTTCTGTGACCAGGGGCGTGTCTTCGCCCATAATCGGATGAAGATGCGGATCGAGCCGCCTTTTCAAGATTCAGACTCTGGAGAGTGTCGCCGGCTTCAAAACAAAAACCTTGCAGAAACCTGGCTGTGAAGACTGTCAGGCAATTTCACCAGAGAGAGCTGGTTACATTTCAAACTTTTATGACAAGCACGACCTTTTTTTTTAAGTTTTATATATTGGATCGAAGGAAAAGAGTGAATTTATAAAACTAAATTTATAAAACATGTTGAAAATTCCTGATTCAGAAAAGATATAATCTATTTTCCCATTATTTGCACGGTTCTTAATTAATTTTTCGTTCATAATTATCATATATTAGTTTATTTTTACATAATTTCTAGGAAGAACAAGAAAAAGCCTGTATAAGTTTTTACAACAAACATAAATCTTTTTGATTTACTTTGATTGTTCTTTTGGGTATGTTTGCTTATTTCTGATATGGTTTTTGTTACTCATTGTTTATTATCATATTTTTAAACATAAATTATCATAAGCTTTCGACTTTCTTCAAGGAAGAACAAGTCAGACAGGATATCTTTACCTAATATCTGCAGTTTTTGATACTTAATTATTATATTTTTGATCATTTTTACACAAACTATTATTAACTTTCGATCTTTCATCAAGAAGAAACAAAAAAGCCTATATGTGTCAGAAAGTCAGACAGGATACATTTACCTAATGTCTGCAGGGTTTTTGATTCTTAATTATCATATTTTTGATCATTTTTACATAAACTATCATAAGCTTTTGGCTTTTATTCACAGAAGAACAAAATAATAATAATAATAATAAACTAGTAATGCCTGTATATGTTGTAAATGTTCACAACAAATACAGCTCTTTCTTGTTGAGTTTGACTGTCCTTTTGATTCTACTTTGTTTGATTTTGCTATTCCTCTGTTTTTTTTTAATTTTTAATATTTATTATTACATATATTTTTGAAATATTTGTATAAAATCATCAAATTAATTCTTAAATTTTGTATTCTTATAGGGAGAGATTTTGTATTCTTATAGTGGTTAATTTTTATGTTTAATCTCCTTGCCTTGGTCTCTTTGTGCCTGGTTTCTTAAGTAATTCTAGTTAATGTTTATATTTTTTTAATTTTCTTCTCCAGTGGGACTTTGGTAGCCGAATGGTTGTGTCAGACGAAAAAATTAAGCAAAAAAAAAAATAATAAACCCGTTATATTTTTCTACAATTATTATTATAAAGTAATATTTAAATTTTGTTTTAAACCAATTCAATCCCCTTTTTGTAGGTCGGACGTTTCTTAAAATACGAATTTCTCTAGTTTGCAAAGAAAAACTTTATTTAACCCTTTGTCATTTTAGTTTTATTTTAAACATTCGTTTATTTTTATATTTAAAAAAAAACGTAAAATAAAATAAAAGAGTCTATTTATGAAAACCTTAACAGTTTTGATCATAAGTTATTGAAGTCTGCCATGATCGAAAACGCGTGGCTGAGCCAGTCAGATCATCATAGCACTGGCCTTTCAGCTTTTCTCTGTCAGCTCACGAGGTTCTCGTGTTGGAATACACGACAGTAATTTAAAATTAAATTTTTCTGCTGTGTCTTTAGCTTAAAATGAAAGCAAAGGGAGAGGTGAGTAATTTAAATTATTCAATTAGATAAATAAACGTATAGAGGACAGTAAAAGTGACCCGGTGTCTTGGTCTTGTCACGTCCCATGTGCTGTAACCTCAACTTCATCTTAATACCCTCAGATTTTTTCTAATAAATCCAATTATTGTAATTTCAGTTGAAAGAATTCGAGGTGATCGGTAGAAAGATACCCACCGAGAAGGAGAAGACGGTCCCTTTGTATAAAATGAGGATCTTCGCCCCGGACGCTATCGTCGCCAAGTCGCGTTTCTGGTACTTCCTTCGCCAGCTGAAAAAATTCAAGAAGAGCACCGGAGAGATTGTATCACTCAAATCGGTAATTTCGAATTTCTTAAAGTTTTCTGTATTCAGTTATCAACTAACTTTAATATTTAAGCGTAAGTTTTTGACTTGAGGCTTGCTGACCAGAAGCCGTCTGGAAGCATTTTGAAGACTGCTGTGCATTACAGTACATTTTGTCCAATCTGGTTACATCATCGTTATTATTATCTACAACTGCATAAATTAATGCATTGAAACATAAGTGGTGTGTTAAGCATGAATGTATGCCAACGATGACCTACCTGGCTTTACATGCACAGTTGATCGTGTGGCTCAACCTCCTGGTTAGAGTGGAAGGTGGTATTCCTGAGTGGAAAGGTCACGGTTGTGGAAGTTGAAAATGGAGATTATTTTGAGTGGAAGAGGGTATTAATGTAACCATCTTCTCATCCTGTATGTATTGAGTGTGAGTCAAAATTGATTGATTACATTGATCACAGAATAATAATTTGCTTGGGTTTGCTCTACCTTCTATGAATTATTACCTCTGCATCTTACAAGGAAACAATTGACGATTAAATTTTTAGCTTTTCAAATGCACGATACTACTCTGTTGTGGGACGGGATGCTCTTTCTGCTGCATTGTTTTGTAAAACTAACAAACCCCCAGTTACGACCTTTCCTCTGCTGGAAATATAATGCAAATGAAAAGCATCTCTTTGGGAAGAAATATCCGCCCGTCAGACACTAAGCTCCATGGTTCATCTTTATGTATCTATTATTATGAATGTTTAAAATGTGCCTTTCTAAACCCCCAAAAATTACAAATGAAAATTAGTAATTATTCTCTTATTTATATTATAATATTTCTTTATTCTTTTCTACGGATTCTCCTTGGTCCATTAAGAGCAAGAAAAAAGATTTTAGACTAAATAATTATTTATAAGAAAATATGAGAAAACAAGGAAGCATGCAAATAAATAGAAAAACAAAGAAAAAGAACATAAAGGAAAAAATAATATAATTGCAATAATTACCCACTGGATAAAGAGGTATTTTTCCTTATTAAACACTAGCCACTTATACAAACAGCTCTTTTTCAATCATTTTACATAAAAATAAAAAACGAGGCAGAGAGGAGTAAGGAGAGTTGGTGCAGCCGAAGAGAGCGAGAGAAGCCTACACTGTTTTGTCTGGTCTTTCCTGGCTGCCGGGCAAGTAATGTGGCTCTGATAACATCCGAAAATGCCGCCAAGTAATTTCGTCACACTACCTAAGGTCAGGATTTGCAAGGAGAGAATGGGAGTACACTATCGGCTTTTAAACCGAATAGGCCCACTTGGCTACGCTTTTTTAAATAGATGGCCCAAAATATTAATATGTGGTTGCGACAGTTTTGTTTTCTAATGGTTGTAATAATGTTAAATTTGGAAAAAATCCAGAGTTGTGAATTTTTAAGTAGAACACTGGAAAAATTGTTCTTGACGAATTCAGGCAAAAAATATCTATGAAAATTTTTATTAAGGGTTTTGTAGGGTGCTTAAAAAGAATCCGAATAGCTTTTTACAATAAAAATATTGTTTTGCCTACTTCACCAGAAGCTTCTTTTGGTTGTGGCTTTTTATATATTTATTCTTATTTAATACAATCCTGCGCACTATAAAAATAAAAATAAAAAAATTAAAAAAAAACCACTCCTAACCATCCCTATCTAATATTTTTTTATTTAATATCATACAAAGGAAAAGTTTAATTAAAATTGGTGATCTCATACTATCATATCGCTTGACACTAGATTAAAGTTATGAAAATAATTAAGATTTTTAGTTCCTTCCTGACCCAGAAGGCAGAAAGTCCATATTATAAAGTGTGACATAATATTTCCTATTTGTTGAAATCAATAATTAATTTTAATTGAAAATATTGTAGTATTTAAAAAAAACTAACCCTCAGGTTCCGGAAAAATCCCCATTGAAGATCAAGAACTTTGGTATTTGGCTCCGATACGACTCAAGATCTGGAACCCACAACATGTACAGGGAATACAGAGACCTGTCTGTGAGCGGCGCAGTCACTCAGTGCTACAGGGATATGGGCGCTCGTCACAGGGCAAGGGCTCATTCTATCCAGGTATATACCTTTCCATATACCGTTGCTGGCTTAATTTCTCAAAAAGCTCGGTTTTTATTTATTTATTTATTTTTTTAATTGATCTCTGCTTTGTTTTCTAGATTATCAAAGTCAAGGTGATCGCCAACAGCAAGGACTGCAGGAGGGCTTTAGTCAAGCAGTTCCACAACTCTAAAATCCGTTTCCCTCTACCGAAACGTATCCAACAAAAGAAGGAAATGCCTTTGTTCTCGGTTAGGAAACCAAGAACATACTTCCTGTAATTTTGTTTCTTAATTTTAAATACACATTTTTTAAAATGATTATTGTCTTTTATTTTTTATTCTTGTTCAATATGCCTCTCAATTAGGCAACCAAGCTCTGTTTCCTCTCTGGGCTCACATTCAAATTGAGCTATTTTCAGTTCCACTTCCATTTCTACCTCAGTTAATGGAGAACCTTGCAGCTTCAAAGTTGTGCTTAAGGCTTTTTTTTTTTAAACAAGGGCTTAAATGTAGCCATGAATTTTCCTTTGGCTTTATCATTAATGCCTATTTTCACACTTATTTTCATCCAGACATTATACAATACAATGTACATTATACGCTTTATTTTTTATTTAAATAAGTAGTTAGTTTGATTGTTGCTCCAATCCAGCTGTATATTTTTTATTGAATACTATAAAAAAAATAATATATAGCGAGAGCAAAGTGTAAACGTTCCTTTTCACTCTGATACCTGTCCCTTTTGACCTGAACAAAAAGGGGAGTACTGGGTAATATGAGTGGCCCATTTTTCTTGTGCCATGATGGTCTAAATTGAAACAGCGTAACAAATCAGAGTAGCAGACAATCAAAACTGCTGTTTTTTGTTAATTTTGATGACCACTGTAAATTTGTTCCAAAATGGATGTTGTCAATTCTAAGCTCTATTAAGAACAAACGTTACATGAGGTGGTTGCCAATTTTGGTTCAAGGTAGATGGACAAAGCACACACCATAAGTCCTGATTCTGACCTTTGCCCCTTCAGATTACACCTTCTATGCAATTTCATTAAGGGAGAAAATGGCTACAAAGGGAACAAGGGACTCATAATTTTTTAACATGTTCACTTCAGATGACCATGGCATCATGAGTGAGTTGTTTCACCATGTGGATAATGCCATCATGAGTGAGTTGTTTCACCAGGTGGATAACACTATGGCATCATGAGTGAGTTGTTTCACAAGGTGGATAACACCATGGCATCATGAGTGAGTTGTTTCACCAGGTGGATAACACCATGGCATCATGAGTGTGTTTTTGCCAGGTGGATAACGGCATCATGAGTGAGTTGTTTCACCAGGTGGATAATGCCATCAAGAGTGAGTTGTTTCACCAGGTGGAAAACGTGAAATGTAGAACTGAAGTTCTTTCAAATCTCTCAAAAAATATCCCTAAAGACAACTGAAATCAGTCCCGCAGTGAATATATTAAAGCAAGTTTATGATGCCAATAAATAGTCAATTAATTAATAATGTAAAATTTGTTTATTAAGAGTTTATCAACTTATAACATTTTGTCACAGTTATTTTATATAGGAAATGCGAAAGCTTTGTTACAAATGTTAAAACAATAATTTTACTTTTAAATAAATACACTTCTTGAATCCTGGTATAAGGAAGAAGATTCAAGTAGTGCACTGCATAAAATTACATAATTAACAATAATAAAATGGTACACTAATATTTTATCGATGTTAACGTGTAGAGGAGATATGTGAAAAAGCAAATGATAGAAAAACGATATTTTAAGTTCAATATACATTGGCTTTGTAGCTGACGACAGTGTCCACTTTGTAGAGCGATGTTGAAAACGACCTTAGCTTAACCTCCTGTGAATTGGCAATAAGGCAGGGCCCCATTTCGCCCCACTGATCAGGTACATCGATATCGGGCAATGTGTGTATTAATATATCAAAAGAACCTGGAAAAAAATAAACAAATAAATACACATAAAAAACAAGAATGGCTCTACTTACAAAGGCAATCGAGAAGAGGAAGAAAGCTGACAGTGGAGCATATTTGCCGTAGTACGTCCCTGATTTCTTTCTGTATGACTTTAATGTCCTTGTTGCCCACCGGCTCTTTCCCGTTAATGACTTCTTTGCCTTTCATCGCCTCTTCGCATTGTAATTTGAAATCCCACCTTTCCAACACCTCTTTGTTTGAAATGTTGGTGATCACTAGTGATATCATCTGGATCTTCCCGAGCATGAGCCACTCTAGACAGAAATGCATGGAATTGTTAGAATTTTTAAAAATTAGACGCCGGATTTATTTGACGAGGTTTATTAGGCTGTACGCACACTTTGTAGTGGGGACTGGTTTCAGGGGTTCAGCGTACAAACTGTCGGGTCTAATTATTCAAAGACATAAGCCTATTATTTCTAATTCTGTCCATTACGGCAGAGAATAGAAAGACTAAACGATCAAATAATAAATATTGGACTTATGTCAATAAAAAACATACAGGATCTGGAGATGATCAAATTACAAGATGTTAGATATTTTTAGATCTAAGACGTGATGAACCATGAACCACGTTCATGTACAAGGATGGCTTTTAAGAATGCCAAAAGACTCCTGATATACTAAGAAATAAAACCAGATCTAATCATCACAAAATTGTAAAGAAAATAAAAATAAATCAGATATCTATAACAGCATCCGTGAAAAAATGTGAAGAAAGCTAAACTTTGACAGACCCTTCCAATTACATTCATGACAGAAATCTTTGGAATAAAGGCAAGTCTAAGTTTCAGGAAGGGGCCAAAATCTGGAATATTGATGGATGAAAGATGGTCTAAGGGTAAAAGGGCTAAAAATCAGACCCCATAGGTTCATGCAATACAACTCTGCATGGATCTACATACTTTCAGATGGTCAGGAGGCTATAAAAGCACTAAATATGTATGCTTTTAGTTCCAAAACAGTCTGAGAGTGTACAAATTGCCTAACGGTCCTAGAAGAACACAGCAAGGTTACCTTGAGATTCCAGATGATGGTATGGTAGCTGACCAATTAACCAAAGAAAGAGCCGTATAATCCAAGGGATCGGAACCACAACTAGGTACACAGAGTGTGGTTAGGGCTGGAAAAATGGCTCGATGAAGCAAGCTAAGGGATTTAAATATCTCTCAAAAACTCTCTTTCAGCAGGCAAGATTTCAGGAAAATTACAGGCCTCTACTCTATACTGGCCCTCTTAACTGACTAAACAAGTGGGAAAAGCACAAACAGAAACATGCCGATTCTGCCATGAGAAACCATAGACATCGGCATATATCCCGTGAATCCAAGGCACTTCGGTAAGGCGGTTTCTCTCACCTAGAGAGCTCAAAGGCACTCAGTAAGTGCTTGGTTTTGTGGAGAAAAACACAGTTTCCATGGTACAGTCTTAAATATAAGGCTTATGGGGTGTTGAATCGCACTTAAACGGGTGCTTGTGACAAACACATGGAATGCTTGGACAAGAGCAGTTTTACAAGGGAAGTCGAAGAAGTTGTTTGTCTGTGGTATCTCTATCGCCCCTATACACTAAGACGGCGACAACACAGTATTGGGTCTATCCGATTTTAAGGGATAGAATTATAATATTATTAGAATAACTGTCTCTACCCAAAATTAGATGATTATGAACTACCCAAAATTATTCAATTATTTTAGAATGTCAATTAACCCTCGGCAATTTTTTTGCACTTGATTAAGGGCAATATTTAATCAAGACCTCAATGCATGAGGGATTCCCACTAGAACAAAAACTAGTCATAAAACATTGGAGAACAAGAGTGCACCCACTTTTAAAAATAGATTGGAGAATAAGTTAAAAGCGCCAGAACTTTTTTATCATGCTGCAATGCTGAACTGCTTGACGGTAAAACCACCTATAAATCACTGGAACGTGGTGGTTGATGAGATATAGTCATTTGTGATGGTTGTGACAGATACGGAGCTGTAATAAAGATAATAATCGCTACACACAACGTTCCACAATGTAGGTCTTTTTTCAATTCATCGATCAGGAGATCAGTGTCAACAAGATACATTTCTGTCATAATGATTGGGAAAAAAAAATTCTTTGGTAAAATGCGCGTTGATCTGAACAGACCAATTAGTTACTTTGTATCTCGACTCGGTGAATCGCGCATTACCATTTGCACCCTCTATTTTGAACTTCAGCATTTCACTAACGCACGTCTGTAAATGCGCGTTAGAAAATGCTTCATGTGTACTAGAACTAAGTTTCACAAAAGGTTGCAGTGGTAAAAAAAGAAGAAAAAAGCTACATATTTGAAGATGTTAGATATTTTACGATCTGAGAGGTGATCAACTGGTAGTTGATTCATCTCAGATCAACCGATATTTTCTAATTTTTACTGTCAAGGCTGAGAATACAAAATATTAATCCAACAACAAATACTGGACTTACATCAATAGAAAATATACTACAAAATTGAATTAATTGGGGATGATCAAATTACAAATATGAAAATATCAGATATTTTGACATCTAATATCTCATGTACCTGTAGTTTGTTCATCTCACATCTGCATATCTTTTCTAATGCTGTCTGTCAGGGCTGAAAATAGAAAGACTAGTGATGATCAAATCACAAATATGGAAATTTTGAAGATATTTTAAGATCTGAAGTGTGATGAACCTGTAGTTTGTTCCTCTCAGTTCAACCTGGCCAACCTGTTGAATTATTCTGCCTGCACAGCTGAGTATAGAAAGAGTAGGATGATCAAACCTCGAATATTGGACTTTTGTCAATAGATAAAAGACAGATTTGGACGATTAGTGAAGATCGACAATTCAATTACAAATATGAAGAAGATATTTTGAGATCAAGATCCGATGTACCTGTAGTTCGTTCATCTCACATCAACCTGGTGAGCCTATTTTTCTAATTTTGCCTGTCAAAGCTGAGAATAGAAAGCCTAGGACCATCAAACAACAAATATTGCAGTTTTCTCTATAGAAAATACAGATCTCAATGATTACAGTCGAATAAATTACAAATATGAAAATGTTGAAGGTATTTTGAGATCTGAAGGTTGAGTTCATTTCAGATCAAACATGTCAATTCTGGATCTCTGACATCCCTTGTGAATCTGAGGCATTAGACTGTATACGGTATAGCTAGTTCAATAAGGCAGTTCAGAAGTGTTAAATATTTTAAGATCTGAGGGGCGATGAACCTGTAGTTTGTTCATCTCAGATCGAACATGTTAATTCTGGATCTCAGAGCGCACATCTTTTGTGAATCTGGGGCATTGGACTGTATACGGTATAGCTACTTCCGTAAGGCAGTTCAGAAGTGTTAAATATTTTGAGATCTGAGGGGCGATGAATCTGTAGTTTGTTCATCTCAGATCGAACATGTTAATTCTGGATCTCAGAGCGCACATCTTTTGTGAATCTGAGGCATTAGACTGTATACGGTATAGCCACTTCAGTAAGGCAGTTCAGAAATGTTAGATATTTTGAGATCTGAAGGGCAATGAACCTGTAGTTTGTTCATCTCAGATCAAACCTGCCAATTCTGGAATTCAGAGCGCACATCTTTTGTGAATCTGAGGCACTGTGTAGCCACTTTAGCAAGGCAGTTCAGAAGTTTTAAATACTTTAAAATCTCAGAGGTGATCAACTGGTAGTTGATTCATCTCAGATCAACCGATATTTTCTAATTACTGGCAAGGCTGAGAATACAAAATGTTGATCAAACAACAAATACTGTTACATCAATAGAAAATAAACAAATTGGGATGATCAAATTACAAATATGAAAATGTGTTATTTTTGGATCTAATATCTCAAGTACCTGTAATTTGTTCATCTGACATCGAGCCTATTTTTTTATAATTTTGCCATGGCTGAGAATAGAAAGACTACAGTGATAAAACAAGAAATATTTTTGAGTTTGAAAAAATTATCTTTTGTTTGACCAAGGAACTAATGTTTGCAAAGGAACACAAGTTTCTGATTTTGTTTTCACCCTTGTCATTCATCGTAATATAAATTACTTGATAAATAAGCAAATGATACCTTTAATCTGGCTCAGCACGGAATCGAGGAACGAAAGTATTTTCTCATCGGTTGTTATGAACATTGACAGGCCGAAATGTTCTTCCTGGCCGAAACTCTCAGAAGGATAAACGCCCCTCTGGTACAGTATACTGTTGATGCCGAAATCTGAAAATCATGATCATAAATTAATTAAAATTAAAAAGTCAATATTAATACACATGCCGAGCTACTTACTCAAATATTCCAATATGATCTTGGACGAGCCCTTGAGTGTAATGGCATTATCTGACTTTTTCAACTGTTCTGTCATTATTATTTAATCACTATTCGTTCGATTATTTTTTTAAAATTAAATAAATAAATTTAAATTACGTAAAAACCAATGTATATTTTTTCCTTTGACTGCGTTTGTTTTAAGTTTAACTCACATAACTTGCTCTGTGTTAGCTCGAAAAGCATGGAAAAGTGAAAATTTTGATTAAATTTATTGACAAAATACTTAAATAAACGACAGACTCAAACAAGTCGGGATAAATCAAAGAAACGGACAACAAAGTGGGGGTGAGGAAAAACGGTTAAACCGAAAAAGCGATCACAGCGGCAAGCGCTACGAATCGATATATTTCACCGAGAAACGATATCAAATATAACAAATTATAAACAATAACAACGGCAATATAATTTATATTGTTATAAAAATATAACAAAACAAAGAAAATTTGTTGCTAAAAGTTAAATCATAAATTTAAAAAAGTATGTAGTAGTTGTTGATCAACAGTAGTTGTAGTTCAGGTTAGTGTTAAGGTCCAATTAGATACAAAAATCGAATTCCTCTCAATAATATTATAAAATATAATGTAATATATATCATGTAATACAGACAAGTTTAAAGATTTAAGATTATAAACAATTTAGCCATAAATCGACAAAGTTCATTGGAAAAAACAAGTTTTTTTTAAACACCCAAGAGGGAAATTTCGTTCAATATTTAAGAGATAAACATCAAAATTTCACAATTTCAATTATTAACTAATCCAATAAAATTGTAAACCGTAGGAAAGCATCATAACATAATTATTGTTTAAAATTTGACATTTAGCAAGTCCTATTAAATTTAAATTGTTGGCAAACAATATAGCCAGAAATGGGATCCTTTCCCCAAAAATTTCAAAAGTTAACTGATCCTTAAACAATTTAATTTGCCAAATATTGTAAAAGTAAATGTTATCAGAACTCTGTTCTTTAAAGTTCGACAATTATACAATTAGCCGGTCCATTTGCATTTAAACTGTCATCTGAAAGCTAAACATTATGAAATCATTTTATTTTTAAAATCAAGTAATCAAACAAGTCTAATTTAAAAAAAAAATTCTTGCCCTGTTCAAATTTCAATTGACAGCCATAGGCAAACATGAGATCCTTATAAAGATTGCTTGAAATTAGATACTTTCAAGATTATTAAGTGAGATGCAGTCTGGTGTGATGTAGGTTTCAGAAAAGTACTTTCAAGTTTAAACTACAGGAAAATTAAGTTTAAATTATTCACCGTACGGATATTTTTAGTATCTAAATGTTAATAATTAACTTTGTCCATTAAAATATAAATTATTCAAACATTAGGTCAGAGATAAATGTTACATTTTTATACTCTGAACTTCAATAATCAGCTAGTCGCTTCAAATTTAAATTTTTGACAGAATCATAGTCAGATATTATTAAATCATTATTCTCTGAATTTCGACAATAACTAGTATTTTCACTTTTTAAACATTGGGATACTTTTATGGGCCTAAATGTTGATAATTAATTTTGTCCATTAAAATATAAATTATTTACTTCAGTTAAACATTAGGACGGATATAAACATTATATTTTTATAGCCCAAACTTCAATAATCAGCTAGTCGCTTCAAATTTAAATTTCTGACAGAAATCATAGACAAATATTATGAAATCATAATTCTCCAAATTTTGTCAATAACAGTATTTTCAAATGTTAACATTTGGATCTTTTTAGTATCTAAATGTTAATAATTAACTTTGTCCATTAAAATATAAATTATTTACCATAGTTAAACATTAGGAAAGAGATAAACATTACATTTTTATACTCCGAACTTCAATAATCAGCTAGTCGCTTCAAATTTAAATTTCTGCCAGAAATCATAGTCAAATATTATGAAATCATTATTCTCCAAATTAATGGCCATCGGTGGCCGCAAGGTTTAGTCTTTGACACGGCGCTCATCACTGTAAAGTAAAGGTCCTGTAAGGTCATACTTACAAATGGGCTTTTTTCAAAAACACCGATACCCTGAGGGTTGATGCAAAAAAAAAAAAAAAAAAAAATGGAAAATTCATTTAACGATTTGAATGAACTTTTCATATTAACCCTGTTTAGCTTCTAAATAACCCTTTTTCCCCTCAAATTAACTTTTTTTAATATTTCAAATTAATCATTTTTAACTTCAAATTACCCCTTTTTATTTCAAACTAAGCTCTTCTAATGTCTGATTAATCCTTTTTGACCTCAAATTAACATTTTAAATTCCCAATTAACCTTTTTACAATTATCCTTTTTTTATTTCAAACACCTTTGAGAAACTTCCAATTATTTTTTTTAAATTTCAGATTAACCATTTTCAACTTCAAATTATTTTTTTTAGTTTAAAATTAACCATTTTTTAGTTCAAATTACCATTTTTTATTTCAAATTAACGCTTGTTAACTTCATGTTATGCTTTATTTGGAATTAACAATATTTATAACTTCAAATTATCGTTTTTTATTTCAAATTAGCCATTTTTGCTTTCAAATTATCGTTTTTATTTCAAATTAAACTCTGCTAAAGTTAAAAAAAAAGGATACTTTTATGTCCCTAAATGTTGAAAATTAACTTTGTCTATTAAAATGTAAACTATTTACCATAGTTAAACATTAGGACATACATAAACATAAATTTTATGTCCCCATAAATTTTATAAATTAGCATTTTAAATTTAAATTGCTGGCAGATACCATTGTCAAAAGTTATGATATCTTTATTCTTCAAAGTTCAGTAATTAGCACATTTAAAATTAAAGTGTCGACAAATGTTAGAACTAAACATTATGTTATCCTAAATTTGATGTGCTCTAGTCCAACTGGAAAACAATTGGCTATGATCAAAGCTAATCAATATTTTCCCACTTGGATTTCTAGTGTCCTTTTGCCTTTTCTAATATAAGAATGCGTCTTTTTTTTTTTGAGGGGGAATTTTTTCAAACTCCACAAGGGAAATTTCGCCGAGCAGTCGATTGATAAACGATAACAGAAACTTACGTCATGTGGAAATGCAATCATTCCTGTTATGCAGTTCTTGGAATCAGGCATCAGCAAATTCAAGAACAGTTGCACAATTACATGAAAAAATGGAGAATATGTTATATCATGTCAACTAAAGCATTCAGGTTTCTGTTTTTCTCATATTATTTTATTAACATTTTTTAAAACTATTTCTTTTTGATCTTGATTTATTAAAAAACAAACAAAAAACACTTTTGTTGAAGTATAGGACAGTCAATAAAGCCTAGTTGTATGGTGTTTTTAAATCGTCATTGTTAACTTATTTTTATGTATTTTTTACCTGAATTTACACCTCTGGAATTTTTTTTATGTCAACCATATAAAATATTCATTCAAGTATTAAAATAAAAATAAAATCTTGTATCTTTGCAGGAGGTGCATGTTGAACAGAGCTCTCTACAAAAGATAAGGTGAATCTAAAATCCTGGATATTAAATATTACTGTTCGTTCTCTCCTTTAAATTTAGTTTGACTCAATCCTAATCAATATTTTTTTTTTTAATAAAAACCACAAATAAGTCCTTCTAGTATTCTATTTCAAAGAAGTGCCAATTGAGTCCCATTCGTACATTCTAACACGTAGCATGTCCAGCAAATCTAGGCTGGTAGAGGAAACCGTTGAACTCATTAATAAGACTATCACCAGGTATGAGAATAGGGTAACCCTCATATGGATACCTGCTCATAAGGGGCACTATGGCAATGAAGAGGCGGACAGCCTGGACAAGGAAGGATCGAATACTGCGTTTGTCGGGCCACAACCGGTATTACCCCATTCTTTAAGCACAGCGAAAGAGAGTTTAAGTTGCTGGGGTATGAAACAATTCCTTAAAGAATGGAATATGTCCCCCGGATGCAGGCAATCGAAAGAGTTTCTGAAGGAAATCAAACCTAAAGAAACGAAATGGTTGTTCTCTCACTCTAGGAGGGGAATTAGGAGGCTGATAGGTATCCTAACGGGCCATTGCCACTTGAGAAGACATCTCTTCATAATGGGTACTCTACCAGACCCTTTTTGCCGCTTTTGCAAAACAAAGGAAGAAACGGCTCGACACTACCTCGCAGAATGCGATAGGTATGCTAGGGAAAGATTTGATACTTTTGAAGGAGAGGACATAACTAAAACACTCTCCAGGATAAAATGTCCACAATCTTGGGGTTTGTAAATAGGTCCAAAAGGTTTATGCAGGACTCGTGAGCCGAACAGGTCTCGGACCTTTTAGGGATGGGGTACGGGCCTACTCAGGCTTTTAACCCCTCGGGTCCTGGTCGCCCGCTTTGTGTAATATATAAAGGTGTGTTAAAGGTACATTAAGGAAGAAGGATTGCTTTATTATGGAGGAATCAAACGATTTCAGCAGTTATGTCATTTCCAGGAACTTTCTTGCTTAATGACTTGTGAATTTAAATTGACAATAAACACCTTAACATAAATTAATGAGATATTTTTCTTTAAAATATTGATAAAATTAGCTAACTCCTTGGATGTTTAAATGATATACAATATTCAATTGTTGATATGTTTATTCCTTAAATTTTAAATTTTAACTTATCAAAAACTACAACGGTTAGGGTTGGGGTTAAAAAGATTAAACAACATACTCACTCCACCATTTATCATTTCTAAAAACTACAACAGTTATTATTGTTTTTTATATTTATGATAGATCCTCTTAAGCGATCAAGATGGTAACAGAAGAGGTAGGGCTTGATTTTGAGCCTCGAGAGTACCAAGTGGAGATATTGGAGAAGGCCCTTAAAGAGAACACGATCGTGTACATGCCCACTGGGTCTGGAAAGACATTCATAGCAGCAATGCTGATAAAATACAAAGGGGAAAAAGTTGAAAAGTAAGAAATTCTCTTCTTTTAGAGAAAGGATAGTTTGTGATCTGATGTTGTGTTTAGAAAATACACGGAAGGCGGGCAAAGGATATTTTTTTTAGTTAATACTATCCCGTTGGTGAATCAACAGGCATCGGCAATTAGGAAACACGTGTCTTTCGTTGTTGGAGAATACTCAGGTGATATGAATGTTGACTATTGGAACCAGCAGACATGGGAAGACCAATTGGACCGTCATCAAGTACAGGCGAAGAATTTTTTCTATTTAGTCGTTACCGTTTTAAAACGAATAATTTTATAGGTTTTAGTGATGACAGCTCAAATATTTCTTGATTTAATTCTCCACGGTTATATCAAATTCAGTTCAGTCGCTGTTCTTATTTTGGATGAATGTCATCATGCTACAAACAACCACTGCATGTCTCAGGTAAGTTATTAAATTTAAAAGTTGTGATTAATGTTACAAAAGCCTTTTATTTTTAGATTATGTCCCAGTATAAACAGTGTGCAGATGATGAGCAGCCCCTTATTTTGGGCCTCACAGCAACTCTTCTTAACGCCAATTGCAAGGGAAATAATTTAGATCAACAAATTTTACAGTTAGAAGAATTGTTGTGCTCGAAAATTATAACTTCTGAAAATAAGAAAATGGTTGAAAAGTAAGTTTTTGGCAAAGCGCTAATAATAATTAAGTAAATAATAAATAAAAAAAATTGTACTGTGTCTTATGAAATAATTGTCTTGAAAAGATTTTCAGCAAATCCTATTGAGTATGTAGTGAAGTACAGCAATTTTATACCGGAGAGAAAATGGTCTGAAGAAATAAGTAATTTGATAAAGTATATCGCAAGCCATTTACGTGCCGCTTATTTCAACTCGGATCCTGTCTCAATTGGTACATATGATGGAGGACAAGAGCTGAAGAATAAACCCAAATGGGAGAAGAAAATATGCCTGTTGCTGGCCAATATTAGTGTGAGCATGTAATACATGTTAAAAGAATAATAAAACTAAATTGAAAAAGTACAATTACAGGAGGCGTATGAGACTCTCGGTTTATACGCTGCAAGTAAAGCGGCCCTTATTGTAATCGTTCGTTTAGAGAGGATCGCACTTTCTAAAATAGATGAGATATTGGTGGCCATCATCAAAGCGACAAATACTCAACTCCACCTATTCAGGTGATTTTTATTATAAATACTAACAATGCTAATAAAACTATAAAGTGATGGATGTAAATATCAAATTAGGAAAAAAATTGCAACCCTGTTAAATGAATACCACCAGGATTCGCAACCTCTTATGTTTTGTTCAGACAAAATGACGCAGCTTTTCAAAATTATGCAGTCTATCAGAAAGGAAGAATGCACAATCGTATTTGTCGAAAAAAGAATTACGGCTCAACTTTTGTTCTATATTTTTGAAGTAAGTATAGCTCCCAATATAGTAAGCGATATAGCAAAATGTGTGATAATCAATTTATGTCACAGCTGAATATAAATTAATCATTGTTAAATAATCAAAATCTCTGCCCATAATCCATAATACTTTACAAACGAATGAAATCAAACAGGACTTTTTTTCTTATTAGAAAGAGAAATGATGCTTGATGCTTTATACTTTTAGGGGGAAACGGGAGTGTGAAAAAAAGGCCAGGGGCAATGGTGGAAATTCTATGGGCTTCACGAGCCAAGAGCCTTTCACATTAACCACTTGGCTCCGCGGACCCCCGGACAAGATTTGAACTTCTTTTTCTCTTTCTAAAAGCCTTTTCATCTTCTTTTATTAAACAGTCATCTTTCACTCAAAAAGAGTCCTGGATTTATTTGATTATCAAATTTATCAAATCCTTTTCTATCTACCAAGAAATTGGGGTTTTTCCTTACTTAAATCTTTAACTTGCTTTGCGTCTCAGAAGCTGAAGTTTATCCTACCCCAGCACGTATCTAATGAGAAACTAGACAAAAAAATGTCATGTCTCAGGTTTTCCCAAAAATGCTAAAAAAAAATAAATAAATAAAAAAAATAAAATAAAAAATAAAATAAAAAAATAAAAAATAAGTATGTTGAAGGGTGTTGCAGAGCCACGGAATATTTCCTACGAACCTTGGAAACAAGATGTTGCCATAGTTGGACAACTGATCAAATAAATTGTAAATTGGGGTTGTAACACCCATCTTCGCTGGTCCACCTGTGGCATGGGAACTCCCCCCTCCCAGATTTGATTTTCCTTTCCTCCCCTACTCCGGTATAGAAACTGGTAAAAAAAGGGATGATTTGGAAATCAAAAGTCAGTCTAGACCAAGGGCTCAAAACCAGTGAGTCTAACTGGAAGAGAAGCATCCACACTCCGTCTGGGACTCACCAAGGGGACTTAGCCAGCCAGAGCGAGAACCGGAGAGGACCAGCCGTTGCTACTCATCGGATCAGGTTGACGGTCGAGAAACCGGAAAGGTATTAAAGATGCTGAGGACGCTGATCATGACTAGCGTCATTTAGAGTAAGTCCGTTTGTTAATAGACTCATCCCAGATTTAGTGTTGTGGCTGACTTGTTAGAGTAATTAAGATTTTGTTGTGGTTGTCTTCAACAGTCGGAATTGTGTCAAAATATATGTTTAAGGAAATACCTGGTTTATTGAATTTTAGAATCTTACCTTCCCATACACAAAAATAAGTAGCAAGGCGCTTACGCAGACTACTGTCTCATCACTTAGAGAAAAGCAAGTGAATATAGAGAGATGGTTTGGCCATTTCGCTGCTTACACATGTATGATTTTAGGAAGGTACGTGCTGGGTAGGATGGATGTCAGCGCAAGGGACTCGAGTGCCAAACACTGTAAAAGGCCTTGAGAAAGATCAAGCATCCAGCAAAACCAATTACAAAAAATTCCTTTCCACACAGCCTTGATCTGTTGCTAAGTTCCACTACCTTACTGGTATGACCGATAATATTTTCCATCGACTATACTCGACCATAGTTGGCGATGTGATGCCCTACATATTAGTGTTGGGGGAGGGGTAAAAAAAAAAATGGTTAGCTATCCTATTGGGTGAGTTTTCACATATTTATCAAGTTTGTTTTGTTCTAACCACTTTTTTACATTTTTGTATATTTTTTGTGTGTTTGTTTTATCAAGTATAAACTCTTGCCAACATTTTTTTATTAAGTTGAAAGTAATGAATTTTTTAGTTTCTTTTACTCATTTGCAGGATTTGCAGAAGTACAACGAAAATTTTAAAAATATCAAATCAGATTTTATTGTTGGTTTCAATTCCACTCCTTTAAACAACACAAGAGAGTTGCTACTAGAAAAGAAAAGCAATTTAGAAACACTGAAAAGGTTGCATGTTTGTTAATTTATATTTTGTATATATAGAGCTTAATAACAATAATGTAATTTTGGAAATTTTAGGTTCAGTTCGCACATAACAAATGTCCTTTTTGCATCTGATGTCATTGAAGAGGGCATTGATATCCCTTTGTGTAATAAAGTCATTAAGTTTGATGTGCCTAAAACTTACAGATCTTATATTCAGTCGAAAGGAAGGGCGAGACATTGCAAAAGTGAATACATTCTTTTAGTCGAAAATGATGACAATAGGTTTATCAAAATGTATCCACAATTTAAAATAATAGAAAATACTATATTTACTGTATGCTATGAACTTTTTTATACCTCTGTTGTGTTATATTTTCATGGTTTAGCATATTTTGTTGTAGATACTTGGATTTAAAAATAATATAAGCATTGACGATTTGGAAGTAGAGAACATAGAATCATTTGAGCCTTTTGGACCCACTGGCTCTAAAGTAACAGCTTTTTCAGCCATTTCATTGGTGAACAGGTAACGACTGTCGATATTTTATAAATTTGGGACTTTCAATTTAAAAAGAAGACATTGTTAGGTACTGCCACCTTCTGCCTCAAGATAAGTTTTCACTTTTGACAGCCTCCTGGTGGTGCAAACAGTATTACTCCAAGGAAAATGAATCCAATATGTTTATTGTTTCAGTTAAACTTCCGATTAACTCTCCGATCAAGGAAGTCATGGAGGTTATTATTCAGTTTGATTATACATATAACTTTTATTATATATATATTTTTTTTTTTTTGTAAACAGAGTGGTCCTTTCAGAACGAAAGTGAATGCAAAGCGAGACGTTGCAGTGAAGGTCTGCAAACGTCTTTACGAGCTTGGTGAGCTGAACCAAAATCTACTACCATACGGTTCGAAAACGGAGCTATTGAATGATGAAAGATTATTTCCACGGTGGATTGAAGAGAATGCCGAACAGTACAGATCTGGGTCTAACAAATGCAAACGAATCTACACGCAACGTGTAAATAAAACAAAATATTATATTGGTGGGGATGTGATAAGCATAAACCAAGTTTACTGGAATATTTGGGGAAAAAAATTCACATGACATTGAATTTAATTGTCTTGATATTTGTATTGATGTCTTGAGGCCAGTGGTTCAATTCGCTTGAATTTTGATTGAAAATGTTTGCATCTTTTCTTTCCATTGTGTAAAATGGGAGTATTTTTCCTTCTTTTGAATTATGAGAAAGTTTGCAATTTCGCTCGGCATTGCTCGATTTGTGTGTATATTTCTATGAGATTGTCACTTCCCTCCTTGGTCTTCTCGTACACTTTCAAAGAATCTGTGGTCCCAATATCACCATAAAAAAGTGGGCCATTGTGTGGAAAACTGAAGGTGAAAGGCCAGATCTCAATAGGATGAATTTGGTAGATGATCTTTGTTGGGTCTATTCACCATTTCTGTAAACATAGCTCGGAATTAAATAGAATTACCTTCAAAATACCCAAAAGTATTTTTTTTTTCAACTCTGGTCTGGTAGAGTTCTTGATGTGTTGATTATAGCGGCATGCAGGGGTTGTGTGGTTGACAAGAAGGGTTTGTCAGGGATTTTTTTTTTTAAAGTAAAAAAACAGCATTGAAACAAAATTTAATGCAAATGTAAAAATATAAACTGTGCCAGTGAAATTGTAAAAAAGAAATGCCACTAAACATCCTAGAAGATGATGATGTCTTGGGGTGTGCAACAACAAGTCTCAAGTTCCAAGGCTTTATTTTTCCTTTGGGAAGTAGAAGAGAAATTGTTATCACCATCTAAGCTAGTCAACAAAAGACCAAAATCAGCCATGCCGCTCTGTCCTGCCATTCTTTGTGCACGTAAATTGTTAAGGCTAGTACACACAGATAAAATTGCACAACTCATGTCTATAGACAAAGTTTTGCGATTGTCTGTAGACAAATCTGGAACAAATCGCTTGTTGTGCAACTACCTGTAGATAGTGGATGGACAACTTGAAACATGTTGCACAACATTTTGTTGAATGGTTGGAATAGTTGTTCTGATAAGTTGTTCTTGTTTCTTGCTTGCGTATTTTATTTGCAACCATAAGTAGCCAATTTTCAAAATCCATGGTGGTTAGCTGGGTGAAATTTCTGAAACCTGTACTATCTTCTAATTTTAATTTTTCCGGAAGAGTCAATCCAAATTTTAGGACTGTGTGGGACAAAAGTTATAGATCATATTGGATTTGTTCTACAATAGTATACAGGGTGAATTGCTACTCGTGCTACAAACTTCTCCAGTAGATTCTTCACCCTAAAATGAACAAAAAAGTTCATATTGTCCATGGTCCGATTCTCAACCATTTCAGAGTAATTTCGCTTTTTATCGATTTTGAAAGATATCACGTCCTGGCGTCGGAAAATCGTGATATCTTTTAATCTAAACATTTCTCTGAAAATCTAATAGCACCGTTGAAATTCCCGTTAATTTTTCAATAAGAAGATGACGGTGGCAAAATGTTTGGGCTAATTTTTTGTGTTTTATTTCAGCCAGAACTACAAAAAGAGTGGAAAATTGTGTAAATCGGAAAGTGTATAAAGTAATCCAGAGTTTCTAATTTTAGTCTCAGAAGGCAGCAAATTTGAGGAAAACTACCTGATTTAATAACGCTTCCAACGCACTCGTCATTTTCTTATTTAGTGGTTGTGAGACCAAGATGTTGATGACAAAAAGAGAAAAAATGGTGGTTCAAGGATTGCTAATGTTTGAGAGTGACTTGCTACTCGTGCTACAAACTTCACCAGTAGATTCTTGACCCTAAAATGAACAAAAAAGTTCATATTGACCATGGTCCGATTCTCAACCATTTCAGAGTAATTTCGCTTTTTATCGATTTTGAAAGATATCACGTCCTGGCGTCGGAAAATCGTGATATCTTTTAATCTAAACATTTCTCTTAAAATCTATAAGCACCGTTGAAATCCCCGTTAATTTTTCAATAAGAAGATGAAGGTGGCAAAACGTTTGGGTCTTTCTTCCTTGACCTTCTAGCTGTTTGTAAACTTCTTAAGCATTACATACTAAATGGGCATTAAATTAAATTAAAAAATTTCAATGGAATTATGATTTTGATTCTCTCTAAAAATTAACGGGGATTTCAACGGTGCTTATAGATTTTAAGAGAAATGTTTAGATTAAAAGATATCACGATTTTCCGACGCCAGGACGTGATATCTTTCAAAATCGATAAAAAGCGAAATTACTCTGAAATGGTTGAGAATCGGACCATGGACAATATGAACTTTTTTGTTCATTTTAGGGTGAAGAATCTACTGGAGAAGTTTGTAGCACGAGTAGCAATTCACCCTGTATAGACAAAATCGACGATTTGTCTATAGACAGACAGATTAGGTCTACGAGTGTACACTATCCTTTATATGGTATTGCACTAATTAATCTCCTTTATGCTGCCACAATTGGATAATGAAATTCTGTCCAGATTTTGAGTTGAGCTCATATAGAACTTCCCATATTACCCTACCAATTTACTGACAAACCCTAGTCGGTTTGACTGTTAATTTTTTGTTTTTGTAGGATCGGCCTGAAAACCTGGACGGAAGAATTAGTTTTGAAGAAAAAATGCTCTTGTAAAACATTCACTTTAACTGAAAATTCGATTTTTCCCTGATGTGTATGAGATATACATTTTAAAATCTTTCGAGTATGTACAATGTTTTGGCTTTCTTAACTAATCTCCTAATATATTGGACAATCTAAAATAACTAAACAATAAAATTGCTTTTGTTTGGGTACTAGTGCACAAAGTACAGAAGGATAACGAGGAGGCTGATAAATTGACCAGAAGGTCATGAACCCTTTTGTGGTGTAGTAAATTCCCAAAAACCTACATCTATCAGACAATGTGTTAAATATAAGTCCTCGGTTCAATGGGAATTTATCCCAGCACTCTTTGCATGCAAAAAAAAAAAGTCTAAACTAACAGATATGTGTTTAGACACTAACGGAGTGCTAGTTGGACTGCTTGCTGAACACTTAATTTTTCCTCTAATGGTTTGCAATGTAGGCTAATTCCTATTTCCAGGAGAGAAAAAGCCAAGGCCTGAAAGATAAACATGGGATTCCTTAATATTTGTCTTTTACAATAACCCAATATTGGCTGATGTGCGCAAGGTATTTATAAAAAGGCCGACTCCTTTTAACTTTAACGTTAACTCAAGATCAGCTTCTGCCTATGTTATAAAATTTTATGAATGATAAAAGTAAGTAGAAAATAATATAAAAATATTATTTTAAGTCCCATAGGAATTTCTAGCTTGAATCATTGGTCTGTCTCTACTTGCTGATCCCATTTAGACCACAATTTGAATTTTTTGAATACTCATGTTTTTTTAAACTATACTATTTTATTATTTAAAATTTCACAATTCAAAACTTTTAGTTTAATATTTATGCTTTTTTTTGTTTAAGTTTCCTTCATGGATGTGTGAGTGTAAGCCAATGGTGGACACCGATCTTTACATACACTTGTTCGAAATCAGTCCTGATTATGAATGCCCGAATGTGCCGAGGGAGAGAGTGTTCCACGAAATTCTCAAGAAAAATAATCAATTTGCAATCATCTGTACAAAAAAATGGCCCAAAGTAATTATTTATTGTTATTATTTAAGTGAAAGGAAATGCGTTTAAATAAAATTTAACCTTTTATTTATGAAGTTGTGCAGATTTGACCTGTTTATGAACGTAGGTAAGATTAAAGTCAACGTTAAAGTGAACGAGAGGAAAATACGACTGACGCAAAAGCAAATCGATGATCTTTTCCATTTTCATTGTCTTCTCTTTACCAATGTTGTTGCCTTAGTCAAGCCGTTCGTCGTTAAGGATTTTGAAAATTATGAAAATTCCTTCTTCATCATACCAATGGTTCCAGGTAAGGTTTATGTTTTAATTTTCAAGTCTAAAATAATTATTACTTTATTATTCAACGTGTTATTAAGAGGAGATCACTGTGGCTGAGTTCATTACCCATGCCATTTAAATAAATAAAAATGATAATAATTATATACTTGATTTGTTGAAAACGTCTCATAACAGTACACCACTCAGGAATGGGATTTTGTCTGCTTATTAGATGTTTGGTTTTAACTTAAATAATTTAAATTTCTTTAAAACAGCTCTGCTGGTGGGAGGTGTCATGAGAATCAAATTTAAATTAAAATACCCAAGCTTCACTAATAAAATGGAAAGTTATGAGCAGAATGAGTCCCTGTACACTGGCTACACTGTTAATTCATTAAGAAAAAAAAATTCTGATTATTGTGGCTCCTGATTTCACCCGCAATTTGTGTATCTACAAGGAAGGTTGATATGTGGATTTCCTCGCTAGTCATTTATAACAGGAAGGGAAAAAGGAAAGGGAAAAACTGAATTTTATTGAAAAATCTATAAATGTCTGTATCCGTTACTTAAAATGCCTGATTATTAGAAGGTTTTTTTTTTCTAAGTAAAGAGAATGGAATAATGCCAGGGAATATTATTGTCCGATTGTTAGAAGTGTCCATTTGGGAAAGTTCAATTGTATTGGGTTATTTCGAAAATAATGCAGGTTTTTATGTTTTCTTTCAATTACCCCTCTATAAAATAAACTGTTTATGTTTGATGGCTTATTCTTTCATTAATGTACGAATGTTAACACTTTTTAATCCTCTTCCAAACAAAAATTTTTGTTTACCTCAGTAGCATTTCATTACTTAAGAATAATTCATTCTTTACCAAGATGTCAACACTTTTTTTTTTTCATTTCATTTTGCGAGTTTAAACTCAGACAGGACGGTGCCCAAATGGCCAGAAATATTAATGAAATCTAGGGTGATGGCAGTGTGAGCACCATTCAGATATGGTTTAAAAATTTTTGAGACGGAGAGTAAGTTTGAAGACAAAATCGTGGAAGGATTTCTTGCCTAGAAGATGATATTCTGTGTCCCAGAACTGTTCAACTCGCAGAGAATCTTTCAGTTAGCAAACCACCTTAAGGAAATTGGAAAGGTGAAAAAAAGCTCGAAAATTGGGTTCCTCATGCATTAAACAACCGGCAAAATAATCGTTATGAATTTTGCACAAAACTTTGCCGAACAGACTGGATATAATTGTTACTTGTGATGAGAAGTGTTATTTGATAATAATAGACATTTGGAAGTGGCTCGACAAGTGGAAGTGGCAGAACCACATTTTCCAAAGTCCCCAAATCATAAAAAAAATGATGGCGGCTCTTTGGTGTGCTTCATTCGGGTTGATTTACAATTTGGGCTTCTTGAATCCTCGCGAAACAATCAATGTCAAAATGTATTTCTCTCAAATTGAACCAATGTACCAGAAATTGGCATTATTGAAATGGTCGATCGGAAAAGGCCGATTCTGTTACATGACAACTCATGGCACCATGTCTCACGCATCTCCAGACCTCTCGCCTACCGACTAGCATTTTTTCAGATACCTGGAAAATGTTTGACAACACAAAAAATTTATTGATCAAAAGTTATTAGAAAATGCATTTACAAAATTTGTTAATAATAAAGACCGGGGGCCGTGGTAGCCAAGTGGTTAGCGTGAAAGACTCTCGGCTCGTAGACCCCGCGGTCGTGGGTTCAATTCCCACTGTCGCCTCTGGCCTTTTTTTCACGCTACCCTTTCCCAAAAAAAAAAGCGAATACGCATAATAACATTGTCATTGGCTAATATGCACAGAACATAAAGCCATAAAAAAAAGACTCAAAATTCCATCCAGAGGATATAGAGAATTTGCCATCACATTGGGAAAAATTAAAAGTGATGGTGGGTATTTTAATTAATAAAAACTGTTTAAAATCATTTATTTAATTGGTTTTATTTTTTACCTAGAATACGCACGAACATCAGTGTTCCAGGTGCCATGAACCTGCATTATTTTCCAGACTACCCAATAAATCTGATCCCTTGCCCCTTGCCTGATCCCTTGGATAACAGGTTGGACATAAAGCATAAAATAAAGTCAAAGTATTCCAAATATTTAATGCCATCCTCAGGACCACTTATTTTCCCTCCAAGTGGAAGCTTGCCCACATAGTGATGATCCCCAAGCCACAAAAGGACAAATCAAATCCGGAAAATTATCGGCCAGTAAGTTTACTTAGCATTGTGGCTAAAACTTTTGAACGGCTAATTCTCCCGACCCTCATAAAATACCTGAAGCCACTGATCCCAGATCATCAATTTGGTTTCTGAGAAGGACACTCCTGCCCTCAACAGCTCCAGAGGGTAATTGACAACATCCTTGATGCCTTCGAACATAAAAAAGTCACGCTGGGGTTGTTTCTTGATACAGAGAAAGCTTTCGACAGAGTATGGCATATAGGACTATTAGCAAAAATAAAAGATAGCCTACTGGACACCTACTACCGACTTATCCTTTCCTATCTGTCGGAAAGAACTTACTGTGTCAAAGTACAGTATGGCATCTCTGACCCAAAGCCCATATTTTCTGGTGTCCCACAAGGCAGCATTGTGGGGCCTCTCCTCTATTTGATGAGCGTGAGTGATCTCTCATCCCAAATCCCAGGAACAGTCAAGACAGCACTTTTTGCTGATGATGTGGCTATATTGAGCACAGGAGAAACCAGCGCAGAGGTACAGCAGACCCTGCAACAAGTCACTGACCAAGTTTCTGAATGGGCGGACAAGTGGAAAGTCAAGCTAAACCCAGATAAATCAAAATTAGTCCAGTTCACTTATCTGAAAAAAACCACTGAACAACTGGTACTAAATAATAAGAATATCAGTGAATCGACACACACAAAATATCTGGGTGTTACTCTTGACCGGAGGCTGACTTGGCATCAACACATAAGTGATGTGCTAAAGAGATCACGATGCAGACTAATTGACCTCAAACCAATACTTAAGAGCCCAACTATCAGTCTGAGCAACAAAAGACTAATATATATGTCCCTCATTCGACCCATATGGCTATATGGCTCTGGTGTTTGGGCCTCAGCGTCGAACAGCCAAATTAAGAGAATCCAGACATTTCAAAACAGGGCCTTACGGATTTTAACTGGAGCCCCCTGGTATGTGCGAAATACCACACTGCACCGAGACCTGGACATTCCTCTAGTGGACCGTGCACTGAGAGACAGCTATCGGAAGATGTTTAGCAAATTCCAGTCCCACCCAAACACAGAAATCCAAGGGATACCGGACCACCTACCTCAAGCGCAAGCGACACACCGATATGTTAACTAACTATAAATAACTGTGATAAACTGTAATTAAATTAGATTAAATCATGTGTAAATAATTTAAATATTAATAATAATTCTAAATAATTAATGGAGGGAGCTGCTGAGCTTAAGGATCCAAGAACTGTTTGATGCTGTTAAACATTATGCCACAACTATAAGTACTATGTACAAAAGTTTAAATTAAAAAAAAGTAATTCCTGTTAGTTATACAAAAAGTAGAGCTTAACATGCTAATTACCAGTATGAGATTGTGGACGAGACCATTTTATTTTTTTTTTTTTGGTTTACTAATGCAGTGATAGAAAATATTTAAAACATCCTAAAAATAAACCTGTATTTTAAGGTCCTGACGATTTAATGGACATCGACTGGGACACTATACATCAGCACAAATCAATCCCTGAAATCAAACCTGTTCCATCTGAGAACCGAATAGGGTTCAAGTTCTCAACGCAAGATTACCTCGGCAAAGTCGTCGTGCCTTGGTACAGGCCTAAAGGCTACACAACTGTAAGTTCTTCTAATTAAAAAAAAATTATATTTATATATAAATCTTCACACTCAATGATTAACCGCTACTCAAGTTAAAAAGTTAAAATTTCTACCTTGAAGAAGTGGGCAAGGAAGAGGTGGAATGTCGTGACTATACAGTGGATGCAGTTTTTGCTTGAACCGCACTTTTGCAATTAACTCACAGTGCACGGATTCCTTCAAAAGTTAAAAAAAATTCTCTCTTTTTTTCCAGTATATTTTTATTTTTCTTAACTTGCAAAAATGGCGATTCTTGCCACTGGTTTATTTAAAGATTTTTAATGAATACTTTTTATGGTATGGTCACCACTATTTGTCCTGAACCTTTGCTGGCTTATATTGTTGGTTTTTAATTGTTTACAACTCTATTCAATTTGTGTATTGAAATTCACTTTTTCAATTTCAAGGATCAGAAACATGGTTTTGAGGCTTAATTAATATTTTTTCCCACTAAGTTGTGAAACGTTTCAAATTACTATCTAATTATTTCAGAGATATATCGTCACTCAAGTCTATGAAGACAAAACACCAAAGTCAAGTTTTCCTAGTGAAATCTATGATTCTTACACTCAGTATTTTGACAGCCGTTATAACCTGACGATTGAAAATTTAGAACAACCTCTGATCGAGGTCCGTGTTATATCTTCCAAAATGAACTGTATAATTCCAAGGTAATTGAAAATTTCCTCGGATAAAAATTTCGACTGTTTATTTAATATCGTTCGAAACATTTCAAGAGGTGAGTCTAACTCGTCAAAAAAGAGGCGTAAAGGGGAAAAAGTGTTAGAAGAGGTCCTCGTCCCTGAATTGTGCACATTGTTGGACTTTCCTTCTGTGTATATGTTGAAGGCGACTCTCATCCCGTCCATCGTTCATAGGATCCAGCATATTTTAATTTCAGAGGAGCTAAGGCAGAAAATAGCGGCTGAAATCCAGCTGGGGCCGATTTTACTTCCAGACGGTAAAAATTGTATGCCATTCGCTCAATTGAAAATTAATTTTTTTTTTATATACAGATGTTACATGGGCTCCCTTAGAAGTAGATCAGCTCGCTATCAGAGAAGAGGACGACTCCCTGCAAAGTACAATTGAAGTCAGCGATGAACTTACTTCAAAAATGAAGTTGCTTACGATGCACAACTATCCTTGGAAAAAAGAAGATGAGCCTCGCAATATAGAAAAACATTTATCTGAGATTGATTTAATATCTGTTATTCATTATCAAAAATTCGTCGATATGGCTATTCAATACGAGGTGATTGATTTATATTTGGCAATTAATTAATAATAACAAATAAAGTCATTTTTGTTTTACAGGATAGTGAAAACAAGATGCAACTGATAAATTCTAATAATTTAAAGGTAAGCGATATTTTAATATTACACTCAAATTTATCGTAAACCTTAGAAAATGTCAGATTTACAGGATTTCCTAAAAGATTATTTCTTAAAAATAAAATTTTTTGAAGGGTCAACAGATAGAAAAATTATTAGGTTCATTATGTGAAAGTAAGAAAATGCATTGTATTCAAATTTAAACTTCAACCTTTTCTTTAAAAAAAAAAAAAAAAAAAAAAAGTTTCCCAAAACATGTAACACTACAAGTAACGCTTAAGTCTTTCGTTAGTTAGTAAATAGAAAAAAAAAGTTTGTAAATAGAAAAAAAACCCTGGGGAAATAAAATTGTTCGATCATGAGGAATGCCCGTGGTTATTAAAACCATTCATTTGGGAATTTTAGGGAAGTTCATCTGTATTATTTATCAATATTATTAATTTATTCTTATTTGTTTAAGTCACTTTGTGCTTCAGGGACATAGAATTATCTGTGTTTAGCCTTTTTTCAGGTTAAAGTTTTCTACAATTACAACTGATGAAGATTGGTAATTAAAGAAGTTTGATGGTTTGATCTTAATTTTGTGTTAAAAGGGTAGGATAAGTAAAAAAAATGGTTTCGAAGGTAATCTCATACGAAATTTACTCAACAGGGGCAAATTATACCATCAGTGATGACAGTGATGAATAATTTATTTTATTACTCTTTTTCACTCTTCTCTGAAGTGACCAGGAAGTGCCAAATGTGTTTGAGAGGATTGTTTCTGGGGTGAATTATCTAAACGTTACTATTTGCAAGTAACATGTAATAATTAACAGTAATTCGTCAGATCTTGAGGTGTCTATTATAAGAGACTTACAAACACTGTATCAAGGTATGGTCTTAAAAAAAAGCAAATTTTCAGGGGTTTTAAGAAATCCCATGTTTTGGGAGATTTGTGTTGTATGTCCAGTCTTTTTAGTTTAGATCTAGACACTTGACAATAAAAAAATTGATCCAAAGTCAATAATAGATCTTACAGTTGTTTTATAGTTCAGTAAGCTAGTCTTAGGGTTGGTATGTCCTAGTGACATACATTTTAGTGCATTATGAAATTTCTCTACTTTAGTCTCAATTGTAGCAATAAGAAATTTTACCTCACCTACCAGTAGAAATGATTTTTGATCCAGGATCATAGTATTAGGGAGAGTAAATTTTCTTGATCTCGTAAAAGAGCATATTTTTGATTTTTCCATCCATTGGTGAATGTCCAGTCCAGTAGGTTTAACACCGTCAAATTCATGGTTTCCATCGCCGCCCTCTAAGGACTTACGATTAGAATAAAAACGTCATCTGCTATTTGTATAATTTTCATATTTTCTGAAGCAACTGCAACATTAAAAATTTAAACAGAAAAATTACTGCTATTTTTGTTGTTGTATGCTCTCCTTAAAATGAAAACAAATTGGTGTGTTTTTCGGACAACTGTTTTTCAAAATCACACATCAAAATTTGATGATGATCTCGAGTATATAGCTGAATTTCCATTAATCAGGCAAAAATATGGAATGGGATTTTGTCCCGTACTAGAAGGGTTCACATGTAAAAAAATCCTCAACTACATAAAAGTAAAAATGAATTGAATTAAAAAAAAAAAAAAAAAAGTAAATCAGCGAGTTTGGTCTATTGTTTGTTTTTCAGCTGAATAAATGTTTTTAGTAGTATTACTAATTAGTACTTTTCATTTGATTTATAAAATGTTAATTGTGAAAATGGATAGTTTATTCAATAACTTTACCTATTTTTTAAAACTTTGGCTTGTTGAATTTTAGGAGCCAGAAGTAGAAGCTGAGCTTTCTGTAGAGGAACCAAGTATTTCCATTTTCAATGAGTCGAATGATCTTAGTATTGGCCCCCAGTTATCTGAACTCCTACAAGTGCGTTTATTTATTTTTTCTCATCTTATTTTTTATATTGTGCTATTTTACGGCTTTTCGTTTTATTTAGGTATTGACGTCTAAATCAGGCTGCGATATAATAAACTATGAACGCCTTGAAACGCTCGGAGACTCTTTCTTAAAATTCATAGTTTCACTTTCACTCTTCACCTACTTTAAATTAGACGAGGGGAAATTGACTCAGGTCAAAGGGAAAATCGTCGGAAATCGAAATCTCTTTTATTGTGGGAATCACATCAATCTTGGATCATTGATGAAGGTGAGTTTTTTTAATTAAAGTTTTTTAAATTAAACCTTTACTGTTTTATATTTAACATTTAAAAATGTTGCAGGTGTACGATTTTTCACCGAGTGATTGGGAGGTACCCTGTTTTACACTCGAAAGGGTTTTAAAGAACTTAATGAAAGAAAAACATAACATCTCAGCAAATGTTCTTCACCATATCGAATTAACAGAACAGTAAGTGAATTTCTGAAAAGTATTTTGAAATTTTAGAAATTTTATTGTGTGTTGAACAGGGAAAGAGATACAGGCCTTCTAAGCAATGAAACGTTAGAAAATTTCCATAAGATAATAACAGAGAATAAAGATCAAGACAGCGCTTCTTCGAGTGTTCCTTTGCTTGGTTTACAGGCAGTATCTGACAAAATGATTGCCGACTGTATCGAAGCATTAATCGGAGTGTATCTAAAAGTACGCCATGGACATTTTCTAACCGTTGGACGATTTCTAATTGATTTTTTTCCCCAACAGTCTTGCGGGATACTCGGCGCGCTTAAATTGTGCAACTGGCTTGGCATACTCGCCCTGGAGATATCCGACATCAAACAAATTCTCATTGATCCTGCGCCATCAGCGAACGTGAACGAAATTGAACACATCAGTCGGTATATTATCGAGGCGGATAAGCTCGAAAAGAAATTAAAGTATAAATTCAAAGATAGAAGTTTCCTCCTTCAAGCCTTAACACATTCCTCGTATACGCAGAGTGTGACTGAGTGTTATCAACGTCTCGAATTTTTAGGCGATGCTATTTTAGGTATTTACTCAATTAAAAAACTGTCTCTCTTTTTAAAATTGTCTCAATTTGATTAGAGTTAAAAAAAAAATGATTTTAACATGAAGAAAATTGCATAAAAAAGTTTGGGACTATGAAGTGTATATAATTGAACTTCACGTACGACCGCTCGGCAATGAGATTTTATCCACTTATTAGAAGAGGCCTAATATATTTTTTGTTTTGTTTTTAATGGCTTTATGTTCTGAGCATATTAGCCAAAGACAATGTTAATTATGCATATTCGTTTTTTTTGGGGGGGGGGAAGGGTAGTGTGAAAAAAAGGCCAGAGGCGACGGTGGGAATCGAACCCACGACCGCGGGATCTATGAGCCGAGAGTCTCTCACGCTAACCACTCAGCTACCGCAGCCCCCGGAAGTAAAAAATTTATTTAATTTAAAAAAATAACATACACATGATACCATAATTTTCTCTTTCTTATGGCCTTTTCTTTGATAGAAAATTAAAAGTATTTTTATTTCTAAAGCTAATAGAATAATGCCCAGGAAAATAAAATTTGTATATAATTATATATATTAAATGAGGGGTGTCCAGTTATTGGATGTGTATGTTTGGGGAAGTTTGACTGTATTTATTAGTTTTCATATTTATTTTTCAATGAAGAGAAAATATTATAAATCCAAAATTACATGTTTTGTTTTGCCTTTGGACAGATTTCCTAATTACTATCCATATTTATGAGAAGTGCGGCAACTTGTCGCCCGGTGAGTTGACCGATTTACGGTCTGCCCTTGTCAACAACGTCACCTTCGCCTGTCTCATCGTAAGGCAGGGGATACACTTACATATGAACTTCCTTTCCTGCGAGCTTTCAGAAATAATCAACCGTTTCGTAGAACACCAGGAAAACAGGGGACATAAGATCGGAGCGGAGGTGAGTAACCAGAGCGAATTTGGTTAATGTTAAACTAAAAAAAGAAATATTTTTAAAATCGTTCCAGGTATTGTTTTTAATCGAAGAGAACGATGTAAAAGTAGCTGAAATTGTCGATGTTCCAAAGGTGTTGGGAGACATTTTAGAATCATTAATAGCCGCGGTTTACCTTGACAGTGGAAAGTGTTTGAAAACCACATGGAGGGTTATTTATAACCTTATGAAAAATGAAATTGGTATGTTTTATTAAAAAATTAAAAAAAAATTTATATTATTATTATTATTTTTTTTTAATTTTGTATAGAGGAGTTTAGCAAAAATGTACCGAAAAACCACATTCGTGTACTTTATGAGAAGTTTCCCAACCCTACTCCCAAGTTTGGCAAGGCGGAACAGATCGAGTTTGGCAACGTTCAAGGCATACTCATTCCTCTCTTCGTAGCCAGCAGCGACAGAGAATCTAAGATTTTCCACGGCATTGGAAAAAACAAGGCACAAGCGAAACTTGCAGCCGCTAAAGTTGCATTACGCTATTACCACAGCGCAAGCGAATCTTAGTATAAAAAAATTTACGTTTCAAAATATTTATATATAATATTTTAATATAAAATTTAAATTTGTTCTAAAAGAAATTCTATTAAATGTCACACATAAATATTAAATTTAAGTATTTTCTATTCTTTTCTTTTTAGATCTTTTGTATTTTTAGCTCCCCTAAGAGATCTCGTGCGTCTAATGTATATTGTGGTTTGAAATAGCTGTACCCCCTTGTATCGTAGGGTATAGTTTTTATTTATTTATTTTTTTTAAATTGGCATCAAAAACTATACAGCCATGCTACAAAGAAAATGTACAATTTTACAGTTCACACTATATTCTCACTGACACGTCATTCAAAAATTTTATTATCACATTATAGACACTGGGATTCTTTAATAGATTTCTGCTTTCCGTAGTCGGGTGCTCTACTCCTTCCCTCTCCAGATCCTGGTAGAAACCACTTCTGGCTGACAAATACCGGCTGCAGCGAAATACCACGTGCATAAGGTCTTCCTCCACTCCACATGCGTCACAATTTAGGTTTTGTTTTATGCCGATCTTGTGAAGATACGCCGCGCAGACGCCATGGTTCGTTCTCAACCGATGTATGGTTGTTATGTCTCTTTTTGCCATGTCTAGTTTGTTAAACCACGGTATTGTTTTCACAAGTGGAAATAATGTTTTATAAGCCATTCCCTTATCCGAGGTAGAGTATTCAGTTTGCCATTCTATTTGGATTCTTGTTTCCAATATTTGAAAAAGGTCTGTGTAAGGAATCCTTATGTTTCTAGGGGTGGGTAATTGTGTGGCATTTTTTGCAAGTTTGTCGGCTTTTTCGTTGCCATAGATGCCTGCATGTCCTTTTATCCACACAAAGGAGACATTTTTTTTTAAGGTGGAAAGGTTGTTGACAGTCTTTTTTATGTCAGCTACAATATAATTCTTAATGTTAGCAAATGTGTTTTGCAGGCTCTGGATTGCACTGAGGCTGTCTGTGCAAATTATAATATGGTTCGTTGTAGGAAGGTTAAATGTAAAGAAAATTAGAGCTGCCTTAATTGCTAATAATTCCGCTGAGTAAATTGTTATTTCTGCCGGCAAAGGAATTGATTCCCCTTTATTGATGCTGGGGCAGAACCAGGAACATCCAACCTTACCGGACATGAGGGATCCGTCGGTGTAAATAGTTAAGTGGTCCTTAGGGAAAAGTTCCTGAAGATCAGCAAGCACTTGTTGATTTACTGCTACAGGATTTTGTCCGGAGTAGTCTTTTAGTACATAACAATTAAGGGGGTTTCTAGTTATTTTTAGCTCTGTGGAGAAAATTGGAGGGGTATCTCTTTGTTCAATTTTTTCTTGATATTTTGCCAGAGTGATAAAAATTGTGGTAATTGGTGGAGGTTTTTTCTTTTGCCAATATTTTTTTGTTAGATTCATTATGGACAGATCACAGATGCGCTGAGCAAGAGATGTTTTTTTCACCATTTGGCGCAACACAAAGCGCCCTGCCAGTTTTTCTCTTCTGTATGACAGTGGCTGGTCGTTACATTCAGGGTATAGTTACTTGGCTCATTTGCCTATCAAACAATTTCTTCCCATTCCTCTTTTTATAATCTTTTTATATTTATAATCTGTTAATATTTTAGTCTTCTATATATATTGGCCGCACTCGTTCTCGCCCTTCTGATCTTTACTCCCTGTCACGGCACCTTTGAAGGACCGGCGACACGGAGCCTAGCGGCTGCCCCATGGCCACGTCGGGAGCCTTTGTTTTTGGAGCACACACTGTCTTGTGCCAGGCTCCTGTCGACTTGTTCAAAGGGCTCCCGCGAGTAATATTGTTTGTTTGGAAAAAGGACTTGTTTTTCTTAATTTAAATAAATGGAAAATATACCCCAGGAACCGTACTCGTACCATTACATGATTGCAGAGCGTGTTTGAACTTTGCGATTAAACAAATTTTCTTTTCCCCAAATTAATAAGCTATTTTACATTTTTCCATTTCTTGGACATGTGTGAGCTGTTGCTTGGTATGTGCCGAACTCGTTCAGGATGAAGGATGCGTGTGTGGCAAATGTGAAGGGAAGTTTCATTTCGGTGCTCGCAGCTAGGTACATGGGAAACATAAAAATGAATCAGGATCGTAGAAAAAAATGGAAATGCTATTATTGTTCCAACCCCCTCAAATGCCAAAACCATTAGCACGATTAACAAGGAATAAATTTAAAAAATGAAAATTCCCATTTACGAAGACAAGATGATCATTTAAATGGAAAATTGGATCGAATATTAGGATCGTATACTTTATAGACGGACACACCTAAAATAGATGCCTGTCAAGGGAGTACAATTAAAATGGGTCCCACTTCTGAAAAAAAAAAATCAACCTTTTGTTCCGACGAAGGAACTGATCAATTTCCCCAAATCCTGTAAATACAAATTAACGAGTTGGACGTGATCGAACATACATCAATCTTAAAAATACGCAAATATTTTTTAGACAAGGAAGACAATATAAGAGAAGTACTCAAATTAAAGATGGATAAACCGTGGTACATACTAAAATTTGTAGAATTTCGTTTCCATACATCCACTGCTTTTAGTTGCTCCTGACTTATTTGTAACTACAACCTCTGGAATTTCTGACCTAACATGCCTCAAATGGAAAGGGTCACTTGACTACCCCTGTCCCTAATATTTAACACTGAGGAGGGTTAATTTTCTATTAATTTCCCCCCTTCCTATTTAATTTATTAAGTTTTGTTTATTTTTATATTACATTTAAATATTTTAAATTATATATTCATAATTTTTACTATAGTTTTATTGCTAACTACATAAAAAATGCTGTAAAATGATATATTCACATAGATTGATTTGAGCAAGTAGAAAGATGAAATAAAAATATTAATAAATGGTAAATTTCAACTTTCAAAAATATATTTTGGCGAAAGCAGGGCTTAGTCATAAAAACTGTCGGATACGTGTCCAATATTTTGGAGTGTAGAATCACCAAAAAATGTTTGGCCTTAATCCGTGACACACCACCTGGGTCAACCCTTGTAAGCCTAACGAAGGGCTCTTCTATACAATGATGGAGATTGAAAATAGACCAAAATTGGTCATGCACAATTGAAATTTGGACTTAGACATCTCATAAATAAGTGGTACTACACTTGTACTACTATTTTTCAAGGTTCAATAAATTCTTAGGACAAAAGTAAAAAATATTGTGAAAGAAAAGTAAGTTCAGAGAGCGTACGGAGATTTATGAGGACGTTAAATTTAACGTCCCGCTTTATTAATTTATATACACAACTATTTCGAACATCTTGCCATTCGCCTAATTCATTTACGACCATAAAGCAGTTACAGTTTAGCACCTTTGATCTCACTTTACAATACACCAAGGCAGTTTCTCTAAAAAATATATCAATTACAAATGCAGATAAATATTGTAATCTTTTTTCTTCTATTTAAATATATATTGTTACAGAATATACAGGGCTTGTACAAATACTAATGGATAATTTTAGTATTTTGAGGTGTCCTTTTTTTTTCTAAAAGTTTAAAAAACAGACCCCAAAAAAATATATGTACTATTATTTTGAATAAATAGGTATTTGTGCTTAAGTCCTAATTATTTAAAACAAAATGGACTTACTCGTGTCTAAAGTAAAGATTTTGTTTTAAAATACAAATAAACAGTAAAATAGTTATATAAATAAAATAATTTAGAAACATGCATAAAGATAAAATTTTGTAATTAAATGTAGAAAGTTGTAGTGTTATTAAAGATTTGATAACTACATCTGAACTAAGTTTTCGTATTCAAAATCTCCAGCTTTGTCCAGTGATGGTGTCTTTGCTTAATAAACCCTGTACAATTACATTTCTTTCTATAAATAATTTATAATTTCAATAGTAATCTTTTACACAGTATTCGAGTATTATAAATCATCTTTTTTTAAATAATTAATAACAAATTGGGCCTTTCTCTCTCTTTTTTTTAATAAAAATATTCAACTTTAGATTTTCAATAATGTTACAGATAAATACATGTATTTTCTTGTTTTAAAAATTTAAAATTTTAAAATTATAATTGTTATTTTACTTTTTTTTCTTCTTTTCAATCTTTAAGGGTAAATTACAAAAATATATTTAATTCCTTCATCGGATCCGTCTATTTTTATTAAATTTTTAAAAACGATTAATTAATTCAATCCTCGACTGCGACAGGGCACGGCTTGTCTTCCATGTTGATTATCATGACGGATTCAATTTTTTTCTGCAGCCACTGGAGTATCGGCTTATCCCTGCTCGGAACTGTGCGCTCGTCACCGTTCATGTACGTGAACGTGCCGTCCTTTTTCACAATACAACACCAATTGATTAATTTGTCTTATATAAGTTAAACAAAATATAAGTTAAAAAAAAAAAAAAAAAAAATACCTGACGGACTTTCAGAACCAGTGCGCTTTTTTCGACTGTTGGAACGGACATGATATCGTCAACCCTGACGCCCCATTCGACCTCCCATGTACCCCAAAGTCGGCATTTTTCTATTAGAAACACATGACTAAAAAAAAAAAATTAATATCAAAATTTATTATATTATATAAATAAACATAACAACTTACTGTAATGTAACTAATAGAAATGATCTTCCATCCGGAGTCAGCGGAGCATGAGTCCAGTACGTATCTGTGTCAGCGTAGTGGCCTTTATTTACCAATGAAAGAAGTTGTTTTCCAGAAGCTTCGTAGTTAGAATACGGTTTAACTCCCTGAGGAAACAATATCGAAAAATTTATTCATCTGGACTTACAAAAACATGAAAGACTAAAATTATGAAGGACAGAATATGTTTATTATCAAGATCATGTTGATATAATAATAATATGAAACATTGTCTGCAAGGTAATGCACTACATCCATTTTTGATCATCCTGGTCTAGTCTTTCTCACTTTGTCTGATAAATTTTTGTATTTTCCCCATATTCGGTGTTTTGCATGTGTGTTATTTTGTTACTTCTGTCATGTTCCTTGTAAAAAATTTATTCAATTGTTTAATGGATTAAGTGTCACGTAGGGTCAACCAAGACCAGACATGGGGTCCTAGCGGATGTGAGACCTCGCTTGTACTCGTGTAGGAGAATTATCACTGTTGAGGAAAAAACCATTTGTTGAGAATTAAGTGTGCAAAGAGAGAACTTTGACATTCTACATGACCTACGAGAGTTGGGATCACTGAACTATAACATACTTTGGAGTCATATTTAGGAACAAATGTATTTATTAGCAAGAATAGGCACAATTAACTGGACAAATATTGAGTATTTTTGGGGCAATAAAGTATGATGTACATGAATGTATTTATTAGAAGAAATGTGGGGGCCCCTTCTAATCCCCAAGGTAATGAATATTGTATAATGTATTTTCTTAGTCTTTTTTGAGGGGTTTCTTAGTCAATTATCCTGTGGAATATTGAGTACTCTGGGGGGGGGGGAGTAAAGCCAGGTTCGTATAAATTTATTTATTAGCAAGAATAGGTGGGGAACTCCTTCATAATTAACTGGAGAAATATTGAGTATTTTGGGGCATTGTCAATGAATGGTGGTGTTCATGAAAGTATTTATTTGCAAGAATGGGGGGGGGGAAATCCTTTCCAAATTAACCCAAGGAATATCAAATATTCTGGGGCATTGTCAATGAATTGTGGTGTTTGTGAAAGTATTTATTAGCAAGAATGGGGGCAGAATCCTTTCCAAATTAACCCAAGGGATATCAAATATTCTGGGGCATTGTCAATGAATTGTGGTGTTTGTGAAAGTATTTATTAGCAAGAATGGGGGCAGAATCCTTTCCAAATTAACCGAAGGAAAATCAAATACTCTGGGGCATTGTCAATGAATTGTGGTGTTTGTGAAAGTATTTATTAGCAAGAATGGGGGGAATTCTTTCCCAATTAATGAAATGATGAGGCTTCTTCCACAATGCCCTGAGAATATTGAGTACTCTGGGGCAGTATGAATGTATTTATTAGTGTAAATGTATGTAGTGCTTATTACCCAATTACCTCGAGGAATATCAAGTAATTTGAGGTAAAATGAATGAAGTTTGGTATGTGTGAATGTATTTATTAGCGTGAATGATGAGGCTTCTTCCACAATGCCCTGAGAATATTGAGTACTCTGGGGCAGTATGAATGTATTTATTAGTGTAAATGTATGTAGTGCTTATTACCCAATTACCTCGAGGAATATCAAGTAATTTGAGATAAAATGAATGCAGTTTGGTGTGTGTGAATGTATTTATTAGCGAGAATGGAATGACTGAGGAATATCCAGTATTCTAGGGACAGTAAAAATGAAGTATATTCATGTATGTGTGAAAAATGAATTATAAGGAATAAAATAAAGAATGGTGCAAAACAACAAAATAAAAGAATGGTAAAGAAGAAGAAGGCTTGTGATGGTAGTAAAAAAGCAGTTTGCTAGCCCTCAAACTATCATAAATAAAAAAATAATAATTTGTAATGGATGATATTGATGTACGATGAAATTTTATGACCTATCCAAAAGTTTAATTACAGAGAGAGAAAAAAAAAGTAATGAAGTGTGAACCTCGAGGAACACCTGATTAATCTAAATTGTTTTGACGATAATTATTTCCAAGCTTGAATAGCAAAATCATTATGATATTTTTTTATATATTGCCACAAAACAATTCTAGGAACTGATTATGAAGTTTTATGATTTTATTTAAAAGAAAATTCGATAAAATTAAGAAAAAACAAACATATTTTACCAAGTATTGATCCATGTATCTCGGCTGCCTGGTCCTCATAACAAACTCGTCTCCCATTTCCAAAGCCCTGGGAAAGAATTAAATTGTTAAAAAAAGAGATAAAGTATGTGTTTTTAAAGGTTTACCGTTTTATTCCATCCGAAGCCATGGCTATACAGTCAACTATCCCTCCGGTCGGCTTCGTCAGCAGACCCATGAGACCTTTACCTATGCTTTTGAAAAACAGCTCAAGCCCGTCGTGTTGTTGGAGGCCTAAAACAAAAAAAAACAATTTTAACCATAGGGACTTTTAAATATATATCAATAAAGGTTTGTTAAATAATTAAAAAAAGGTGCACTTAAATAAAATAATTATTTATAATAAAAAAAAACTGATTTTGAGGAACAATTAAAACAAGCACTGGCAAAAATGAAAGTATTTTTCTCTAATAATGATTCATTTTTAAGAATTATGATTTACGCCTATTTACCTAAGGCAATTTCCAAAAGTTTAATAAATAATAAAATAATGAGATTCAAAATTAAATCTTTTGCCTGTGAATGTAGTAGAAAATGATAAGGAAAAATTTAAAAAAAGAACAAAAACAAAAGAATCATGCAAACCTGTTGTTGTAGGTCCGAATTGCTGTTGTCCTTTGAAACACAAGGGACGGCCATGAAGAAAAAAAGCCACACAAGTCAGTAACACCAATCACTACTACATCAACACTAACATTAACATTAAAAAAAAGTAGTAATGTATTGACTTTTCTGTTTGTGTTATTAACACATTCGGTGGAGGGATGAAACAAAATTGTATTAAGACGAAAACTGTGTTGTGTTCAATTTTATTTGTTGTATTTATTTATTTTTTTTTTCAAGCATGCAAACACAATATTCTACCAACTCTACTGATTTACATTTATGAAATGGCTTTCATGCGTGTAAATTGGCCTTTTAACTATTGTTTTATGATCTGGTTACAGTAGTGAATTTATTTTTATTATTATTTTTTATGTAAAAATTAACAAAAATAAAAGTGATAATGAAATCTGGGCCTGTCAATACAAACGATTGAATTTTTATGGCATTTTTTACTATTTAAAAAAAATGATTATTTATCTTTAAATTTATTTAATTGTACTGTTTAATTTATGAGATAAGGTCTAGAAGATGAACAGTTGTGTCAACTTATTTTTAGTAAAAACTTTTTTTATCTACGTTACTATTTTGTCTACTAATTGGTTATTTAGAAAAAACAAACACTTTTTCTAATGGGGAACGGGATTTATGGTTTTATGGCAAAGGGATAAACTAAACTCTCAGTTGAAAAACTAAAGGACACAACACATTTTTTTTTTAAATTTTGTTTTTATCTGAAAAATACATTGTACTCGTTTACCTGACTGGTTCTTTATTATGAGGCCGGACATCCCCAAAGCGATGCCGACTTCAAACGTTCTGCTGTTGCAGACGATGCCGAGGGGAAGGTCTCCGCTTTGTTGCATACAGCATAATCTCCTCTTCTGCAAGTTTGAATTTAACAAAAATGTTTTTTTTTTCCATTATTAAATTGCTCTTTTTTTACCTTTTTATAGTCGTCGTCGAATTGAAGAAGCGTAGAAGAGTCTGTAAGACCGCTTGTGATGAGAGTACTGGATGTCGATGGGCCGCGGATGTGACCTATCAGAACTTGAGCGCCCATCAGCAAGCCGTCACAATACTCTTCAGGACTTTCAACTTGAAACTTAAAAAAAAAAAAGCAATTCTCAATTGGTTTTGAATGAAATAAATTTTAAACTTACAAATGAAGGCTCGTAGAACATATCGCCGAGGCCGTCTGTGAAGTCAGTCACTAGCGAATAAGGATTTCCGAGTATGTCAAGGCCGAATACGAGAACATGAATCTGAGGGAAAAGCTGGGATGTGAAATGCGAGATGATTTCTAATATTTGATTCTGCCTCGTATCGATCAAGCCTTTTCTCTCATAATATGTCGTCCTGGAGGCATTAAAATATTAGATTTTTTTAATAATTAACATAAAATATTTATAAACTCACTTCAGGTTGAGCCCTTTCATTTCAATATGAGAAGCCGAGAGCGTATCGAATAAGAAGTATATAACATCATGGTTGAACGACTTTCCGTAAACGTGATGTGGGATGTTGCCATTCAGCGCAAAGTTGACTTGAAGACTTATCGGTGAAATATGAATCTGTTCGATAATTACTTTTGGATCGTTCGACAATTTGCACTGAAAATGAAAGTCGTTTATAGACAATTGTTTAATTTATAATAATTACAAAGTACCCAATTTGAAAGTGGTTGGTACAAAGCTGTAATGTCTGATCGTATCCTGACAGAGGGCTTTGTTTCGGTCATCCAAGGTGATATGATTGAGTAGATGTTAAAGACAAAATTCTGGTCGAGCTGAAGCGTGAATTCCTGAACTAGTAGTTTTATCGACCTGTAATATATTAAAGTTTGTACAAATTCTCACAATAATTAATTTAAACAAAATGTTTGAAGTACTTGTAGACATCATCGCTCTGTGAATTTTGCTGTCGTTTCAGTACAGCTATCGCTAAACAAGGCCTGTCATTGGACTTCCTCAAGACAGACCTCGGTAGAGGTTTAGGATGGAGGATAATCGGGAAAACAGCGTTGTGGAGTTGATTTTCAACCTGAAATTTCAAATTAAGGAGTGAAGAAAGAGCGAAATAAAAAAGAAATCACCCACCTGTAGCCTGTGCACTTTCATTTGGAAGTAGCTGTAGTTTAATGACTTTCTGTATTGCAACCAAGCTGCAGGAATGTACCTTCTTTGTAATTCTCCATAGAATGGCTTTGTCATGTGCATTTTTTCAAAGTCAACCTAAAATCGTACGTGTCAACGTTGAATAAATCATTAAATTCACTAATTTCGTGGTCCGCTTGACTAATTAATATATTACAATTAATAAGGTTTTTTGGTTGAGATAAAAAAGTCAATGGCACGAGCGGGATTCGAAAATGGCAAAAAGGAGGGAAGATTCAAAAGGTGGGGTTGAGATGGGAAGTTGGCGTCCGAGTGGATCGAGGTCACGATAGCTCAAGTGGTAGCGGCGTATCTAGCTGAAGATTGTGGGTTCGAATCCCGCTCGTGCCATTGACTTTTTATCTCAACTTAAAAACCGTAATTAATTGTTGAATAAATCTTTGAAAAAGATATAAAATGAATTTCCTTTCTAAGTGTTTTTAAGCTTACATGGACAAGCTCCTTCATCTGTGCTTTTTTGGAATCTTGCCTCCAACGTTCTTCAATCCAGGCTGCCAACTCTAGAGTCAACGGTTTCCACTTGTGCGCCACATTAACTTCCCAAATAGGTGCCGAATCTCTCAAAGTGATGTAGGCCACTTCTCGTAATATGCCGTTTTGTTCATTTGCCTTAAACAAAAGCCACAAATGTTGTAACACAATTAAAAAAAGAAAAGTAAAAAAAGGTGAAATTTACCAATGAGAGGCCAAAACCTTTCAAAGAGAAGAAAAGCTCGAGATAGCTTTTCTCCGAGTCAATTTTCAATCTTGTTTTATACGCCACCCTTTCATCTTGGGTAAATAAAAGAACCCTCTGTGGACCTTCTAAATACGAGACCCAATAAACAACCACTTTGTCTTTCCTGGTTTTCTTCATTAACTAGAAAAGTTCAAATTTATTTAAAAGTTAAATTTTTCAAAGTAATTATTACTTGAGGCTTTTGAAGTTCATCAGATTCGGAATCTTCACTGCTGCTGCTTCCTCCAGTCCGAGAAGGGACAGTCGAAAACCGCTTAAGGCTTGCTGAAAGTTTTGCCGTCACTGTCGGAACCTGCGGTGTTGACTGTTGTTTCTTCACCATGTGAAAGCTGACTTTTTCCTGCCCGTAGCCATCCTTAAAAAGGAATTCTGTTAAGACAAGCCGATCTATTTATAAAAATAACTCCTCGGCCTAAATTTTATAAAAATTGTCTTACCTTCCAGACTTCGGCTAAGTAATCCTTGGACTTTTTATTGTAAACGTTCCACAGAAGAGATCTTTCTTTGCACGGATCGTCCCATGTATAAAGCATTGATTGATAAGGACTTAATAGAGCAACCTAGGCGATAAACATTCTTAAAATAAAAATAATAATGTATGAATTAAACCCATACTTGTCCTAAATGCTGTTGGTGAACTTTTAAGAATAGATCCTCACATAAGTTATCAATTCTGACTGGTGCGTCGCCTATTGTGTAACTGTGAAATATTACACTAAACGGCCTGTCACCTCCACCCGCTACTTTCACACAAAGTGCACCCTAGAAGGAAAGTTAATTTTGTTTTGCTCTATTTAATAATTAATTTTAATAAATATACCCCTTTGTCCATTCGGAGGACTGTTGAGTGGTTTGTGGCTAACGGGAAGTGCTGAGAGACAACTTTACTATCTCTATACTTAACGAACATATTCATTTTCTCCGTCTCAGGCCAGAAAGCAATTGACTGTGGATTATATAATATAATTTAATTTTTAGAATATCATTATATTAAGGGAAAAAATACTTACTTGGGATGGGCTAAGATCAATCCAAAGATCGGCTTTTTCATTTTCTTCCATGAACCTCAATGGCCGTTTGCTTTCGTTTGATATAATGAAGTTGGGCAGAAGGGTGACTATTTTTATGAGTTGCGGGCAGACTTCAGAAAGCTCAATTTTGAGAAGTATCCTATAGCGCCTTTTCCTCTCGCGGTCCCTTCAAAAAATTCACTTTGTATCCAAATTTCCGTTTTGCATTGACATTTGAAGAAAATGAATTTTTTTACTTGCAAATCACGAGGCCAGATGTGTTGAAAGCGTCCATGGAAAATGCAGACGACCAGGAGGAATGGTACGCCCTTAATCTGACGCAAGGCTTTCGCTGTTTTCTGTAGCAGAACAAAAGCGGCTCTTCTCCTTGTGCTTCATACACAACGTCCGTTAAAGAAGCCTGTTATTCAAATTTACTTTGTATAAAAATATATTGGTTTTTAAATATTTGCCTCAAAATAAATCACTTGGTAATATAAGAAATAGAAAAATATTGAACTTACTCGGATTTGAAGTGGAAGCCCTGTTTTATTGATGATCCAATAAGGAGCGTAAAGTATAACTTCGCATGTTTCACTCCTCTCGACTTTCATGTTCAAACCTAGTTGTTTGTTCCCGCCTTCCGTGTCTTGTTCAGTCGCCATGCCTATGATTTTTTCTTCTGCATCAGGACTCAGGGTGAAACTCCCCGCCCAGACTATGCCAAGGTAACTCGGGACCTGATGAAAATGAAAAAAAAAAATTAATTTTGGCCTCAGCCGATTTAAAATGACAAAACTCACGTTTACAAAAATTTTATGGCTTTTTAACAAGTTGAGACTGTAAGAGTAGGAGTTTTCCCCGGCTTCGATCCTCGCTTCGAATCCAACTGAAGGTATTTTGATCTCAATAGCATACGGCAGCCTATTTTGAAACGCCAGTGGCGGAATTAGACGGATCAAGTAGTTTGGTATTAATCTAGACTGCCTGTGAGTTGCAACACCATCCTCACACAAAACCTAATAAAAAAACCCTTGTATATTTTAAATATATGTAAATTTTATGTCTTTAAATTACCCTAGTTGAAAAAACAGTAAGGTCTTTTTCATTTTTAGAAGGGCAAATTATATCCTTCGGCGAGTTCAAATCTACAGCTAAATCTTGCCACCAAAGAGCTGTATCACTTATTCCGTAATTACTGATAAAAATAATTTATTAATCAGTGTCTTTTTTATTTTAAAAAATATTTTAAACTTACTCGACATGAGCAGGCATTATGTAGAGTTTGCAGTGGTGAGCGACCGTAAGCGGAACGTTGAAAGTCTCGTCTGGTTCGATAATGGCAATCCTGTACGTGTCTTCAAAAGGGTTTGTCGATTCTCCTATAAGAGGGTAGCCGATTGATTCGAGTATGGATTTCTTGTAATAAAGCGCTATCGCATATGATGTTTCATTCCGCATCTAAACAAACATGTTAAAAATTAAAGAACAGATAAAAAAAAAAAAATAAATAAATAAAAAGTTGCTTACTTGCAGCGGTGACCTGAGTGTGACACTTTGCCCCCAGTCGTGGCACACTATGCTCAGAACAATGTAATAACGAGTGTTTTGTTTTATAGGCTGAAGAAGATGAAGTTTGTTGCAAGTCCTTTGAGGGCATAGGAGTTCAATTTGGTCAAAGTTTGGAATCTGGACTCGCACTCGATGATCCGTCACTTTTTTATAGAGACATGACACAGGTTCAATCGGGAATTTTAAATAAGGCGAATACATATCTGCAGTCGAGCCTGGTTCGCTTTTCTTCGCTGAAAAGCCATCCTCAAAACTAAAAAAAAAAATATATTTTTTTAAAATTTATTTTTCTCTTAGCATGTACAAAAAAAAAATTATATATATCTTACTAATCTCCATCGACGTCAGATCCAACAGGGCTGAAAAAATCTGTTGGCGCTGTTGACGAGGCTGGGCTACTTGGAATAGAATCAGAATGTTCATAGGTTGCTGTCATTAAAACCTTTGCTGGTCCGACCTATTATAAAAATAAATTTTTCTTATATTATAATAAATGTTAAAATTTATTAGTGATAAATTTACCTCTGCTTTTGACAACAGTGTTACAGTTGAATTAGGCGTAATGTCGTTAACTAGGTTTAAAGAATTTTCAGAAGGAAGTTGTGCCAAATTTGTAAAAGCAGAGTACAAGGATTGAACGACGTTGAGAGACTGAGGCGTGACTGTCAGTTCGATTTGATCTTTCATGTCGATGATGACATAAGTTGCAATCTTGTCGATCCCTTCTGTCTCCAATCCTGAATCTATGGAATCACCTAAAAAAATAATAAATGTATTAACTATTACAATTTCCTTTTTGTTTTGTTCGTTTTACTTCGTTTTTTTATGAGGATCGGTCTTGTGTCTTTTCCGGCGTTTGTGTTCGAAACGCTAGTCGCTGATTCGGCTTCTGATACATCGTCGGTGTCTGGCGAAGGCTCAGCACCATTTGAGTCATTGCTGTCGCTCGCTTCTCCATCGCTGCTATCACTAAAATTCTCATTATAAAAAAAAGCACAAATAAATAAATTCAACTTTGTAAAAACAACCAACCCTGTAAAAAGATGATTTATAGCATTGGCCAATTTTTCCATGACTCCTTCTTCATTTTCTGAATCGGAGTCTTCCGGATAGCTAATCAAACTGACACTTTCTGAAATAGCAATTTATTATTAATTAAGACACTGAGGTTTTTTAAATTATTTATTATTAAAAATGTATTATTTAGAAAAAATTCTAACAGATTAACAATGTGGTTTTAGGCCTAAACGAGGTGCTACTGAAAAATGGTAGAAGTGTAATATTGACTCCATATAATTTTTATAGATTTTAAACTGCCTTTGCCTAAATTAACAGAACTTTTTAGTGCTTTACAAGAATTTAGCATCCCATTGTCGCAAGAGCGTTTGGCAACCAAATAAGCACAACTTTAAAGTCTAACTCGGTCAAAAGCAAGGTGTTGCCCTCTCCAAAATTATATTCAATCTAGCTTTACGTAAAGCTATTATTAGAATTATGCCAAGTGATAGCTTAAATGTATAAGTCAGATTTTGGGACATTGGCATCTTGAGAAGAAGAAGAAATACAATTGAAATGTTGTCTACAGCTCTATAAATCCTTGGTTTGACCAGGTGCTACTTCAGCCAAAAACTTGGACACTTAAAGAGGCTGACACAGAATATGAGGACCCTTGAAGGAAAAATCATGACTAACTAGCAGCTGAGGGGGCGTGGTAGCTGAGTGGTTAAGGCTTCAGACTCTCGGCTAGTAGATCCCGTGGTTGTGGGTTCGATCCCCACCGTCGCCTCTGGACTTTTTCCTAAGGGGACCGGAGGCTGGTACTTCAGCCAAAAACCTGGACACTTAAAGAGGCTGACACAGAACATGAGGACCCTTGAAGGAAAAATCATGTGACTAACTAGCAGCTGAGGGGGCCGCGGTAGCTGAGTGGTTAAGGCATCAGACTCTCAGCTAGTAGATCCTGTGGTTGAGGGTTCGATCCCCACCGTCGCCTCTGGACTTTTTCCTAAGGGGACAGGAGGCTGCTACTTCAGCCAAAAACCTGGACACTTAAAGAGGCTGACACAGAACATGAAGACCCTTGAAGGAAAAATCATGTGACTAACTAGCAGCTGAGGGGGCCGCGGTAGCTGAGTGGTTAAGGCATCAGACTCTCAGCTAGTAGATCCTGTGGTTGAGGGTTCGATCCCCACCGTCACCTCTGGACTTTTTCCTAAGGGGACCGGAGGCCTCAAGGAAGGAAGAGGGTTCAGATCTCAGCGACCCTGAATTTGGTCCCAACCCCCTTCAAAAATGAGATCTTCGATGGAAGAACACTGGGGGCTGAAAATTCACACTTGGGTTGCGAGTCCCCAAAAAATAGAGCCAGGGATAAAGTACAGTAAGCTGAACAGATGTAGTGCTCAGGAGGGAACTCCTCCAGTTCCTGATATCAAAAAAAAAAAAAAAAAAAAAAAAAAAAAACAACAACTGGCAGCTGAATGATGTGCAGCACAAAGATATAGTACACTTCATGAAAGCCCCCCCCCCCCATGATGATATATACATAATTCCCCAGAAAAAGGAAAACGGGACGAGAAAAAACCTGAAGGCGTGATGTAAAAAATCTGGGGAATATTTGTAGGAAAATTTTATGGGAGGTAGGACTAATGACTGAAAAGATTTAAGCAAATAGGCAAAACTTTCTAGTCTAATTCTGTCATAAGGCTGGATTATGCTCTATTTAATCTGGCATCACATAAAAGCTATTAGAAGAACCATACTTAATGGCAGCTCAACAATACAAGCCAGATTTTGGGATATACCGACAACATTCTTGGGAAGAAGAAAAAATGTACAATAATAATTGAAATTTTGTCTGAATTACTGACTGAATGTTGACTAATAATCAACAATGCAACTAAATACATGATAGTCTTAGCCTTCAAGAAGGAAGCTTAATTTTATGTTTAGCAACTCATATTTGAAGAGGATGAGCATTTTACATTGGTGTGTTTCTCAGCGACCTGTTGTATCATAATTTGTTGAAGTCGTCTGGAGTGGTCTTTAGCCTTTAAGGCTTCTTAAGTTTAATATTTTTAGACAGTGAGAAAGTCTAAGACCACCAAATTAAGACAACCCAAATAAATCCTTGGTTTGACTGAATGCTGAGCCAAAAACTTGGAGACTTTTATTGTTGTTGGCTCTGAGGACCCTTGAAAGGAAAAATGAGACAAAGAAGGCCTAACTGCGAGCTGGATGACCTGTAGCAGCACAGAGATATAGTATACTTTATAAAATCAAGAAGTACTGGCTTGGGCATGTTGAAAAATTCCTCTTGGAAAAAGGAAAAGAGGATGCCTGAAAAAAATCTGGAGACATGATGCAGAGAAACTGACAGACTGGAGAAGGGTGTAGGACAAAGATGTTTGGAGAGAAATTATATGCAAGGAAAAGTTCATGGACTGTAGAGCTAGATTTAAAAAAAAAAAAAATTACAAGTATAATCAAATACCATGCTTCGTCTTGATGTGTTCGCGGTGCGATCGTTTTCTTATAAACAGCATCGATCCGGTTTCAACATCTTGCTCATCTGCAGATGTTTCTGACTCTTCGGAATTCAAGACACGCTGAAAGCTCTTACTCTGCGCCACTTTACACATAGAATTAACCAATTCTTTGTCGCCATTTTCCTCTGTGTTCAGCCTTGGTTGAATGAGATATGCTTTTGCTCTGAAAATCTATTTTTTGGTTTTTATTTAAATAAAGTTAAAAAAAGAAAAGTATATGTACTTTGATTTGCATTTCAATCGGCCTGTAAATACCCTCGTCTTCAACAGAAGGCTCTAATAATGGTTCCCAGGCTCCGATTTGAGAATTATAGTATGACGCTTGAATTTGTAAACTGCCTAGAATTTAATTATATTCAATTAGTCAGTTTTAAGACATAAAATAAAACGCAAACCTTTCATTTGCAGATTTGAAGTCCAGTTACTTATTACGGCATCGGCGACTGTTTTGACTAAAATCATTGGTGCACGCTTTACGCCGTCCTCCAGCTCGAACATGACTCTCACTTTTGGTACAGTTATCGTGAACATTTCGCTCACTCTGCCCATTGAATCTCTACCAAAGCCGAAATTCTCTGAGTGGTGAACGAACTGATAAGGTACGATTTTCTTAGGTGACCAGAGATCTTCTATTTCGACATTGCCAAACAGCATGTTACTCATGTCACCTTCTTCAGCGCTCATTCCAACATTGAACTCATCTAAGATCTAAAAACCAGAAAAAAAAAAAATCAAGTTCACAGTGTCAAAATATGTAAATTTACAAACCAAATTTGTAGCGTGAATGATGCTCGGAGTTATGTGAAAATCGACAAAGCTCACATTCATCGTAATCTTTAGTCCTCCGTCATTAGCTTTTATCGTTCTAGCAAACTCAACATCGCAAGGTTGCAGAACCTGAAATAATTTTGTTTACCATTAAAATCTGTCATTTTATAAATACTAAAAGATATTTATTACAAGATAAGGAGACTGTTCGTTATGAGGGTTCTGATATTTTGTGAGAATCCGAAGACCCGCTAATGAAAAAACCAAAGACTCCCTCCCGATATGCCTAGAGTAGTCTACAATCACTTCTGTCCTGAGCAAGAGCGAATAACCACCTGACGAATATACCATAATCTCCGGTTTCCTAATCTGCAACGATATACTTATTCCTAAAACATAAATAGCAACACGTCAACATTTTCTTTAATGTAAAAATATTTTTTAGAAATGATAAACCTGTTTGTTCATCGCTGCAAGAAGCCCTCGATGAAAAATATCCGCTTGTACTGTCTACTGAACTTGGAGGCCTTGCTAACTCGACAATTGGCTTTGCCTGAAATTAAAATTCAATAAAAAAATTCAATAAAAAAAAATAAAAAAATGATAGGATTACCTGAATGACAGCTCCATCTCCGACATAACCGTGGTTGATCAATCCTCCCTCCGTGTATTTATCCGGTGGAAGTGAATCCATTAAAAACCGAGTGAAATCGAGTATGAAAGATATTGAAAGGCTCAGCCGAGTACACTCAACAAGGACATCTATGCATTTATCACCAGACTGGGTCTGTTTAAATGTCGCGTCGATTATCGGCGGTGCTGAAACCGATATGTTGCTATTGTCCTCCATATAAGGAGAATGTATCTGAAGTATTCTAAAAAGAGACAAACAAAATTTAGAAAGATTTGTTTAAATTTAAGAATTGTACTTATACTTTTTATTCTCCGGGTCGGTTTCTTTTCTTATGTCCTCAACAACACAAGTAGAAAGTGAAGTCTTCAATTCCAAACTTTTATCCGAGAATACGTCAATGGTGAGCAAAGCTTCTCCTGTTTCCAGTTTACACAGGCCTTGGTTCATATCTCTCATCGGCGAACTTAACACCTAAATTTGAAAATTTAAAATCCGACAAGTTTTTTTTTTTTAAATAAACACCCACCTCATCGCAATCGCTGAACAAATAGATGTGAAGGCCTTCGAAATTAAACCTCACTGAAATTTCTTTTTTGATCTGTTCATTTTGATAGAAAAATGCCTGAAGTTTACGTACAGACTGGTCCTCGCTTGGTGGCAAAGGTGTTACAATCTCGCTTGGCGAAGTCGGAGACCAATTGTTACAAACTTCACCTAAAAACAAGAATAAAATCAGTTTTTATCAAACAATCATGATTGAACGCTTACTTATAAAACTTCCGTTTTTAAAGTTATCAGCCCAGACGCTTAAAATCGTCGTCAAATCCCTTTGACCCAAGTTTATCATTACATTATCGATTAAGCCATCTACTTGGTATAAAAGCAACTGCGAAGGCGGTTGGGAATAACTACCGTTCATGGATCTTGCAAATAATGTGATTGCCTTTGCATCATTATAATTCACCGCTCTTTTCACATCAATTTTAATACTTAATGGCTCGATGACTGGTTCCTTTTAATAAATGACAATAATATTAATTAAATAAATAAACTTTTACTAGTTTTTATAATGAATTAATATTACCTGAGCTTCTAATGTTCCTGCTAAAGTCATTATGGCTCTGCTGAGATGGATGTTATCCAATTTTATGAGTATGTTGTCTATAATGGGCGTAGCTGTACCTTCAGCTGTTACTTTTTCTTTGAAAAAGTTTTCTACGCTTAAATCCCCTTTGAATAAAAAAATCCAATTTTTACAAGATAAACTGAGAAATAATTTTATTTGTAGATTTTACCTAGGCTCATAATTACTAGGTCGGGGGATGACATTTTCTGAGGGAAAAGAAACGAAGGTGTGTGGAAGTCAAGAGCAAGGTGGATTTTAGTGCTGCAAGACCGAAGCAAGGCGAATCTCTCCTGGAACTGTCTGTCGATTTTGTTGAACAACGCATGGATCATATTTGGTTTCACGAAAGGCTCTATGAAGTGCTTTATATGGGGAAAAATTAATAAAAATATTTAAATAAAATCTGCGTAAAGTTAAAATTTTTTACTTGCAGATCGATGATCATTTTTGACAGAACGACAAGCTGTATCCGGCCGATTTGTACTTTAAGGCTGCCGTCGGATTTAACATCGTCCCTTTTTGTCTCGATCTCGACTGTTTTGTAAAAACGAGGATTGTGCCTGATGTACTTGAAATTTATGACCTTTTCATCATCAATTGTTAAAACCTAAAATATAATATTATTTGTGTTTTATACGATACGATGAACTTGAAAATTGTTGAAAGTCCTGTCCTGATTGATCCAGGGATAAATAACCAGTTAATCGGAGTTGAACAAACTTTATTATTTCTGACTTTACCTTAGGATAAAGAGTCATTCCTGTAAGATCATCGATGGAAATAGATGATAAATAAAATTGCAAAACCATCCTCTCGTTGGCTTTAAACAGGCAATCGCTTTCCAGTCCGCTCACCTAAATGTTATAATATAATAATAAAAAACCCATAACGAATTATTTTACTGTTAGAGACCTTCATTTCCAAAAATTCAACATCAGAATCACAAAACTTGAGGTGGAATTCGTGCATTCGGGTCGAATAGCTGAATTTTGTCGCACCCGGCGGTATAGGCGGGTCTGATTTTTGATCCCAGAGATTTGCAAAGGCGTCCAGTGGTATTTTATTCATGACTTTCTGAACGAGCAAAATCTCCCGGTTTTGAATCCTGAAAATATATTTTATTTGAGATATTTTCGCATGAAATTTTGATTAAAGCATACTTTTGAAGGAGGTACTGCATGTATTTGTTGAGCGTGACAAAAGCTTCTCTGTGCAGGACAACCCTTGCACTTGAAAAGTCCAGTACCAAAGATTGTTCCACATTGTGAAAATGGCTCTTAAAATCAGGACAGTCAGCTCTGACCTAAAATTATTTAAAAAAATATTCAAATTTTACTGTTTTAGTGTATTAAATTAGAATTTACTTTTCTATAAAGCATTGTGGCTAAATCACATCCTTGATCTGTTGCGATAAGTTCAAGATATTGTCCAGAAGGAGCAGTATGAAGTTTATCAACTAGCTGCATCCCTCCTACTGAGGCTTGTATGGCAGGTCCGTACTCCATAAGCGCAGCGTCACAGCATATGTTGGATATTCTGAGCATTAGGTACGGTTTGTCGATGCGGTTGCAAGATCTGCATAGCTGAACTACTATCTGTAAAAGTTTTTATTTTGAGAATGTCATATTGTCGTATCGATTGAAATCTCACCTCGCCGACTATGAATCTCAAGAGCATTGTTATCGTATTGTTCGGAGAGACATTGTCGTCGAAACCAGGCAGGTCGACCGTTCTAGCCCAGAGTTCAATCTCTTCGTCGCTTTGGTCAGTCGATATTGTGTTCTTGTGATCCTGCATCGTTGCGACTTTCGCGTTGCCCTTTGAAACCGACATCAGGCCTGGTCGGTTAATCGCGTTTATTACAGTCTCGATGAGAATTATTTTAAGCTCGAGCATCTCCTCGTGGGATGGGTCTCCTTTATAAACATCGTTGACAAACTCGCTACAAGTCGCTATATTAACGATATTCGACGATTCTGATACATGCACCGTGTTCACAGAAGGAAGCGGCAGATTGTCAAGAAAATCCATGACGCTACCAATTTTTCTGTCTGATACGTTGATTTTTAAACTTGTCAGTCCAACATTTAATTTATACCTGTACGACACAAGAATAATATTTATAAAAAACCTTTATAAATAAAAAATAAATATTTACCTTGGTAATGTTTTATATTCTGGTTTTACACTGTTAGAAAATGAAAACTGGAATTGGAGTTTTGGCAGGAGATGGAATTCGGTATCACTCAATTTCTTTGCATCTCTCCAGACATCTCCTTAAAATTAAAAATCAAACTTTATATCATCCATTTTAAAGTAAATTATTATTATTAAAAAAAAAAAAATACCAGCATCACAAAACAGGACTTGAAAATCCATAAATTCTATGTTGAATCTATCGTAAAGCCTTTCTTCCAGTTCCATATGCGTCGCATCTTCCAAATTGATATTACTAGGCTGAAGTTCGGTTGTAACTTTAATATGTCCGAAATCAATTATGGCTAAATTTCCACCTCTGAAAATTTTAAAGATATAAATTGTTAAAAATTGTTATAATAGAGTCAACTGTTTAAACTTATTTACTTCTGTAACGTTCCGAGTTCAGGTACAACTAAATACGGAAGTTTGAAGTCTATATTCAAGTCAATTGAGCTGCATCGTTTTATCGCCTTGCTTGTCATTGATTTGATACCTGCCGAGCAGATTTCTGTCAGGGAGTGGAAAGCTTTCGACAGGGATGTGTTCGCAGTCTGAAAGAAGCTGATCAATTCTGATATAGCATGCTGAAAGTTAAAAAAAGTTAATAAACGTATATTTTAATACAGAAAGGAGTTATTTTGCCCTACCTCATGGTATACTACTTCAATTGGTTCTAGATTTATCGTAAGCCCGTAATTGGCTTCAGAGTTAAGTGGGTTCTTTTCAAAATCGAGGGATAGAAAGTTCGAAGCTGGATTTCCCGTGTAGATATTGTCAGCGGTAATCACAGGTATGAGGTCGTGATCGATGTTAGCCCCTTCAATGACAAAACTCTCGACCCTTGCTGAAAACTTGAAAGCTTTCGCTGACGGTCGGGTTTCAAGGCTTGCCAAAAATTGAGCAAGTGTCAGAACAAGTACTTCGTGCCCTCGTTTCAGCAGGCTCAGCGAACAGTTGGCCAATGTAAAGTTAATTTTATGCTCTGCGTATCAGAAATTCGTCATTTGACTAAAATCTAGTCATAAAATTTTATTCAATTACCTATGTATTGTTTCGGCTTGTCAAATACAATGTACTCCTGGCAGTAACCGATAGCGTCGAAAACTTGGTTTTTTTCACAAGGCGAAAGTTGGGCCCAGATTCCTCTACCTTTATCCGCTACGACATCAAGCTCTTTGTAAGTTTTTGACCTGGCACCCCTCGCCCACCACGTGCCTTGCTTTTCAATTATATTCACACGTTCTGGTGCTTCTTTCAACAACTAATAAAACCGTAAAAGGTTTAATTGAAGAAAAAATCTATACAATTTTATACATGCCTGTGATTTTGAGTATTCCCTTGCTATAATGATGTCAGTGACTGTCAGCAAGTCTTCGCACTGCTGAAGATCCAGCTTGAGTTCGGTATCTGTCGGTTTGAGCAACATCTGCTTATAAAGGGTGCAGTACCTCCTCCAGTTGTTTCTGTGCGTTTTGATCCTCTCCCAAGTAAACGGTCTTATGCGTTGTTCTAGGACGCCATTGTACGCATATTTCCACCACAGAGGTACATTTCCTGGAAGCTTCTTCCCTGGATGAAACTTCCTGAAACGCCTGAAATTTCACAATATTTGTTTTTCACAATTTGAATTGATTTTAAAAGATTAAAAAAAATCTATTAGGATAGTCTGTAAGGAATTAAGGAAACTTTTGTTTTTGTTTGCTAGTTGTTCTTTTAAAAAATTACATAACAGGATAATTCAGGAACTAAAATTTACCAAATTACCTATTTATGTTAATCCTTCTGAAAGAGTCTGCTAGCTCGATGAGCGCTAAATATTGAAGACGAGAGAGCTGCGTTGCAGCGTCCTGCAGGACAAAGTCAACTAAAAGTTTTGGCACTCGCGCTTCATTCGATTTGTTGACAATCAATTTCATTTTTGCAGTTATCGGTTTCAATACTGAAACAGAATTGTTCCAGTTGAAATTTTACTTTGGTTTTTGACAAATCTACTCGACCTACTGAATTCGAACTCTTCCCCTCTAACGCTAAACGTTTCCAGACCCCTTTTCATGTCGTTCCTCCAGGTGTAAGGGGCAGCGGAGTCCTGGCCTGGGTCTTTTCCGACCAGCTCTGAGCAAACAGGATTACAATAGATGGACAGAGATTCCAACCGGATCATCTGGTATACGGACGAAAGTGACTGGATCGTCGTAGTCGGCTTCCATTTGCTGAAAAAAAACAACATAAAATTAACATAATAAATAATAATAAAATTACAACAAAATTTTACCTGTTTGTTGTTTCAACAGATATACTTTGAAGGCAAATCCCACATGCAAAAGGGTTTTCGCTCATCACTGAGTCTTCATAGCGGATGTGAATGTTGTGAATAAATACTTGTAAGTTGTTCATTATTGTCGTCATAAGATTCTCAATGAATGTAGGAGATTCTGGAGCATCTAAAATTTTTTGAATTATTTTTTGGCCCATAAAACTTTTGAAATCTCAATTAATCACCATTTCCTAAAATATTTCCTGATTCTAACAATTCCTGTTTTCTCCTTTTAGAAGCTCTCATCAGTCTTTTCTCTTTCTCTGGGTCGTATTCGCGGTCTGTTATAGGCGCGGCTATTATGTGCACTTCCTAAAATAAAAAAAATGATTTAAAAAAATAAAAATTAAAATAATGTGAACAAAATGTCTTCACCTCCATTTCTATCACGACGGACTCTTTGCTGAAGCATCCCCATGGTATTTTGATGTTGATCCTTCCAATGGCTCCGACTTTGACCTCGATAGGCAAATCCAGTTCGTACTATACAAAATTAAGTAGTTAGATCAAGTCTGAACATTTTGATTAGGTGATCTTTTAACTACTAACAAGAGCGTCTGGTTTTATTTTGAGGTCCGTCAACTGGACTTGACCTCCGAAGATCCCGACGTTTAGATTTTCGGTGTCGAGGTCTTGGATGTACTTGCCCAAATAACGGTGAAGGAGAGTTGCCACCACCCTTTCAAACATCTTGGGACTCCCTGAATGAAAAAAGGAAAATATATACATATATAACTAAGAACACAAAAAATTATACCACTGTATGGTCGAAAGTGTATTAAAAATCTACATTTCTACAGATAATAATTCTTAAGAGTGCCAAAAATACTAACAAAAAAAAGAGAAATGGGAGAGAAATAGAAAATGAGAGGGAGAAATAAAAAAGGAGAGAGAGGGAGAGGGAGAGAGNGAGAGAGAGAGAGAGAGTGAGACGGAGAAAGGGAAGGAGAGAGACACACGCAGACTGAGGGAGAAACTATGCGGTTCAAAGTCCTTTCTCTTGAAACTTCACCTATCTGTCAAAAGCCAATCAAATTATTATAAATTAAATCTTCTAGCCTTTAATAATGTTTATCCAACGTTTACCCCCTCTCGGTACGTGAAAAATCCCGGAAAAGACTCTCGACAAAGGAAACCCAGCTGAAGAATCGGTGAACTTGAGAGCCATTTTCACAGTCTATGAATTTTTCATTGTACAAAGGACCGGACGTCTTAACATCATTGTATTCCTTAATACAACCCTTTCTCTTCCGTCATTTTATTTTTAGTTTCCATGAAATCTTTTTCTTCTTCTTGTTCGACAGGAAGGAGTTTGAGATGAGGATTTATCGGTTAGTTACATTTTTTATTAATGAGAAAAATGGTTTTAAAATAATGTTGAACTAATAATAATGATAAACCTACAGGTGGCCGTTTTAGGCGATAATTTCGAGAAACTAACGTGTCAAACCGGGAAGCTTTTGTTTTCCTGGTTCGCCTATTCTCGCTGTATTATATGTATTCTCCTTTTCTACAGTTATGTGTAATAAACTGGCTAATGAAAATAATAGCTGCTACAAAGAAATTTATTTAATTCCTCTATCAAGGCCCTTAAATAGCTTCTCAGGGTCGGGCTTAAATTCAGGAGCCATTAAAGTTAATATCACTGAGGAGGGGGGTCGATAAATTAGGTTGTGCACAAGTCAAACTCTCCACCCCCTCGTGACTAAATATAGCGAAAATAAAACCAATCAGCTTTGAAATTAAGGGAGTTAAAGACAATAGGAGAAAACCGCAATTGTCGATTATCGGGAAAGTTCTCGAGTCGTAAATAATAAAACCACCGGGGGGGGGGGTAAAAAATCCAATGGAATTGAATATCGGGAATTTTAATATTTCACAATATCTATTTTCGTCGGATTTCACTTTTGTTAAAGAGTAAAGGGAGCAATTCGAAGAAAGCGGGAGTGGACGTCGGAGAGATGAACAATAGAGACAAATCTTTTGTCAAAATTAAAATAAGTATTTAAAAAAAAAACAGTATCCAATCTAATACTGTCAAATTCAAACTAATCGATATATTTCCTGTAAATTTGCCACATTTACAATCATATTTCAATTATTCTTACTATTCCTATCTCTTTTCCGCTTGTGCCCCTTGCTATCTTGAAATATCCGCCAAATCAACGTTCTTACTCTTTTATCCGTTCATTTGCTTCTAACTTTTTTTATATACATTGGCAAATTGTTTACATAGGTTTAATGAAAAATGGTTTTCCGGTTCGTCGATTCTTGTTCTAGTGAAAAAGTGAAATTTTGTGCGATAAACAAAATAGTACGATTTGAACGCAGCGGTACAGTACTGTTAGCAAACAAAGCAAAATCAAGTCAGATAGAAAAGAGAGAAAGAGACGTAAAGAAAGAAAAAAATATATGGTTTTATTTATAACGCCAAGATAATCTTTTCTAATCCTCGGTGCATTTTTCGAAACAACTTCAAAAGAACCTTTTCCATAGGTCAAATTATTTACTTACCAAAACTCCAGCCAATTCCTCTCCCCCCCCATTAGCAGAGATTATTGTCGAAAGGATCTTCTCTAATTCTCCAGACTTTTTTTTGGAACGTTCAAAAGAACGCATTCCAAAACCAATCAGTATTTTTTCTAAACTTTTGGGCGGTTTTGTCTAAAGAGCCCAGAGAATATTTTCTTAACCTCTAGAAATTTTTTTCCAAAACGTCAGGCGATTTTATCGAAACTTCAAGACAATCTTTTCTGAGCTACTAAGTGATTTGGTTTTCAAATCTTAAGAATTATTTTATCGATACTGTCAGGAGATTTTGTCGGAACATCAAGTCAATTTTTTCTATACCACGAAGAGATTTGTTTTTCAAAACTTAAGAAGTATTTTGTTGATATTGCCAGGAGATTTGATCGGAACATCAAGTCAGTTTTTTCTATACCACGAAGAGATTTGTTTTTCAAAACTTAAGAAGTATTTTGTTGATATTGCCAGGAGATTTGATCGGAACAGTCAGTTTTTTCTAAACCACGAAGAGATTTATTTTCAAAACTTAAGAAGTATTTTATCGATACTGTCAGGAGATTTTGTCGGAACATCAAGTCAATTTTTTCTATACCACGAAGAGATTTGTTTTTCAAAACTTAAGAAGTATTTTGTCGATATTGCCAGGAGATTTTATCGGAACATCAAGTCAATTTTTTTTTAAACCACGAAGAGATTTATTTTCAAAACTTAAGAAGTATTTTATCGATACTGTCAGGAGATTTTGTCGGAACATCAAGTCAATTTTTTCTATACCACGAAGAGATTTATTTTCAAAACTTAAGAAGTATTTTGTCGATATTGCCAGGAGATTTTATCGGAACATCAAGTCAATTTTTTCTAAACCACGAAGATTTATTTTCAAAATTTAAGAAGTATTTTATCGATACTGCCAGGAGATTTCATCAAACATCAAAACAAATTTTCTAAACACCAAGTGATATGTTTATCAAAACTTAAGAAAAAATTTGTCGATATTGTCAGGAGATATTGTCCAAACATCAAAAGAAATTTTTCTAAACCACGAAGAGATTTATTTTTCAGAATTTAAGAAGTATTTTGTTGATATTGCCAGGAGATTTTATGAAACATCAAAAGAAATTTTTCTAAACCACGAAGAGATTTATTTTTTCAAAACTTAAGAAGTATTTTAGCAATACTGTCAGGAGATTGCATCGAAACTTCAAGATAATCTTTTCTGAACCACCAGTTGATATGTTTTTCAAAACTTAAGAAGTATTTCACCGATACTATCAGGAGATTTTAGGGAAACTTTGAAGAGTCTTGTTTCTAAAACTTTAGAAGACTTTTGTCGACACTGTCAAGAAATTTTTGAAATCTTCAGAAGAATCATTTTAAAATTTTGAAAAGAAGGGGTATTTTTACGATATTATCATTTGTAAACCTCCTATTCGAAATCACAGAGAGATTTGTTTTCCAAAACCTCAGATGGGCTTTGTCGACACTGTCAGATTTTTAAAACGTACTTTATCAGAGCACCAAGAGTTTTGGTTTTCAAAACTTTAGGAGTATTTTGTCGATACTGTCAGGAGATTTGTGAAAACGTCCAGGTCAATTGTCGAAAACTTCAGGAGAATATTTTCAAAACATTTAAAAGAAGTATTTTGTAAAAATTCAAATGTGCTTTGTCGACACTGTCGGGATATTTTTCAAACCACCAGGATAATCTATTTCAAATCGCTAGATTTGTTTTCAAAAACTTCAGAAATCAAAATCTTGAAATTTCTTTTGATATTATTTATACTTTGATCTACAGTCAAGTAATATTTTCCCGATCAAATAATAAAAAATGTTATGTGAAATATGTTTCAAGAATTATATTCAAGAAACAAATCTGAACGTTTGGATAAAAATAATGCAAACGATAACAATTTTAATACTAATCTTGAAAATATGTTTTTATCGATCGTTTTATTTTATTAAGGACGATTTATAAATTAAATTGAATTGCAGGTAAAAAACAGACAAACGGGACATTTTTGTTAGGAAATTTGTAATTTTTTTTGTCCGGTTGTATGGAATACAAAGGGAAATATAGAAGAAAAATATTATTATATAAAAAAAAAGGCGTGAAACGGGTTGGGCTGATAACTTATCATTGTCAGCCTTAAACCTTTCACGTTGAATTATTGTAGGACGATCAAAATTTAGTTCGAATTGTAAAGGGATGTTTGTAATCGTGGAATTCACTTCCGTATCGGGTAAAAAAAGAAAAAACGAATATAGGCCATAAGGACCGCATTGGCCCGGGCACAGCGAGTTTCCCAACCATATGGCAACCCAGTTTTCTTCGTTCCGGCTTTCAAATCCGATTTTTCGAATGAGGGGGGAAAAGTTAATTTTTCGCGAAGGGAGGCTAACGGGGAAACTGCCAGGGGGTACGACAGCCACCACTAATCCAATTTACCATCTCTTCACCAACACAGGCCCGGACCAATGCAAGGCAAAGCAGTCATGCGGAAAGAGATCTCGAGACAAATTTTAAACTTATAGATATTACAAAAAAAACTGTGATTCAATTTTTAAAAAAAAGTTAATGAATATAACTGACGAACTGTGTAGTTGCGAATCAATGATCTTGTATCTACTAACAGAGCTAAAAAAAATCTGCATATCTAATAATTGTTTAAAAAATATAAAAATAAATAATATAATATACAGAAATAAAGAAAAATGTGTAAGAGAGATAAATGAATAAAATATATTTTGAACAACCCTATCAACTAGCCTTACTTTTCTTCTAAATGTTGAACAGCAGTTTCGTCGGAATTGTTGGGCGGTTGTTATTATTATTTTGGATATTTTTTTTTTTATTGTTGAAATGAAATTTTCCAGTCCATTGCGAACGGTTCGCCGACTGGATGCCTACTGCAGGTTAGGTGTAGGCAAGGAGAGGACGGCCATTTTGGTATTTATTGATCGACGAAAACCCCGACCTTGCGCTCGCTCATTGATAAATCCACCGTCTCCGAATGTGCTTTATGCATTTGTTTTATTTTTTAATTGTTTTTTTTTTAAATAGACTAATCGGCCTTTTTGTCTTTTACGGCCGAGTACGAAGCCCGGCGAAGTCCTGCTCGCAGTCGGTCAACCGGCAATCCACTTGCAAAAATCTATTAATAGAAACAAGAAAAACATTCTCAGACTAATTGGTCATAAATTACCTCGAACCAATAAACATTAATGACTATTTTGTTTAAGTGTAAACAACCTTCAATTTCAAACTGTCGTTCTTTTATTGCAGTTCTCGACAAAAAGGAAAAAAATTATGACATCAATAACATCCAATAAGACTTAGAAGCGAATACCTTTTAAGACAAAGCAAGAACATAGTTTTTCTAAAAAATATTTACTAGTCATATAAAATTGTTTTAAAATTGTCTATGAATTTTAATACATAGAAATTTATTTTAAATGTGTTTTTATGATTTCAGTATAGTTCTTGTACTGAAGAAACGGCACATGTCGGTGTCACCTGTGGGATTCGTCTTTTAATAACCGTGTGTGTTAAGCCCCTACTTTCTCTTTAAAATTTGATACTTGTTCCAAGAAGTTTTAATTGGAAACAAATGCTGTTATAGCTTACGCCAAATCACCACTTTTTAATTTCAATATACTTTTTTAAAGAAATAATTGATCCTTTTAGTTTCAAATTAACTGGTTTTAAGGCATAGCTAATCCTTTTAATTTCAAATTAACTGTTTTTAAGGCATAGCTAACCCTTTTAATTTCAAATTAACTGTTTTTAAGGCTTAGCTAATCCTTTTAATTTCAAATTAACTGTTTTTAAGGCATAGCTAACCCTTTTAATTTCAAATTAACTGTTTTTAAGGCATAGCTAACCCTTTTAATTTCAAATTAACTGTTTTTAAGGCATAGCTAACCCTTTTAATTTCAAATTAACTGTTTTTAAGGCATAGCTAACCCTATTAATTTCAAATTAACTGTTTTTAAGGCATAGCTAACCCTTTTAATTTCAAATTAACTGTTTTTTTTTGTTCTTTTACTTCAAATTAACCCCGTTTAATTTTAAACCTGGCCTTTTTAATTTCAAATTAACTGCTTTAAGGCATAATTGATCCTTTTAGTTTCAAATTAACGGTTTTTTTGTTCTTTTACATCAAATTAACCCCGTTTAATTTTAAACCTGGCCTTTTTAATTTCAAATTTACTGCCTTTAACGTTGAATGAACCTTTTTCATTTCAAATTAACCATTTCTTTGAAACATCGAAAAACCTACGAAATGGAATTAAATGTAAGCAAGTAAATTTCAATTTCTACATTTGAAATCAAAATTGGGATCTTTGAAGACCATAATAAGGAAATTAATGACCAAACTAAAAACGATATGCGATTTAATAAAAAATCAAACAAAGGATTCTTCTTTTAATTTCCGACATTAAAAATCTAAAATAAGCGAACGAATAAAAACCACATTTTCTCCAATTTTCACATTACAAAAAGAATCCTTTATTTTCATAATTAATTTTATAAAAATATGATAATTTTAATTGTGATCCATTTTCATATGGATTTCTAAGAACCCAATTATTTTATATAATTTTTTCTTAAATATGTAGGAATTTTATTTTCATGCTTATATTTCATACCATCTGCGTTATTTTTTAATTAAAAAGGTTAATTTGAGTTAAACGGTGTTAATTTGAAATTAAAACGTGTAATTTGCTGCGGAAAAGGGTTAATTTAAAATTAAAAAGATTTAATTAAATGGAAAATGCTTTATTTAATTGTATATAATTTTGAAAGTTACATGCATTTAATTTTTACATGTTCTTCTAAATGTTAAACATTAAAAGCTTTAAAAAAAGATTAATTTAAAATTATTCAGAAATCGTGAGATGCGGTCTGGTGTGATGTAGGTTTCTGAAAACCATTTTCTTTATCGTGCCAACGTTTCGATCTTTATTGAGATCATCTTCAGTGCTCAAAGTGTTTGTCTTCTGTGTAATTGTGCCATTCTTGCATGTCGTGTCGAGAGTACCCACTTTGAGCCCTGAAGATGATCTCAATAAAGATCGAAACGTTGGCACGATAAAGAAAATGTTTTTCTTAAACCTACATCACACCAGACCGCATCTCACGATTTCTGAATAATTATCGATTAACGGTCACTTATCACCACACATTTCTACAAGAGAAGAACGATTAATTTAAAACTAAAAAGTGTTTATTTGAAGTTGAATAAATGTTTTATTCAAAGTTAAGGATGGTTATTTGAAATTAAAAAGAGTCAATTTGGAGCAAAAGTTTAGTTTTTCAAAACAGTTTCAATTAAAATTAAAAATTCCGTAAAAATAAATATAAAAACTTGAAAGAATCCTTCATTTTAATATTCAATTTCACATATTTTTTAAATTTCAAATAAAAAGAAAATTCAACTATTTTTATATTGAAAAAAAATAAAAACTGAAAAAATCATTTTTTTATATATTGTTTTAAGATTTGAATTGTAATTAATATTCATCTGGTATTCTAAGAGGTACTAAACTAAAAGGGTAATTTATTTCACACACTGAACGCTAGGAATAAACATTCCATTAGCCACTCATAGGCCCTTTTGTTCGATCAGTGGCCCATAAAAAAACGTTACCAAGCTAAATTGAACATTACGGCACGTTAGAGCCCGAAAACAAATAAAGTTACCTAACGGTAAAATCAATCTGAGGAGATAATGACGATCCGGCCCAATTCTCAGCTCTAGGGTTCAAATTAATACCAGTACGGTTATACAAGCAAAAATAAATAGCCAGTTTATTTCTCTCGTGGAATCGCTCTTCCCCAGACTTGAAATATACCCTACGAGGCGGAAATGCGATAAAGGATGCTGTTCTTTAGGTTCCTTAAAAAAAGGGAAATATATTTTTAAATGATATGCAAAAGAATCGTTTTGAAACGTAACACATTATAAGAATGTAATATTTTACAGTAGATCTTCATATTCAAATTAACATAAAACACGTATTTATTGACGAATTTTAATGAACTAGTACAAAACAATCACAATACTAATCACAATATGCCAGTTATAGTTTTGTCTAAACCTCCAAAAGAGTTTATTCAAAATGTCTGAAAATTTAGTCGAAACTTTCAATTTGTTTCTAAACACCCTTTCATAACAAGATTTTAAGGAAATGTAAAGAGATTTTCAATTTTCTTACAAACTCCCAGCATATTTTTGTTTAAATCTTCAGCAGATTTTGTGGAAACTTTAAATAAAATGCTTTAGCAAGTCTATTATAGTAAATATTAACAATTATTTAACAAAATGGGTTTACAATTTTTATATCCTCTTTTGTCTGCTTGTTTCTTTCTCATTGATTTTTCCTTAGTTTGAAACATAATCAGATACAGAGATGATTTTTTTCACTGGTATGTTTTTCATAATTTGAAATAAAAAAAGGGGTTGCGAATATACAGTACCCTCAAGACAGAAAAACCTTGAAATTTGCCCTCTTTGGACGCCTTAATATTTTAAACTTGTGTCTCCATTCATTGATTTTCTAACTAGAATCCTGCATTATTATAATCCCTAATAGAAAAATATTCCAAAATACCTTTAAAAAAGGAGTGGATCGCTGCGTTCCAAAATGATGTATGTCCAACATAATTTTTGATATACACTCGATTTTGTTGAATCTAGCGGTCCTGCTTTCGAACCCGACATACTTACAAATGGGCTTTTTTCAAAAACACCGGCACCCCGAGGGTTCATATTACCTCATAGTTGAAGTACCCTCGTTTAGTAGATTCTTTTCCTAGAAAGTTTTCTTCAAAATCGTAAGAAATCTTTTCAAAATGTAAAGAGATTTTCAATTTGTTTATAAACTTCCAGGATATTTTTGTTCAAATCTTAAGGAGATTTTGCGGAATCCTTCAATAAAATGGTTTTGCTACTCTATCATATTAAATATTAACAATTATGAAAAAATACTGGGCTTAAATTTTTTATATTCTTTTTATTGAAATCTTTTAGATAACTAGATTTTTTCGAAATGTAAAGAGATTTTGTGACAAACTTCCAGGACATTTTTGTTTAAATTTTCAGGAGGTTTGGGGAATTCTTCAATAAAATGGCTTTGCTACTCTATCATATTAAATATAAACAATTATTTAAAAAAAACTGGGCTTAAAATTTTTATATTCTTTTTTTTTTAAATCTTTTAGATAACTAGATTTTTTCTAAATGTAAAGAGATTTTTTTACAAACTTCCAGGATATTTTTGTTCAAATTTTCAGGAGATTTTGTGGAATTCTTCAATAAAATGGTTTTTCTACTCTATCATATTAAATATTAACAATTATTAAAAAAATGGTTAAATTTTTTATATCCTTTTTGTTGAAAATCTTTTAGATAACTAGATTATTTCTAAATGTAGAGATTTTTTTACATCCAGGAGATTTTGTGGAATTCTTCAATAAAATGGTTTTTCTACTCTATCATATGAAATATTAACAATTATTAAAAAAATGGTTAAATTTTTTATATCCTTTTTGTTGAAAATCTTTTAGATAACTAGATTTTTTCTAAATGTAAAGAGATTTTTTTACAAACTTCCAGGATATTTTTGTTCAAATTTTCAGATTTTGTGAAAACCTTAAATAAAATGCTACAGCTATTCTACTATAATATATATTACCAATTATTTAACAAAATGAGCTTAATTTTTTTATAACTAATTTTGTTTGCTTGTTGCTTTCGCACCATGTATTTGTTTACAGTAATTTTTCCTTAGTATGAAACAAAATCAGAGACAGAGAGATGGTTTTTTCGCGGTGTATATTTTTCATAATTTAAAACAAAAAGGGGTTGTGAATATACAGTACCCTCAAGACAGAAAAACCTTGAAATTTGCCCTCTTTGGACGCCTTAATATTCTCAACTTTTGTCTTCATTTATCGATTTTCTAACTAGAATCATGTTTTATTATTATGCCCAATAGAAAATTATCCTAAAATAGCCTAAACGTAAGCAGTGTATCGCCGCGTTCAAAGAATGATGTATGTCCAGCATTCGGTATCCTCGATATACACTCGATTTTCGCTCTAATTAAAATTTAATTTTTTGAGGGTTTACATTTTAATTAAAATTATTTTTAGTTTTACACAAATGAAGTGTTTTTTACACTAACGCTATTGCATATTTTATTATCCGTAACGGATGGACTCCCACGTTACATCATCGTGTAATCGTATAAATATCACATTGAGAGAGGAAATTCCTTTCGACTCCTATATCTTAAATTATTTAAATTATTTTGATAAAAACCTGGTATTTCCAAGAGAACGTCTTCCTTTAAGAGAATTTTTCCTTAAACTTCAGGAGATTTCGTCGAAAATCTACAGGAATTTTTCGAAACTTTGAGTAGAACTTTTTCAAAACCTCCATGAGAATTTTTCGTGAAATTTAAAAAGATTTTATCGAAAACCAAAATAAAATCTTATCTAAACCAAAAGGATATTTGTTTGAAACCTTCTAAAGTATCTCTTCTATACGTAGAGAAGATTTAAATTTAAAAAAAAAAAAACTTCCGTAGAATCTTTTACAAACTTGTGTTATTTTTTTGTGAAAATGTCCAACAAAATTTTACCGAAAATGCTAAGAAATTTATTCAATTACCAAGTTCTATTTTTCAAAAACCTAATGAGAATCCATTCATCTGTTGTTTTTTTTTTAAATGTAAAGTGATTTTTGATAGTTTTACAAAATTCCAGGATATATATTTTGTTTAAATCTTAAGCAGATTTTGTGGAAAGCTTAAACAAAATGCTTTTGATACTCTATCATAACAAATATTAACAATTAAAAAACTGGGTTTAAATTGTTTTTATCCTCTTTTCTTTGTTTCTTGCTTTCCCACCACGTATTTTATTAAAATTAATTTTTCCTTAGTTTGAAACAATCAGATAGAGAGAGAGGTGATTTTTCTCAATAGAATATGTTTTTCATAATTTGAAACAAAAAGGGGTTGAGAATATACAGTACCCTCACGACAGAAAAACCTTGAAATTTGCCCTCTTTGGACGCCTTAATATTTTCAACTTGTGTCTCTCTACCCTCGAAAAAAAAACTTTTAGTACGATAGATTCTTTTCCAAGAAAGTTTTCTTCAAAATCCTAAGAAATCTTTTCAAAATGTAAAGAGATTTTGTGGAATCCTTCAATAAAATGGTTTTGCTACTTAACCCGACACACAGTCAGAAACGGAACACTTTGAGCTCTGAAGATGATCTCAATAACGTTCGAAACGTTGGCACGATAAAAAACATGTTTTTCTAACATGTTATCACGATCTCCAAATAATCATAAACAATAGCAGTGTATCGCTGCGTTCAAACAATGATGTAAGTCCAGACTAATTCGGTGTTCTCTACGTGCACTCGATTTTCGCTCCAATTTTGTTTTTTGGATTTACATTCTAATTAACTAAGTTTTGCACAAATGAAATGCTTTTTAGACCAATATTATTGCATATTTTATTATCCGTAACGGATGGACTCCCACGTTACATCATCGTGTAAATGGATAACTCGAATATTGAGAGAGAGGAAATTCCTTTCGACTCCTGTACCTTATCGTTTAAATGCTTTTGATAAAAATACAGGAATTTCAATAGGAACCTTCGGCCGTTTCAATATTGCATGAGTTCTTTTTGTAAAGGTGTTATTTTGTTTGTTCGCTTCATTGACAAAATTGTGTAAATTTGGAATGCCTTTTTTTTCTTATTAAACTTACAAAATCCATAAAAGCCGTCAACTTTCCTCAAAATTACTCGACTCCCACAACACGACACGCTGATAACGGGGTCATGGGGGGGCCTCACTTTCGCAATAGGAAAAACTCAAAATTGGGATCCTTGGCCGACGGAGACGCCTTACGGTATGTATTGGAAAAGCGACGTTACAAGGATATACAGTTTAATTGGGGGAAAAAAAGTGGGGCTAAGGACGCGAGGATGGAGGTTAAAGAGGACAATAGTCTATAAAATCCCGTGGGAAAACGTTTTTCCTCACTTGTGCTTCCGACTCTAGACATGACTTCACCTGCCTTCTTACTATTAGCTTCAGTAAGTGTTTATTTTTGTCGTGCAATGTTTAATTTTAATTTTTATAATCGCGATTTCATTGTAAGTACTCGGTTTATATCAAATACGTTTATATTTATTTCAGGTGGTTGTTGCTCTCGCTTCAGCACAGGAAGATGATAGTTGCAGGACTCGACCAGCCGGTTGGCCAGAGGTAAATTACAATGCAACATTGATTGTGTACCTTAGTACATTTCCATTAATTAAGGTTTTGGTAGAGATAAAAAAGTCCGCGTCACAAGCGGAATTCGAACCCACGACCTTCGGCTTGATACTCCGCTGCTCTACCCATTGAGCTATCACGATCAACTCGGACCCTAACTTTCCATCTCAACCCCACCTTTTTGAATTTTTCCTCCATTTTGCCATTTTTCAAATGTGTAATCTATTTGATTCTCGGCGAGAAATGAAATGGCCACGGAGAACTTTAGTGAAGATATACTTCATTTAACTTATTAAGTTCATTAGATTTCGTGGTCCGATTGACCAAATAACATCTTTCAATTAATTAATATTTATGTAAGGTATTGGTTGAGGTAAAAAAGTCAGTGTAAGAAGCGGGATTCGAACCCACGTCCTTCGGCTTGATACACCGCTGCTCTACCACTTGAGCTATCGTGACTTCGATCCACTCGGACACTAACTTTCCATCTCAACACCACTTTTTTAATTATCCCTTCTTTTTGCCAATTTTCAAATGTTTAATTTATTTGATCCTCGGCGACAAATGAAATGGCCAGGGAGAGCTTTAGTGAAGTTTACTTCATTTTGCTTATTAGATTTTATTTGGTTTCGTGGTCCGCTTGACCAAATAAATTCTTTTTCAATTAATTAAGAAGTGTTTATTTAGAAAAAGAATTTATTTGGTCAAGCGGACCACGAAACCTAATAAAATGTAACTTGGTACATCTGTTGATCATTGAAATTCCGACCTACAGACAAATTTTTTCTAAATATTAAAAAACAAAAATTGACCCCGAAGTAATAGAATTTTTATTCCAAGACATCTTTAAATTTTTGTCCTATTCGTCTGTTTAAAATTTATAATTATGATCGACCTGTTTTGTCAGTTTATATGATAAAAAGAATTTATAAAGTTTAATATTTGTTAATTATATGCCTGGAATACACCCGTTATCGACCCAAACTTCGAGTAAACCACATACCACGTGGTTGGACATTTAAGTCCACCCCATAAACAAGAAATACTTCTGAGTTTGTATAATAACGAGAAACTATTTCTCCCCCAGAGTAGTCGATATTCCTCGGTGCGGGGTTGAACCTACTCCATTCTCGCTAATAAATACTTTTACTCCCTAGAGATCAAACACTCACCCCAGGGTACTCGATATNACATTTTCTTTATCGTGCCAACGTTTCGATCTTTATTGAGATCATCTTCAGAGCTCAAAGTGTTTGTCTTCTGTGAAATTGTGCCATCCTTGCGTGTCGTGTTGAGAGTGCCCGATTGAAACGTTGGCACGATAAAGAAAATGTTTTTCTGAAACCTACATCGCACCAGACCGCATCTCACGATTTCTAAATAAATATCGATTAACGGTCACTAATCACCACACATTGATAATTAGTTGAACAGATGGTAACACTTTTTAAATTGGCGTGACAACGAACCCGGAAGTGGTCAGTAATGATAAATTCTCGATTGTAAATGTATGATGTTTACGTCGACACGATATGATTATCTCAAAACGGGGTAAAAAACATAAAATATACGAAATGTGGGAAAAGCTTTCAATGCGTCATCTTGCAATAGTCAGGAAAAATTGCAACCTTGAAATCTCATTCTCTCACAGTTCATATCCAGATATTTTTTAATTATTATATAATAAGAAACTGTACGAAGAGGAACACTTTTGAAAAGGAAAAACAAGCCTAGGTCTGTCATCCTCGAGACTGGAGGCTGAGAGAAGGGTTAGGGTAAGACTTATGGAAAGGATCAAGTCTCGAACGAAGTTGTGGTCATTGTGGATGGTGAGGTAAGAGACTAGTAGGGAGATTGGAGAATATAAATAAATAGAATTACGAGACCTCCTAGGAGGCCTCTGGCCTCTCCCTGCTGGATCAGGGGGAGTCACCCATCTTGGTGCTGAGCAACTCCGAGGTCGGGCGCAATCGAATTCTTTGGTAATTTCGGCCCCATTACGTTCCCTAACACTAGTCATTCTCACACTCACTCATACAATAAATACATACATACTCCTATATACAAACCCATTCACACATGCATATCCTCTGTCTAGAATCCGGGTCAGAGGGTACTCGATCTCCCCCGAACCGGCTTAGCGGAGCAGCGGTGGAGCGTTGAAATAATATGCTGCACCGCCGCCAAAGAGATTAGAGAAATCTTTTGAGAACTTTGAATTGAATTATTGGATTGATTGGATATGGCTTCGTAGTATCCCAGCCAGTTCTTTTCCATATGTTCAAATTGATCGACTTATTGTATTGTAGAGATTAGAAAATTCTTTTGAGGACTTGGAATGCTTAGATGGTTTGATATTAGAAGTACCAGTCCAATTGGTCAAATTATTTATTGTAGTTTTAGTTTGTTTGTTAGTTATATCTGATTTTGGCCAAAGCAGTCTTCTTAGTAAAGTTGTTCAATTTTTGGCACTTGAGTAGTATTGGGATTGTGAAGTCCTAGACCTACGTATTTGACTTGTTGGTGTACAGTGTAGGGCTAGCGAGAAAGACAGGTGTTAGAATGGATTGGCAGTGTAAAACAGGATGGGGGCCAAGAATGCTCTCTTACGGGGCGCCGGCTTGCGTCTGTTTTATCCCCGAGAATCATTGCCTCCTCTTACTCTGAAGCAGCGATCAGTTTGGTCTGATCTCTTAAGTGAGGAAAAATAAAATAAAATTTGTAAATTATTTGATGTTTTAGAGGCCACCGCAATGCTGCAGTCTTCCTTTTCCGCTAGAAGGCATGAAACGGCAGTTCGGCGCTTGCATACGTCAAATCGGCAGACCTTCTTCAGCAGTCCCAACAGGTATGTGTACAAAATAAATAGCTCGTTTCGGGTAAGTGGGCACTAGGTGTACGTCACAAGACGGTGGATGAACTGTCACATTGGTTAACTTCACGTTTGACATTGAACTACCAATTTTAAATACCATATCAAAGGAAAAATCTTCCACAATTGAGCCTACAATGAAACAGTGTCAATGGTGTAAAGGATAGGATGAAGAATGTGTTGCAACACGCCAGCCTGGATCAATAAAGTTTTTCCTTTATCTTTCTCTCTTGTTCATTATTAATACGAACACGTCTACTGGCGTAAGAAAAGCGAAGCTTTTCTTTATAATATAGATAGGTTTTTGGGCAGGATACAACACTTTTTTACGTACCATTATACGACATCGGTTTTGCGTTACCGGGGAAAGCAATTGTATTGGGCTAGGTCAGGTTAAGAATGGTTATGTTAACAAGGGTTAGAGTTAGGGACTGGCTAGATTAGGCTAGGTAGGTTTAGAATTAGGAACGGGTTAGGTTAGGCTAAGTAGAATTAGAATTAGGGACGGGTTAGGTTAGGCTTAGTAGGATTAAAGTTAGGGACTGGCTAGATTAGGCTAGGTAAGTTTAGAATTAGGAACGGGTTAGGTTAGGCTAAGTAGGATTAGAATTAGGGACGGGTTAGGTTAGGCTTAGTAGGATTTAAGTTAGGGACTGGCTAGATTAGGCTAGGTAAGTTTAGAATTAGGAACGGGTTAGGTTAGGCTAAATAGAATTAAAAATAGGGACGGGTTAGGTTAGGCTAAGTAGGATTAAAATTAGGGACGGGAGGTTAGACTAAGTAGGATTTAAGTTAGGGACGGGTTAGATTAGGCAAGGTAGGTTTAGAATTAGGAACGGGTTAGGTTAGGCTAAATAGAATTAAAAATAGGGACGGGTTAAGTTAGGCTTAGGACGATTAAAGTTAGGGACTGTTTAGATTAGGCTAGGTAGGTTTAGAATTAGGAACGGGTTAGGCTAGGCTAAGTAGAAATATAATTAGGGACTGGCTAGATTAGGCTAGGTAGGTTTAGAATTAGGAACGGGTTAGGTTAGGCTAAGAAGGATTAGAGTTAGGGACAGGTTAGATTTGGTTAGGTAGGGGTTAGTGTTAGAAACTGGTTAAGTTTGGCTGGGTAAGGTTTGAATTAGGGACTGGCTAGGTTAGGCTAAGAAGGATTAGAGTTAGGGACGGGCTAGTTTAGGTTAAGTAGGATTAGAATTAGGGACGGGTTAGGTTAGACTAAGTAGGATTAAAGTTAGGGACTGGCTAGATTAGGCTAGGTAGGTTTAGATTTAGGAACGGGTTAGGTTAGTTTAAGAAGGATTAGAGTTAGGGACGAGTTAGGTTTGGTTATGTAGGGGTTAGTGTTAAGAACTGGTTAAGTTTGGGTAGGTAAGGTTTCAGTTAGGGACGGTTTAGATTAGGTTAGGCAGGGTTAGGGACTCGTTAAGTTAGGCTAGATAGTTTAGAGTTAGGGAAGGGTTAGGTTAGGTAAGTTTATCATTAGAAACGGGTTAGATTTAAGATTATTCTATGCTAAATTTGCATTAAAAACCCTGTAATATTAAATTTGCAACGATTCCACAGAGAAAACTCGAAATTCAACAATTTATCTCTAGTTTTAAATCTCTAATATGTAGTTAATTTTTGCCGGGGCAGTGTATAGCTGCGTTTGCAACAGTCACTAAAACTTTTTTATGTAAATCAACTATTTAGTTCTAATATTATTGACCAGTTTTGTTGATTGCTTTTAGCTAAAGCCGTGAGAGATGCAAGACTGGTAAGTCTACCTGTTTTTCAACGTTTATGCGTTATTTTATATCTTACGTTTTTATTTCAGTGTATCGAAGAGTGTGTTTACAAAGGTCTTGGATTCTTCGTAAGTTTTAGCTGTTTGTTTCTTTCCACTATGCAGGGTTTAATTTGAGTTTATCTTTTAGGATAAGTCCCTCAAGAAAGAGTCCATAGCCGAGGAGCTTAAAAAGGGCGTCGAAAAATATCCACTTTGGACAAAACCCATGAACGATGCAGTCAAGGCCTGCTTTGAAGAAGCAGGTATGTTGTTTTAATGCTAAATTTGACGTTATTTTTTAACGTTTTTTTCTTCTTTTAATAAAGACAAAGCGGAACAAGACGAATCCTTGTGCGACCAAACGCCACACGTTTTCACGCATTGCGTAATGCGACAGCTTTTTTTGGTAAATTCGACTTTTTTTTAAATTTGCATTTTAAAATTGACATAAATTATCATTTTTGTTTCTTTTTAGACCTGCCCTGCATCAGAATGGACTGACAGTGAGTACAATTAATACAATATCGGTTGGCGTATTTGTTTTTAATTAATATCCACCGTGTATCCGACCTCGTGCCGTTTTTATTCTTCTCCTTCCGGCGGACCGTGAAGCTTTTTTAAACATTGTTTGGCCGAAGAAATAACTTCTAATTACGCAAACAGAGAGAGAGAATTACGTCCGTTAACGTCACATTCATAAAAATAAACATGCTTCATGTTTTTACGAATTTAATTTTTAAAAAAATTTTCTGACCACACCCCTCTTAAGAGAGAAGAAACAACCTCAAACCTAAGAAAATCAACATATAAATTTGAATATTTCCATATTTAAAAAAATAAAAATAAAATAAAAACCGAAAAGAAAGCGTTCGTTATAATGGAAACGTCCTTTGAGAAAAATCCCTCATTTCAGCCATTGTGTCATCCGTGACGGACCCGGAAGGACACAAGGACTCTCATTCTATTTATTATCTCTTTTTATTTTTAATTTTTCCAGGCGAGGATTGCAAGCTCGTCAAAGGAAGGATGGAAGTCTGTCCCAACATCCCTCCTCCTCCGCCTCCACCACCACAGAGGCCTCCCCAGGGCTTTCCGAGGTACAGGCAGGAGTAATGCCAGCAATCGTGCAAATAACAGTTCCTACACGTGCAATAACACTACAACCGTCCTTTGGAAAAGTTACCAAATCTGTAATAAGAAAGATTTCGTAATAAAATCGTCAATTACAAACTTGAGTCGAATTATTAGAAAAGAAACAAAACGTCTGTAAGAAAGGTCGTTTAAATCCAAACCTATTTCAAACATGGAGAATTTTCGAAATATTTAAAAAACTTCTGAAGCATGTAAATATTAAGATATATGATTAATTATATCTATTTTTTCTATCATTAACCTACAAATACAAAAATTTGAATACTATTAAAAATATATATTTTTTTTTCTTTCGGCCGGCTAGCTGCCTGGGCTATTGCCGGCACCTCACATTTCTTCCACCTCACGTTTTATAAATTTATTTATTTTTTAATTTAATTTAATTTTTTTAAAATTAGCTTTTTTGTAGGAAGTCTGGCAATCTTTCTGGTTGTGTTCTGGGACGTTAATTCTACATTTTTAGCCCTCCCACACGTGGTGAAAAGGCTCTGAAACTATCTCATTCACTAACATTCAATCCTAGCCTAGCCTATAGGCGGATTTCAGAGTACTCGATATTCCTCTGAAGACCCGCCCTCGTTCACGCTAATAAATACATCCATACATTATGTACAATTAAAATTACAATTAATCTAAAACGTTAACCTAGGTGGTGGGTTTATGGGGTACTTGATATTCCACCATAGACCCACCCATGCATACACTACTATCGCACTAATAAATACATTCACTCAAACAGTAACCAATCATTCTGTATTTACAAATTAAAAAATGCGGAGCCACTGGCGCATTTAATATTACAACAGTGCCTCCGCCCATTCACTCTAAAAGATATTATAGCCTAATACTAACCTAAATCGGTGGGTCTGTGGAGTACTCGATATTCCTGCACAACCCACCCATACACACTCACTTTCGCGCCAATAAATACATTCTTTCTACCAAAAACACACAAAGAGATATCTATCCTAGTTTGGTGGGTCTGTGGGGTACTCGATATTCCGACCACTACCCACCCATACACTCACACATTCTCGCCAATAAATACACTCACTTCAGGAAGGGAAAATGAAACCACGTGTGGAGAAGCCTTAAAGGCGACCATATGCATTTATTTGCTTCAGATATTTGATTACTTTCTTGCTGTTGTCATTGCTGTGTTGCAAAACCTCTTTCAAGCTCGAGGAAAGGCCACACTTTGTTCTGTGCGGCGCCAGTAGTTCGCATTCGGTTAGTAAATGTGTAACAGTTATTTATGCCCCGCACAATGGGCATCTCCGTGGACTTTTCCTCGCCAAGAGATGACCATGATATAGGATTAATTAAGAAAGAGATATAAAACTGAAAAATGGAAATCAAACCTGCTGACCAATTATGCCTATTTTTTCCTACTATTAACCTGTAAATATCGATCATCATAACCTATAAAATCATAAAATTTGAGGCCTCAAGAATATTACAAAATATTTAAAAATCTTATAAAGCATGTAAAATAATAAATATTATAATATAAAAAATTAATTACCCAGTAGATATAAAATTAAAAGATGGAAATCAAACCTGCTGACCAATTATGCCTATTTTTCCCCTACTATTAACCTGTAAATATAGATCATAATAACCTATAAAATCATAAAATGGGTGGCCTCAAGAATATTACAAAATATTTAAAAATCTTATACAGAATGTAAAATAATAAATATTATAATATAAATGATTAATTACCCAATAGATGTAAAATTGAAAGATGTAAATCAAACCTACTAATCAATTTTGCCTATTTTTCCTACTATTAACCTGTAAAAATCAATCATCATAACCTATAAAATCATAAAATTGAGGCCACAAGAATATTACAAAATATTTAAAAATCTCATACAGAATGTAAAATAATAAATATTATAATATAAATGATTTATTACCTACCCAATAGATATAAAATTGAAAGATGGAAATCATACCTGCTGACCAATTATTCCTACTATTAACCTGTAAATATCTATCATCATAACCTATAAAATAAAACCTAAAAACTGCCAAATGCCAATGCTCTCTGTGTTTATTCTCATATTCACAAAATTCTTTGACATTTGAATTTTGTGGGATAACCTCAAGAGACAAATAAGAGCGCGTCCATCATTTCCTGATACACTCCATTACCTAGAAAGGTCTTTTCGTGAAGAATGAGCTAACCTCCAGAAAAGACATTTCCAGACTGGTGGAAAGTATGCCAAGGCGTCTTCGAGATGTTATTAAGGCAAGAGGAGGAAATAAACGATATTGAAATGTTAATTAAAAAGCTAAAACAAATTTTATGTCTTTTTTTAAATTTTCCTTAACAATTTACATTTTTTTTACTTTTTTAGACAAAGCTCAATTATTAAATGTTAAAAAACGTGAAACTTTGATTAATATATAAAAATGTACAAGTCAAGTTTTATTACAAGCGGGCGGAATTTTTTGCCTGTCAGTGTTTTTGCGTTGTGCCTACTCACTCTTTGTATTGTCAAGACATTATTTTACCAAATGTCACTGAAAAACCTTTCTCTACAAATTGGGTTTTGTACGCAGGTGTGCGTGAGTAGAAAAGGACGGTATGGAACATCCTTTACTTTTTTTTCACTCTTGAAGTGCCAGTTTCTCTTACTGCTCGTTGTGTCACCAGGTGTAGAACGAATGTTTCCTTATCCAGCCCAATGTGCCCGGGTACTCAGAATACTGTTTTCACAAGATTTCCAACTCAGTATACCTTTTGAACAAGAGCATGGCAAAAGGATTTACCAATAATCTGCCCAGGATTGGCAATACAGCGCTCACAGCCTATTCAATACATATCAGGTCAAGAAAGTCAGAGAAGAGCAAATTCCTGGAAGTGCTATGGGACTTCTATTTCAATAGGATTATTTTGACTTCAAATAGAACTTCTTTGTTCTATTCATTTTTGGGTGAAACAGACAACTCAAAGAGAAGATTGAGAATGAGGCCATATTCAAAATTGAAATGAAATGTCAGTTCAGAATATTCTGTAAAGCCTGGGGTCTTTCTGCTAGAAGTAACATGTTGAACACAACAGACGGGAAGCGAAGTCGAGATGTCTTTTTAGTTCATTTTTTGACATAATTGTCATACGGTGGCTTTGGCGGAAATAGATCTGCAGGATAGGATTATAAGGAATCAAATAATATTTAAAACATTTTTATTTATTTAAATAAATATGTATTACAATTCAGTTTTGAAGTAGAATAGATTATTAAAATAACAGTTTCAGATGCATTTTATACCCATCACTGGGAAATTTCGAGATTTGGGCATTTCATGCAAAACTTTTGTATAAATGTGTAGACAATTTTCATTGACAATTTAATGAAAAATTAAAGGAACACTTGAATTATATACTAAAAAAAAAAGACTGCTCATTACTTATTATATTTGTATAAAAATGGTTTAAGTTAAGCTAAGATGTTTCTTCTTCACTTTCAGAAATACCGACAAGCATCGGGGAAACCAAATCACCCACCTTATTGTATGAAATATTAAATATTTGCATACTCAAGTTCATCGTAAGTCTCCACTCCTTGGCCTAACTTACTCAATTATCTCTATAGGAGGATCACATGAAGTATCCCCATCCAAAAGTCCTTTTTATTGCATCCCAGTAATACCGAGTCCAGTTTTCTTTTGTTCTTTCAACATCACTATAAATTTTTTATTTATCAATAAAACTGACGATAATACTAATATGTAAAGTAATTAAGTATGAATTTACCTTTGTGGAATCCCTGCTTGGTTTACTTTAACGACTGTGTGATCTTCTTGTTGATCGATGATGAGTGTAACCGTCGAGAAATGATCGTCAGGCCAACTTTTCAGCCTCCATTTCTGTACGATTTTTTTATTAGGTACTAATTCGAGAAATTCGCCGTATATATTTCCACCGAAGAGGGAGAATTTCCCTCCGTTCCTGGCTTCGACGACGGACGGGCCGTTTGTGAACGCACAGACCATCTGAAAGGTTCAAAATTCAAGACGAACGTTCTAGTCAGTTTTAAGAATTCGAATGGAAATTAAAATCTTTACTTCTGGCGTTGTCATCGCCCTATAAAAATCCTCGCCTGTACACTGAAAGACCTGAGTATCTTTAAGATTTTTTAACTCCTTCGTATTCGTCTTGATCTTGTTATTGATGGAACTTTGAATATTGTTCATCTGCATCTGCAATTTCGACATGAAAATTTAATTCAATGTTATAGCTTTTTTTACATTTATTTTTTTTAAATTTTTTATTTTACTTTTACAGATGGCCCACTTAAAACGAATATTTATAAACATGGCTTAAGGGGGATTTTCGTAAGAGAACACAGATGAATTGTGCTCACTAATTTATTTTTAATTGATATTCAAGTACAAGTTTCAATAAATAAGTAAATATACAACCAAGGAAATTGGAATTTTTCTTCATTTCTTTTTAACCCGATTGAAAATTTAAATGGCTTTGCCCTGAAAAAATACCAATTTTCCATTTTCTAAATGAATTTGTTTTTATTTAAATTATCCAATGTCTAGTATTTAACAAAAAAACGTACCTTTGCTGAGAAACCAGATGAAAGAATAGTCATTTGCTCTTTGTGCTCATCCTCAGAACCTTTTTTTGGCAATATCATCCCTTTAGAAAATTCTGCAAAACAAATAAAATATCACTTATTTTTAAATCAAATTCTATCATTAATAAATGATGTTGGTTATAATTATACCTTCTTTTAATGAAGCAACATATGCTTTAAGCTTCTCCCTGACGACTTCTTGACCTTGATGACGAAGGAACTCTTTCAAGACATCGCCCTCATCGGAGGATTCTTTTAAGGTGAATGTGACCTAAAAAAACAACCGATGATTATAACAATTATTACTTTTGACACTTTTAACAGGGTTACCTCAACTTCAGAAATATCATTTTCCTCGCTGAGATTAGGGATTTGAATTTTCCCTTCGCACTCTTTTGTACCGCCTTTCAGCCTTCCCTTCCAGGTAAGAGTCATATCCCATTCGTAGAAGAAAATCAGTTTACCTTTTCTGTTGTTTGCAACTGCCTCGCCCTCGATCCTGTCCATTTCGGTCACTGTGCAGAGAGCGAGGTCAGACTCGATTTTCAAATTGAGCAGAAGCTCTTTCAGCTTGTCCTGTGACCAAGAACAGGCGTTTTTCTCCGTCCTGACAATGAATTTAATCAAATCAAACAATGTCAAAGATGAACAATTAAGAAATAATTTTTATTCTTATACAAACCAATGCCAGTTGTTAACATTAGTGGCATCAGGCCTCTCCTCTACGATCCACCTGGGATCTCCTTCGCCCCAACGAGCCATTATTAGTAAGTGTTAAAAACTGAAAAGCAATATACAAAACATGAATTAAGATTTGATTAAATGTATCAAAATAACTACACATCATTTTGTTTCCATTTAAATAAGATCCTTTGAAGGACAGTTTTAGTCAACAAGTAGTGGAAAATATAGTTTCTGTACAGATGTTAATGGTTCATACTAAAATTACTGAGTAACTCATGACTTTTGTATTTTTACTAAAGTAGGAAAATTCGAGGATTTCATAAATATCGTAAAATAAACTTTTCAAAATTCAGCATTTTTTAGTTATTTTTCTAACAGGCAGAGACTTTGTTGTTGGACAAATTACTGGGGAACTTACACAAATGTTGCACTAGAAAATAGTACAACATATTAATTCAAGAATTTCTCCATCATTCATGAAATAAAATAAAATTAAACATTTTGTAATATATCTATGAAACAGATACTTATAAAAGTAATTTCTGTAAATACAATAGATGTTGCTGACAAAATTATTGGTCAACTTGCTCAACTGTAGTATTTTTACTAGTGGTTAATAAAGCAGGATGAGTCAATAATTCCGCCTTAATCACAATTAAGCATTTTTCATTTCACTATAGAGCAGACTATGACGTTTCTGTAAATTTAATACATGTTGCTGGTCCATACAATATAACTAAGGAATTGGCACGGCCATTATATTTTCACTAGCAACAACTAACAAAGCAGGATGATTCAAGAGAGATTCCTCCCCCCCTTAAGCATCATGAAAAAAATTGAAATTATTTTTTTATTTTTCTGTGGCACAAAGAATCTAAAAGTAGTTTCTGTGACAATAGATGTTGCTGGTCCATACTGGGGAACATCACAACTGTTGCATTTTTACTACCAAATTGTACAGCACACTGATTCAAGAATTTCCCAATCTTTCATGAAATAAAATAATCAAAATTAAACATTTCCTATATTTCTACGGAGAAGAGATTCAAGAATTTCCCAAACATTCATGAAATAATCAAAATTAAACATTTCTTATACTTCTACAGAGAAGAGATTCAAGAATTTCCCAAACATTCATGAAATAATCAAAATTAAACATTTCTTACATTTCTACAGAGAAGAGATTCAAGAATTTCCCAATCATTCATGAAATAAAATAATCAAAATTAAACATTTCTTATACTTCTACAGAAAAGAGAATTTTAAAAATAATTTCTTTATATACAGTAGATGTTGCTGGGGGGGGGGATACTGGAAAAATTTCCCGACTGATGTATTTTAAACTAGCAAATATTTATACAAAAAACATTTACACACGACCATTGCATTTTTACCCGCAAATACTACAATTCAAGGATTTCCTAGTAATTCGTGAAATAAAATAATAAAAATTATAGTATATATATTATATATTTTATAGTATTTAAAAAAAACCTATGGACCAGAGATGATTGGCTATTAAAGCAGAGTGATTCAATTATTACCTAAATATATTAAGCTTTTTTTCATTTTACTATAGAGCATTATTATAATAAGTAGTTTCCCTAACTATTATAGATGTTGTTGGTCCTAACAAAAATTAATGTCGAACTGTCACAACCGTTAAATATTTACTAGTCTTTTGTAACAAACCAGGATGATTCACGCATTCCTTAATCATAAACGAAATGAAATAATGCAACACAAAATTGTTTTGTATTACTATGGAACAGACTTAAAATAAATATTTTCCCTAATAATAAATGTTGTTATTCCAAACAAAAATTAATGGGGAACTGACAAAATTATTAAATATTTACTAGTCTCTCGTATCAAACCAGGATGATTCAATAATTCCTTTATCATATACAAAATAAAATAATCAAACTAATTTTTTGTAGGTATTTCTATGGAGCAGTGGCTTATGCCCAAATGTAGTATTTTTACTAGTGCCTAATAAAGCAAGATGATTCGATTCCTTTAACAAATCAACAATTTTTTAAATATTTCTATGAAGAAGACTTTTATAAGTAATTTCTGTTTCTACAATAGATGTTGCTGGTCCATAAAAAATGATTGGGAAAAATTTGACGACTGATTTTTAACTAGCAAATACTACTATTCAAGATTCAAAAATTTCCTAATTACTCTTGAAATAGAATCATCAAAATTAAGCGTTTTTTTATTTTTCTGAGCAGAGAGACTTATTCTATACAAAAATTGTCGAGGTATGCAACCCTTACATTTTTACAAGGATGGTAAGCATGGTTATCTTCTTATGCCATATTTATAACAAAACAGTCGCTTTGAAAAATGCAGTTTGAGAGAAATAATGAATGATTTTGTGATTGATGAGGACGAGAAAAAGAGGGCATTGAGAGAAACACTTGGAAAAATTGGTCACCATCGGTATAACCATAGAAAACATTGTCAAATACCAAAAATGGTTGTTGATTTGTCTTACCAATTCCGAATAAAATCTGTTTTTGACAGTAAACGTGCAGAAAACGGCTCCTCCGGTTGCTGGAAAATCGCGGGTCCCTTAAGCAACGCCTAGCAGAGGCCACGAGATCGGTCTTTTCCACAAGATTAAAGAGCTGTAGAAGTAGATGTAGATCCTTGCCTTCTAGAACCGCCGAGAACCTTCTAGAACCAGGTGGACACTAGATCGAGTCTCAACTGCGAGGATCGATAAAAGGTGAAACTTTATCCGAAAAGTCCCACCCAATCTCGCCTCTGTTCAAATATGTTCGATTTCATTGTTAAAACAACTGTTTATATTTCCATTTTGAATTTTATTTATTTTTCAAAAACCGCCTGGGGAGGTTGGCCCAATGGGCTGTCTTCCCGGGTAGTGTAGACTTTGTATGAAAGTTCTCCCCTTGTAGTATCGCATCCAAACCATACATTGATGTACCTTGGATGATATCTTGACTTAATACAACTTGCGGAGACATTGTTGACCATAGTTCAATCATCAATTGCTCAAACTTTAATGCAAGCTACAATTATTAAGCTTGGTAAGCCAAAGCTTAAAGTGTCGCTGCAGTTAAATCAATTCAACTAATTTTAATAAAGCAAACCCAAACATCAAGCAAAAAATAATCCTGGTTAGGTTAATTATTGTACCAAGTTTTGAAATAAGCCAGAAGGCTGCAGTGCCTGGGGAATACAAGCCCCGCTTCCCAGCATCCCTTCCACTATACCATACCATACCAAGTTTTGAATGTTGAGATTTTCTTATGAGGTTACCACACCTAAACAATGCAAGCTACACATTATTTTTAAGCATACTAACCATAAAGTAAGCCAATGTGCACTTAAACCAACTCAACTAATTTTAATAAACAAAAGATCAAGTGAAAAATAATCCTGGCTAGGTTAATTATTGTACCAAGTTCTGTACGTTGAGATTTTCTTGTGAGGTTACCACACCTAAACAATGCAAGCTACACATTATTTTTAAGCATACTAACCATAAAGTAAGCCAATGTGCACTTAAACCAACTCAACTAATTTTAATAATCAAAAGATCAAGTGAAAAATAATCCTGGCTAGGTTAATTATTGTACCAAGTTTTGTATGGTGAGATTTTCCCGTGAGGTAACCACCCCTAAACAATGCAAGATACATATTATTTTTAAGCACACCAACCATAAAGTAAGCCAATGCTTGAATTGTGCACTTTTTTTTTTTTTAGGTTTGTTATTGTATCAAGTTCTGTACAATGAGATTTTCTCTTGAGAAAAAGATTTTGTGGTAATACAAGATATCTAGGGAAAGAAAAGAGAGAGAGAGAAAAAAAACTACTGACTACTGGCTATGTACAACGATTAGACGTCTGGTCACATATGGAACACTAGTATGGTCAAAAACCTTAGAAATCAGGCCCAGAATCAATTAAAGTTATTTCAAACATTCAACTATTTCAGAAATAGTATTGTTGCACATATAGATACAGAGGATGACATACAAAAGTGCTCCACAGACACTTATGACAAAACAAAATAAAATCTGATCTAAGAGTAAATCACCATAAAAGCGTAAAAACCATAAAAATAAATATGATGGCTACAAAAATGCAGGACAAAATGAAATTAATAGAAAATTTTGACTGACGTTTCAAATAAAAATAAAAAGTTTAGAAAAATAAAAATACTGAAATGTATAAAAGGGCCTTATTATTGTGTACAGGTAGTTCTAAAATTGGGTGTATGAGTTAAAGGCTGAAAGTTTTATCTAGCGAAACCTTTAGGGCCCAAGCCAACAATTTTTCAAGCTGAGTTTCATGCAATAGAACTCCGTACAAGAAATACTTAAACAACAAAAACGTGCAAAGATTCTCAGACATCCAAGCCACACTTAAGGCATTAGACTTCAATGTCTTCAATTCTGCCGGTTTGGGATTTCAGATGTGGGTGTCAGGGCAAAAAGGGATTGAAGGCAATGAATGAATGACAAACAAGCAAAAATAGAAACGCACACTCCCCTTGTACCAGAACTGCAAATTGGCACACCCCAAAGCATCTGTGGAACTGAATTGGCAGGAGAAAGCAATGACCATATACTGGATTAATTCACGAGTAAACAATCAAATAAATTCCTCTACATCCCAACCAGGAAAACAAAAACCTACCCTTTCTAACCATTCCTAATACATAGAAGATTTTATTATAAACTTCAAAAATAAATAAGGTTTTATTGTTTAGCTTGGCCGAGGTGCTAGCCATGGTCCTCCATGATGCATTCTTTTTGTAGCTAGTAGCAATGTTGATCTCAGTGGTTGAATGAACGTTGTATCTGATCATCCTGCCTGCCTATTTTCATATGCTTTTGTCTCAGCCTGTCATTTTGGTTTTTCTGATTGACATGATTAGTCAACAACTGTCAGTAATTTTAATTATTATCTTTTTATTCTTGGTTGCTGGTTAGACTCATTTTACATGCACACTTTACTTGATTTGTTTGTGGCTCCTAAGTCCAATGGGTTTTATTTGCAAACTGTAGGTTAGGTGTTTATAGTTTTCTTACATAGTTGATTTTTTTACTGGATAATTAAGGCAATCCTGTGTGATCCTTCTAATCTCAATAGACAAAAAATGGTTCTGCACGAGTGTGTGCCTTTTAAACTTAATTTGATGTTATATTTGCACGACTTTACTATTTGTTTATAATTTTAGAGGAGAAAATGCCTAAACACTAATCAATCAAGGATAGACAGACCAAAACGACTGGTAATGTCCAAATTTCAGAACTGCTTTATTATAAAAGTGAAAATTCAAGTGGTGAAATCAGTAGTTTAGACCAGTGATTCCCAAACTGTGCGCTGCAGCACTGCGAAAATTTATATAAAAGAATTATTATTGCTTTTATATTTAGAAAAATTGTGGTGGCCATCCAATATCAATATGGATGTTAATGATACAGCTGTGATTGTGAGTTTTACATTATTGCTTACAATATCGACTTTTCTATTTTTTCTATTAAATGTGTAATAGCGAGCTTTTCAATTTCACAAGAAAGTCAGTAGTTTTGATTATTTATTAAATAAAAGTTCAGACAAATAAGAGGTTTAGAAATATCAATGCTTTTCTGAACTGAAAATAACTTACTACTATTATCATAAACTTCATGCTGTGATAGACCATTGTTATGGCTTATGCAAAAATTCTGGTATATTAGGGTGCCAGAAACAAAAAGATAAAAATAAAACAACTGGTTAATACCAATGGATGGATGCTTTTTTTATTTTTCAATTAATTAAGGTTTTTAGCTGAGATAAAAAGGTCAGAGTCACGAGCGGGATTCGAACTCATGATCTTCGGCTAAATATGCCCCCGCTGCTCTACCATTTGAGATATCGTGACCTCGATCCACTTGGACACTAACTTCCCATCTCAACCCCACCTTTTGAATTGTCCCTCCTTTTTGCCATTTTTCAATTTTCAGCTTTTTTGATTAATTGTCAAGATGCTTTTCTATTCCTTGATTTGCTTAACTACATCTAAATTGAACAGCTAACTTTTGTCAGTTGTAATGATTCTAACGTTAGGGTTATAAGAAGGTTGAGGCTAGAATAAATTCTTTCTTTTTTGACAACTGACAAGTTCAAAGGACACATCTAGCTAAATCATTTGGCCAAGTAGCGAATTTGAAGCTTATTTCAGTGGTAAAAGCAGTTCGAAGAAAGAAGGCTTCTTGAAATGTGTCATATGAACAATTTTTTCTCACAAAACGCTTAGTTGGTCCATTGGAGTTGATTAATATCCATATTTGCAATATCAGGGATATAAGCAGGTGGAGTTCGTAACGAGTTGCACTCGTGGACAATCTCTATTCTAAACGTTGTTTTGTTGTGTTGGCTGTTTTGATTCCATTAATTTGGACACCTAATGCTCTGTTACTTGTGTTTTAGGACAACAGAGTTTTGGATTTCATATTGCAAACAATTAGTGATGCGAACAGTTTTTGCATTTCTCTGGAATGAGCCGATTTAGATCATTGTTATAGGGGGCGTCGGTGGCTGCTATGGTTTAGGCATTGACACGGCGCTCATCACTGTAAGATCCCGGGTTGGAATCCAGCGATCCTGTTTTTTTTTTTTTCCAAAAAATACAGACACCCCGAGGGTGCGAAGAGTCTTAGAGGCTCGCCGGAGGAAAATAGAGAAGGCATACAAAGATCTTTTTCTGCTCCCACCACATCTTCTTCAAATGGTNGAGAGAGAGAGAGAGAGAGAGAGAGAGAGAGAGAGAGAGAGAGAGAGAGAGCTGGGAGAGCTTTCCTTGGATGAACTGATGAATTCCATGGTTTCAGCAATGAATAAACTCCTCAACTCGAAAGTTTGTTCATTGGCTAGAAAAGCGGACATCGACAATCTGAAAAAAAAGGAAAACAAAGCTTTAAGGGCTGAAACCCTACACTCAAGAGAGGAGCTAGCTAGTCTAAATGAAAATTATCAAAGGCAGGAAGGTCTCCATACACAAAATGACTACAAATTTTGCAACTCTAATTTGATTTTCAGAGGCCTTCCATTGTTAGAGGAGAATGACCTTAGCAAAGTGGGTGATGGAATTCTGCAGGGAAATAATGTTGGTTGAGTTGGAGCACAGGTGCAGGTTTACGCTTTGGGAAGGAAAGGACATTGAATAAATGTCGGGTAATTCATTAAAGATACTGGAAAAACAAAGGAAAGTTACTCGCTATAAGAAGAGAGATTCTCTATGTAGGAGCAGCATGTTTCAGTTTTTTGTGGGCAGCTTGAGACCACAGAATCATACATTTAAATGGTCGCCTACCTTAGGATTGGTTTTCACTAACATCAATGAGGTTCTGAAGCTTAGGGAAATTTGAACTTTATAAACTACTTATCATGAGAACAAAAAGGAATACAAAGAAAAAAGTTCAGTTTTTTAATTCCAAACAAAAACATATTAAGTCAATTAAACATAAACTATTTTCTACTAGAATCAATGTAGTTTCTTTAAACAATAACGGGTTAGGTGACAAAGTGCTTAATATTTTATTTCTAAATTTTTTCTACTAGTCTCGACCTGCTTATAACCCTGGTCATTACAAGCAGTGAGGTACTTATATTTATAGACATTTTCTAAGAACTTTTTATAGATATTTTGAACTTTGATCTTGTCAACTGTCAAAAAGAAAAAGTCTGTTTCTTTCCTAGACCTCCTTATAACCCTGACATAAAAACTATTACTTGTGATAAAAGTTGATATTTGTAATTTTTCCGAAGAG